CCCGGACTCCGTGTGTATGGGCGTCCCCACATATAATGTCGAATCCGTCCTGTTACCTTTATGGAATCCTGACCTTCTCCTTCCAGGTCAGATTTGGGAACGCGTACATAAGGTCACCACTGTGCTCGCTCAAGCGGCAGCGTGTGATGTGGACGTTTGCCTGCTCCCTTTGCGACCTTGGCACGCAGGAGGGTCAAACTTGTGACGCTCGAAGGGGGTCGGATCAGCCGTCGCTGAAGTCGGTTTTGCTTTAGCGGGAGCTCAATTAAATTCGAGACCCGGCGGGCAGCGGGCGCTCATTTCCGAGGCGATCCAGAGACAATCACGTGAGCCATGCGTGTCACTAGCGGAAGCATCAGCACTGGTAACCATGACCATCTCGGAGCTTTTATATGGCAATACCCAGCTCGTCTCTTCCAGACTTGAACTCCATCTCCATACCTCGCTCTCTAGGGCAACGTCTTTCTGCCCTTCTTGTGCTCTCAAGAGCCAAAGCATCTCATTCCAAATCGCACTTTGAAGATCCGCACGTCGCAATGTCATCAGCTTCGCCTTCCAGCTCACCATCTCCCAGTTCCAGAACGTTGAGGCCTTCACCACCCGGCACGCCTTTCTCAGCCAGCCAAAGCCAATCAGTCTCTTCTCGAGCCCCAATCGCATCCGCAAATGGCGGCGATGACGCTAGCTTAGTTAGAGGACCAGGGAGTGCTACTGCTCTCGCAGCATCCAGAGCACAAGCAGCTAGCCGTACGAATCAGAAGGGCAAAGGCAGCAAAGGTGCAGGAGCAGGAGGATGGAACAGATACTACAATCCATTCGATCCTAGAGACTTGCTCTGGAGATTCAATGTGCACGTGCGCGGGACGTATTCGTACGACATGCTCAATTCCTGGGAATGCTGGTCCATCTGTGAGTTGTGCTGGGTGATAATCGATGCGTTCGCGGGGAGGGCAGAAATCGCAGCAGGACGCTCGAGTGTGATGGAGCGGGGCTCTCTTCTCACCGCATCGCAACGATTTGCTCATCACGCGCTCTACGCTGCATCGCTCCAGCAATCTTCATCATCATCATCTCTATGCTAGGACTCTATTCGCTGATCTACGAGTTCCCAAGTCGAGCACAAGCCTTGATCGTCCGAGCAAGCTACTACTTGACTGGCAAAGGCAACTTACAAAACGTCTCTGATCTCAGCGGCGAGCTTAATGCTGATGCTACAACGGCTTTCGGAGCACCGCCTCTAATTGGACAAGGACTGAAAGTCGGAGGGAAATGGGAGTTGTAGTCCGTGGGGGAAGGGGTTTCTGAGCATACACGCTCACGATGTGGACGTCCTTTACCGATGTGTGAGGTGCAGATTCCTAGACTAGCATCTCATCACAGCTTCGGGGTATTCAGGTGCCGTAGGCAGACTCGAGCCGCGGGTCCTCCACCTCTGTAACATTACGCCTTTCCAAATGTCAAGGCTTGCGTGCAGGCTCACCGCTATGCAGCCCAGAAAATTGCAGCATCAAGGCACAATTCATCACCCTTTCATGCATTCGCCACCTCACTCGACTGACGGCGTCAGGTCCGCAAGGTCGTTGCGAGCGCAATGCATTTGCAGGCTACGATCGGGGCGGATAGGGCTTGTGCGCTTCCAGAAGGTCACAGAGTCGCGAAAGTGTGCGTGAAGGTATGCATTTCACAGCAATGACATGCACCAAAGCCTCCAACGAAAAATGGATACGCTGCGTTCATCGAAATGCAGCGGAGTGTCATACGTCTCTATCAAATGCGAGTGAGCGAAGTCAAGGCAGCTTGGTGGCCTGATCGAGCGCGAAGAACGCAAGGCCAGGATGGAGGTCACTGATGGGTAGTTGCCGAGGTAGCCAAGCTACCGACCGAGTCTTGTCGCGTCAAATTGTCGTTCGATTCGGCCACGCCCTTGCCTTTGCCAAGCACGAGTCTGGAAGGAGGTTTAGCGTCCGAAGTGGTCGATCCGGCTGAAGTAGGAGCACCTCCAACGTTATCGGCTCCACCACTAAACATTGCCAATAGTGTTTGCTTGTCCCTCTTGGATCGCACCCTCTCGGCTTCCGCGTGACCTCCCGTCTTTCGCAAAGCTTTGCCGTCCACAAAGCCAGCCAGCTCTTCTTGAAAGTCGTCCGTGCGGGAAGCAAGCTCTTTGGCTCGTAATCGCTCGGCATTGGCGAGCGCTTTCAAGCGCTTTTCGTGATCTACAGACTGGCCTCTGACCTCCAGCATGACCGTGTTCAGCCCTTCGTGGCCCTCTTCGGGTGGTGGCGGCAAATATCCGCCCTTACCAGCACCAGCAGGTCGGCCAACGCCCCTCAGCTTGATCACCTGCTGTATGTTCTCGTAGACCTCCTTCATCGCCAAAAAGTCTTCCCTCAAATCCGCAATCATGCCCGTCTGGAAGTTTAAGAATTCTTGCTCCTCCATCACGTTCCTTAGCTCGGCGCTGTGCGTCTGCCTCCACGACGGCTCCACGGTGGTGACATACTTCTCCAAGTCTTCCAAACCAAAATGTGCACGCGCCATATCATCTCCTAGCTTTTTCATCGTGGCAGGCTTGGGCTTGACGCCTCGGTTAATCACGTCCATTTTGAGATCGTCCACCGTATCCTGCAGGTCTTCGACGAGCGTAAGGACTTCCTGAGAATTATTTTCCAGCTTGATCTTGCCAGCGACGATGAAGTTGCGCTCAGCAGGAGCTTCTTTGGTCGCAATGGCGCGAACGTGAGAAGCTTGTTCGCGCAAATTTTTGAGGAGTGCAGTCACGTCTGATCCAAAGTCTCCTTGAATCTGTCTCATCACTGCCAGCTCTCTCCTCAAACTCTGAACCTCTTCGTACTGCGTCTTGAGCTCCGTCGCCACCTTTGCGCCGCTAGGCGTAGCCGATCCTACAGAGGCAGAGCTCAGTGTTGGCGAGACAGGCACATTCGCTTCGTCTTTCGCAGTACCATTAGCTCGAGCCAAAGTGTTCGCACGTTTGAGTTGGGCTACCCGCGCACCAGCCGAGGTGAACTGCGAGTCGGTGATGCGCGCAGGACTTTGCGAGGCAGCGTTTGCAGCGGCCGCCACCGCGGCCAAAGCGTCGGGCCCATAGCTGATGCTGGTGCGGCGAAGTGCGTCCACGCGATCGCGCTCAAATACGGCTGCCTTCAAGTCTCGAAGCTCTCGTGTAATGACGCTCAACGAGTTGTCCAAATGTTGCTTGACCTGGTCTAGAGGCTCGATATTCAGCGTCAACAAACTGCCATCTTGCAGGTCCGCAAAGTCTTCCAATTCGTAGCTGACTCCGCTCGCCAAATCTTTGACGTAGATTACCGGAAAGTCTTCGCTACCCGGCGAGTAGCTAAATCGGTCCATGAACAGCATCCGCAGCTTTACAACGTTAAGACCTCTGTCTGTCGCGCTGGGATCAAGGTCCACGATGGCTCGCCGGGTTTGCCGACCAAGCTGTAGAAATAGAGACAGAGTCGAGGCAGATGCTTCGACGGCTGAGGATCTTTGTGTGCCAGAGAATGAGGTGCCATTCTCCGCACGACGCTGAGCAGCGTCAAGACGACGCCTCTCCTCAGCAGTTGGTAAAGGAGGAACAGGTGGCACAGCGTCGGCGTCATCTCGAACGCGTGGGCTCACAGGCCCTTGCGCGTCCACAAACGGCAAGCTCTCGGTGGAACTAGCAGCTACATCTCCGGCTGTGGCTGCTAGCAATCGGTTTGCTCCTCTCGGACTGGTCGTCCTTGTCTCCATCGAACTCTTCTGGGACCTGAGCTCTTCAAGCGCTTCGGGAGAGTGGGGAGGTTCCGGCATCGCACGACCGGCTGAAAGGTAGTCGCTTGCCTCTCCAGGTACTGCGCTGCCGGCTCTCGATCCATTCGGCCGTCTAATCGCGGAGCTGGCATTTCTCTGACTCGACACCCGCCGATCCGCCAGGGGACTGTTGGCCGGACTGCTTCCAGCACCGAGCGCGCTCATGCCAAGGCTACCCAGACCAAAAGACTGGGGCGTACCGAGCCCCATCTTATTGAAGGTATATGCACTAAAGCGCTTAGAAGCGCGCCGCTCCAGTGCGTCTCTGGATTTCAAAGCCCGCAAGCTGGGGTCAGCCTCCGCTTCCAAGGCTGCTGCAACAGCGGCGTGCGCTCGCCGAGCCGAGCTGGGAGGGCCGCGCGATGAAGATGCAGATGGTGGTACCGAGAGCTGTGCGGACATGTTCCCCGTCACAGACGATGATGGTGTCATTCCCTCCTGGGCGGCGCTTTCCTGATGCTGCACAAGCGCAGCATCGGTGGATGATTTAGGAGTCGGTGTGTCCACGAGCGAATGCCGCACGGCACTCTCCGGAGCCCTCTCCTCCTCTGGGGCACTTTGCGCCCGGATGGAAGTCTCGTCTAAGTCGCGCGCAGCTCCTTCGACCCCGTCCTCGTCGCCAATCGCTTGCGCCGCCAGTCGCGCTCTTTCGACGGGGTCGAGAGCTTCTGGTCGTCTGGCTCCACTGCGTCTTCTCGTCGTATCACTACTGCCGCTCTCTGCGTCCTGTGCAGCTGGCGTCGACCGGCTTTCTCGACGATCCACAGGCGGAGCAGCAGCAGGCCGACGCCCAACAGCACTGCGACGAGCAGGCTGGCCATCCGAAGTACTACGAGCTGGCGCCTCTGGCCTCGTATTACTTTCGGCCAAAGAATCCTCCGCACTCGCTTCCGCCTCAAGCCCGACTGCGCCTTCGCTGAAGCCTACGCGCTCGGATCGAGAGCCTCTTGTACGCTCCCTCTCCCTTCGTGCAGCTTTACGCAGCTCTGCTGTCTTTTTGTAATCGGCCTGCTTCAGCTTCAGACCTTGCAGCAGCCTGATGATGATCTCTCGCACCCGAGGAAGATGTTGGTCGAGTGCTTGCTGCGATCCTGGCGCAGAGAGACACTCCTCCAGACAGTAGCGCAGGTCGTCGGGCACCGACACAAGATCACTGGAGATGGCATCGTCATCGTGAAGGCTACTTGTGAGAATAACACCACGCAGCCAGCCTTCACACGCGTGTAGGTGCTCACCTCATGTCGATGCCATACCGAGTGTAGATCGCGCTAGCATTATTGAAATCGTTGCCGAGCCTAACGTAAACATCGCTGACGTACGTCTCAGTTCTCTCGCCTGTGCTCCACAAAGTCAGAGCTTCCAACAACTTCTTGGTTGCCACAAGCAGACGCGTCGTAGATGATTCCATGTGATTTGGATCCTGCCAAATGTCGACATAGTGTTAAAAAGTTATAGTGTCAGAAGGTAGCTCGTGTATGAAACCGCTCTGCTGCAGTGATGCACCGACTCACTCTACTGCCACTGCGATTTACACCAGGTCCTTCTTCTCCTGGCTGATTGGAAACTCGCGAGCTCGAAGCTACTGAGCCCTGACTCGGGGCCCTTGGACCATGAGGATGAGAGGAAGGTGCATGGGAGGACGCCGGTCCAGCACTGATCTGAGCTCTCATCGCCCTTTCTTTTTCTTTCTCTCTCGCTCTCAATTCTTCTGGCAGCATGGGGGCACCCGTGCTATCAAAATGTTGTCCCGACTGATAGCTTGCTTGAGAGCCGGCGCTTGGAGGTGGAGATGTGCTTCTGAAGCCTCCACGTGAGTCGCGATTACTTGATGCTGCGGCCGCAGCATCCCTGGCCGAAGCAACCACCGCAGCAGCACGTCGCGCGCTCCCACTCCCTGACTGACCTGATGCGGAGGGTGTAGACGTTCCAGAACTTGTACGGGGCATTTGGTTGGTCAGACTGAAGTGAGATGTGATGGAGCTTGAGGATGAAGAGGCCGGAAAGGGAGGTGAGGTGGCTGATGGAGACGTGGGGTTATTGCTGTCGCCTTGTCTCTTGTCTCTACGCAGGACCGAGGAGATGCCTGGTATCATCGTCGTGGCGGGGACGCTGCTCTTGATCGCCGCTGGACATATACCGGCTCGCTATGCAGCGATAGCTATACCAGATTGTGCCTGTAAGCGGTAACAACCAGATCAGGTACCTGCTGTCAAAATTCCGAGGCGATCCGATGGGTTCTGTAAGCTCTTTGTGGATCTCTTGTGACCCTGCGCCAGCTTCAAATCCCAGTGACGACGGTTCGACTGAGGTATTTGCAGCGAGTAGAAGGCGGGCTTGGTGTTGCTAAGCTGCACTGGCCTACGTGCCCCTGCATTTGACCCTTGACGGGCTCTGGTGGCTGCCGCCTTAAACCGTGTCGCAGCTGATAGTACACGTCTGTCACAGAGGCCGCGAGGGGTATGAAGTCACGAGTGGCACCGGATGCCCGCAATCGTGATTCTCAGCTGAGCCTTAGCGAGATGCGTTGGTGTGGACGTTCGCGAGATCCGTGCGATGCTGAAGAGATCAGCAAGGTGTGAACCGACCGTATGGCTAGTTTGCAGCAGCATTCGATCAGGATACTATTACTCTACTTACACTTTGACTACTCACGATTCACATTGTGCTGATTGTTGTTATTGTGATTTCCAGCTGGCAGCGTGCAGCGTCGCGCCTGCAAGCAATACGAGCCCGCCAAATTGTGGCGCAGAGCGGCTGGGCGCGCACCGACGTGCGCAGTCATGCAGAGTCAAGAGTCTTGAGTCAAGTGTGGCGTGCGTCACGCTCTGTGCGTCTGTGGTGGCCCTTATTGAACACAGCAACCCAGCGAAGCACGTGACGTCTTTCGTGAATCTCAAAAAGCGCGGTGTGACAAGAAAGCCCAGAGTGGTGTGCCTGCATACATGCGTTCCGTCCACGATCGGAGCCTCGATATGGAAGCAGATCATACTAGCGAACCACGCCAGGCGGCCTAATATTGTCCACCATACAGCTGAGATCCGAGCGCCATGTCAGAGCTGCAAAATGGGCCCGCAGATTCTTACGACGAGACTCGTCAGGAGCGGGTGGACGGAAAGGTTCCTGAGGCGGAACGGATGGCTCCAGTCGACCGATTGCCTAGGCAGCCCGTCTTCTTGAGCGTGGAGTACCCTGGCCTGCTCAAGCCCGTCTTGGATCGCACCGCGGTCATCAAGAAACTTCAAGAGTTGGAGCAGATGGAAGTAGTGTGTTCAGAAGAAGATCAAAGCGAGAATGGGACACCGCATCCAAGCTTGGGTTGGAGGGCGCGTGCCATTCGCGAAGCCAGATTGGAAGCGGCAAATGGCACGCTGAACAGAGCTTTGCGCACTTTATGTCCGATCCCTGAGCCTTATGCTACAGCACAGCTGGCTTTGAATCACATGAGTGGCTGCGTGTCGCACGATTCCTCCGTGCTGGAATGCAGACTACCCACCAGCACCTCGACACATCGACCGGATCCGCGAGAATTATCGGGGCGGTCAGCAGATGAAAAAGTCGGAATTGATGTGTACAGGCACCCCTTCACCGGAGAATTTAGAGACACGAACAACATTGCCATCAAAGTCACTACGCGCAGATGGATCAAGAAGAGACGGACAGAGAACGGTGAAGCCCTGCGTGCACGCAGCAGTGCACAACCTTCGGCTTCGGACGTTGTGCAAGCTGAAGAGAGACTCGAATACAAGGTGGACATCCTAGGAGTCATCAAGAAGACTGTACGCTACAGAACGCTTGCGGACTTTGCTTACATGCCTCGCGTCGAGGCGCCTGACGACTTTGCTCGAAACGCGCTTACTGAATACAACGAGACGCCGCAAGCAACTTCGACGATAACGACCGCACGCCAGCAGACTGCTCTAGAAGAGCAAGCATCGATGCTCCGGCAATTCAGACCACAAGAGGAAGAGTCAGATGTCTCAATGCGTCAGACCTCTTCTTTGTCTCTACTTGACTCATTACTTCGACTAGACATTGACGCTATCCGGCAATACCGGATCGCGCCAGAGATGGAAGACTACGATGTTCCCGTGGAGGGCGGGGATGATGCCATGCAAATGGGAGATGGACCTCCGCGCGTGCGGAGCAATCTCAGAATGCCACCACCTCCAATGTTCAGCAGGCTGGTGGCACCTCCGTCGTACAAGTAAGCAGATCAAGGTGCGCGCGCCGATCGTCTGCGCACGAATTCTAATTCTCCGTCCCAACTCTATTTCAGATTTCGTCAGAACCCCGGCTCAAAGCTCAAAAAGGACGAGAATGGCGAATCGTCGCGTTTCCTACAAAAGTCCAGATGGAGAGGATTTGCTCCGCAGCAATTCAGTCTGCGCGGACCCTCTTCCAGTAAGGTGCGCACCGCTTGATGGTGTTGAGACCCGTGTGATCATCGTCTGACACTCCTCACCTCATTCGAAACCACAGGTCCCTTTGCGTTGTCAAACACATGTGGCAGCGGAGCGAAAGCGATGCAGTCCACAACTCATCGCTCGACTCGAAGAGGTGCGTGCGAAGTATAGCAAGGTCTGACATCTCGTGGCATTCCTGTGGACACCTTCGGCTCAACGAAATGCCGCGGCTCACGCTCGTTGGTGCTGGCTCTACAGCTCTTTCAAGAGCGCCCTCTGTGGCCCCGCGCTGCCCTGTTGAACCAACTGACTGCCAAAGAAAGGACTGCTTTGGAATTGTGAGCATACAATTAGTGTCGTCATTCTCATCTTGCGCCCGGGGTGCGTCGCGCTGTGACTGACCGCCCTGCCCTGGCACAACGCAGACAAAAAGCTTACATTCCATTGGTGTGCTACGTGATCGTTGATGGGCCTTGGCGAGATGCCTTGTCCCGTTTTGGCTACGACCCACGTACAGACCCAGAGAGTCGCTTGTGAGTTACGGGCGCCGGCCACGAAGCCTTTTTCGCAATGAAAGAGACTGGAGATCACCTGACGACCCCGTCCTCAATACTCCAGCCATCAGCGCTTCAGCTTCCAATCTCACATTAAGGCAAGATTTATGGCTTCGAAGCCTCGACGTAATTTGGGTTCGAAGGGAGACCTCCATGTGACTTCAGGCAAGGGCAAAACGAGAGGACCAACGGAACCAGAAGAGGACGCCGAAGATGAGGAGGATGGAGAAGAAGAAGAAGAAGAAGAGGGTCAAACAATGGATCGACCTGGCAGATCACCTCCAGTGCGCCAGGCTCACAATGACCAAGACGATGCTGTTCAAGGTGACAGTGTTGACAATCAGACCTTGAATGAAGATGGAGACCTTGCGGACGACGTAGCGCCACAGGTGGGACAGTCGAGTAGCGAGGCTCCTTACGACAAGTGAGCCGTTTGCTGTGCGGACCAAAGTGAATCTGACGTTCTCGACGATCTGACCACCCCACCCCCTCTGATCCGACGGCACCCCTTAGCCAAAGCCATATCTTCGATGGTCAGACTCCCACCAGAGCACCACCGTATATCAGTCTGTTCGATGTCGAAGACCCGGAGGTCTTGCCTTTGATCCGTAGCGAAGGTCCTCAGAACCTGCTGAAGAAATTTTCGGTGAGTCACGCACCGACCAAGAAGTATGCCGTTGCACTTGACAAGATATCTCTTGTGCTCGTTTGAATTCCGTAGATGACGACAGGCTGGTATACGTTGACGACATTTACAAAGATTAAGGATTTGCTCGGTCATCGCTTCCATGTCCTGCAAGAGACGGGAAAACCGGCGAACTTGGAGAGTTGTGCAGAGGTATTGCACGCTGTGGATACAAGATTGAGAAATGCTGCAGAGCTGCAGGCGAGGCGGGACGCGGCCGCCAGGGGCAGTAGAGGTGAAGCGCTCGACGCGGAAGAAGCCGAGCTTCTGCGCGAGCTGGAAGAGCCCGGAGCAGCGCGCAAAAAGTCGAAAGGGAAAGGCAAAGCGAGAGCCAGGAGCTCTGCTCGACGAGCCTCGACGGTCACAGGCTCTGACGAGGAATTGCCTTTCGAGGACGACGAGCGCAGCGTCTCGAGAAGAGAGGGCAAAGCCACGGAGATGAGCGAGCACGAAAGCGGCAGCCGCAGAGGCAGAGGGAACGGCAGAGAAAAAGGTGTGGGGAAGGAAAAGGGACAAGGAAGGGGAAAAGCTGGAGCGGTCAGAGCCAACTCACGCACTAGTCTGAGGCGGGGATCGCGCGAGACGTCCAGAGGAAGATCCGGATCTCCTAGCGCTTAGACGCACGCTAGGCAAGAGTGCGTCTGCCTCTTTGCACATCTCTGTGCGCTCGAAGGCTCGATCAAGCACTTCAAGCTCAGCAATCAGCCTCTTGTCTAGGGCTGGATAACAGTAGTCTCACGGCTGCAGTACGGGTCCGTCGAAGGCGTGTGTCGGTCAAAGTGCTTCTAAGTGTCGGTGCGCTCGTTGACGGTGGCGTCCGCGTCCTCAATGGCGGCTTTGCCAGCGCTGAACTTGCCGGGCTCAAACAATCCGTGGCAAATGCCTTCGAAAAGCCTGGGCCTCTCGACGCAGATCAATTCCCACTGCGTGTGGGGTCAGTAAGGGTGTGGGCTTTGCGGAGGCTCGAGCGCGATCTCAGATTCACCACAGCGCCCAAGCATGACTTCATTTGAGCTAGCATTTTGTTCCGGCTTGGACCGTATGTCTGAGCTGACCCCGGCATTATCTTGCATTCGTCGAGGTCAAGTCCCTTGACTGCACAATGTGGAGCAGCTAGACTCATGAATTTTGAAGGCACAACCTCGGCCACGCATTGAAGTTGAGCGTCTTGTGCGGCATCACCTGTCTCGGTACAGCCAACAAGCAAAATCACGAATCGATCACAAATCTGATCGAGTCGTGAGTTGCACGACGCGCCGCTTAGCAGACATGCATGCATCAATCACGAACGGACCATCGGGCCCTGCACAAAGGGCATAGCGCAGAATTGCATTCCTGAGTTGACAGCAAGCTTGGCTTTCGTGAAGCATGCTCTTGAAGACACTTCGGAGCTCAAAGAGGCGACGCTGACGACTTTCATCCTCGTCCTATTTGCCCATTCTCGTTGCTTCCCTCCTGTTGTGCTGGTCATTCACAACGGAACGTCGCATCTAGAATCCAAGGTTAGCAGACGCGTAAGAAGCGCAAAGCGCATGTCACGTGAGTTTTCAACAGCAACCTTGAATCAGCAGTCAAGAGTCTTGAGTAGAGTAGTAGTAGGGGCGAGAGCGTCCAAAAGCCCGATCAGGGAGGGTTCCAAGATCCTTACAGCAGAAGATCCTTACAGCAGAAGCGGCAGGAAAGGCGGACGCGTGATAGCAGCTGCAACCGTAGCGTCCTCGCATCGCATCAGTTTCGCATCTCCCTCTCCATCTTTTCGGAACTCGGCATTCAGCATCGTAGCAGCACACTACATGCGCTAAGGGAAAGTGATACCCAATTTCTCTCTGACATTCCGATCAGAGTCTCGACACGATTAGCCAGAGCAATTGTTCCCACGCCTGCAAGACGCCGCTCAGGAGCCCTGCCGTGCTGCCACTGGGCCATAGTGAAGCCTGCTAAACGCGGCTGACACCCCATCCGTACCGGGAGTCAGATTCAATTGCGCGCGGATCGACTCTGGTCTTCCAACATAAGAGCAACACACCACCAGGCGGGCTCGCTTGGACGGAAGGAGCTAGTGGTCCGCAACTCGTCGTCAAGAAGGTCCACGCTCTCTTCGACGTCTGACGACACTTGGGCGGAAGCTTAGCGCGGTCGTGAATCTCGATTCGAGCATTGCTTCAGTCCTCTACGGGTGTTCAGCTACTGAACCAGATCTCGATTGCGGTGCGAGAGGCAGAGAGAGCCATGCCATCCGTGCTGCTGCAGAACGCCATGTCGCCCACTCTCGGCATCCATCAGAAGGAATCTATGCAGCCAGCTCCCGCATCGGCCACAGCGGGTATTCGTCACGTTCCGAGTCCTCCTTCCGGCACGCCTAGCGAAGGCATCGACTCGAATGATCCGGCTCAGTTGGCAGTTGGTGCCAGGGATGAGGCGCATGGCGATGCCAAGGCTCAGGGCTGGCTGACCAGCGAAGCTATCAGGTGCGTGCTTGTCGGAACAGCAACACAAAGAACCCTAGGAGGCGGAGTAGCGTGCTATGAATGCCGGGCCTCTGTAAGAGAGTGTTGGGCTTGGGCAGGCTAGGCGAATCGCTCGTGACCGCAGTAGTTATGCGGAGGAGACCTTTGCTGGGAGACAGCAGATCCAGGTCCCCAGATCACTCGGCAGCTCGTCAGCTTGACCTGAAATTGTATCTAAACGACCGATCACGTCCGGATTCAGTCCCCTCGGAGACGGACTTGCAGGCTGAGACCAAAGCAGATCACAGCCCTGCTGACCTGTCTAATCCCCATCTGTTCGTCCAGGTTCGCACCTCTACATGTCCCCAGACATCGTCGGATGCAGACCCTAGCTGTGCTATTGTGGGGTCTCATCCTGCCGGTGTGTCTCAGCTTCTTCTTCTTCTGCTTGTGAGTATGCTGGAGCAGCCTGCAGTCTAGTGGTGCGCTTCTGACGGAGTGCTGACACAGCAGCTGGAAACATCTTTGCCCGCGACTATATGCTGTGCTTCCTCGCCGTCGACGCGCTTCGTGCTCGATAGATCGATACCACCCCTCTGGCCTCTGATGTTCGTTTACATCATTTGGATGTTCTTTGACAAGGCGCCGGAAAGTGGAGGTCGTAGATCGGAGTGGTTCAGGCGCCTGTCGGTCTGGAGGAGGTTTGCGGAATACTATCCCGTCAGCCTGATCAAGGTGAGTGTGCAGGCACTACTTCGGACATACGCGATACGCCGGCAATGGGCCTCATCAAGCCGGTCAGATTCATCACAACGCTGGAGATTGCGAAGCGTCGCGTGCGACCTTGCAGAGTCTGATCAGTTTGCACCCCCATTGACAACGCGCTGCAACCTACTCACTCCATGTTTCCAGTCGGCTGACTTGCCAGCAAGTCGGACCTACGTCTTTGGGTGAGTGTCTGCAGGCTCTGCCGGCTTCTGCGCACACCTGAAGCCACTCATCTGTCTTTGTGGCCTACGTTGTCTTTCCAATACAGATGTGCGTTGGTATACCACGCCTTGATGCGGGAATGCAGCCGCTTTTACTGACGAATTGGCTTGCTTGCTCTTCTTGCGCGTGTACAATCATGCGACAGACGTGAGTGCGACCCTCTGCCCGAATGATGTGATGCGGCTCGTTTGACAAGTCCTCATCGACATTGTAGCATCCTCATGGAGTGATCGGGATGGGAGCAGTAGCCAACTTTGCGACAGCTGCGACAGAGTTTCCGTCCAGCTTCCCAGGTATCGTTCCACACCTCTTGACCCTGGGCACGAATTTCAACGTGCCTTTCCATCGGGATGTGCTGCTCGCGCTGGGCATCTGCTCTGTCAGCAAAAAGAGCTGCGAGAACATCCTGAAAAAGGGACCTGGAAATGCCTGCACTATCGTGGTGGGCGGTGCTGCTGAAAGTCTTGCCGCTCATCCCGGCACTGCGGACTGTGAGTCGTGGCGCAGAGTGGCTATTCACTACTGCACAATCTGGGAAGGCTGACCAGATTTACTTTGATCTTCCACAGTGACGCTCAAGCGAAGGCTGGGCTTCATCAAGATCGCAGTTCGTCATGGGTGAGTCCCGGCATCTAGAGCGGGCGTGTAGCATATTCGCTTCGGCTCACAGTGTTCTCTACGTTCTATTGAACGGCTGACTTGCCATTGAAGGGCCGATCTGGTGCCAGTGTGAGCTGTGAAAAGGAGGCAACGAGTAGATGTATGTCTCCACTTGACTGACAACAACATGATTCGCGCGGCTTTTCAGCTTCTCTTTTGGAGAGAATGACATCTTCATGCAGCTGGCCAACGCGCCAGGCACAAAGCTCTACACTTTCCAAAAGCATTTCCAGAAGTTGTTCGGATTCACGTTGCCTGTCTTTCACGGTAGGGGAGTGTTCAACTACAGCTTTGGGCTTTTGCCTTATAGGCATCCCATCGTCAGCGTGGGTGAGTCTTCGCAGGCAACGCACAACTCCATCGCAGTTGGGGGCACCATCTGAGTGGATGCTGACCTGCGCCTGCTCTGCGTCATCGATACATCTGTCGCCGCGATGACACACAGTGGGCCGACCGATATCAGTGAAACGCAACCCCAACCCATCAAAGGCGGAGTTGGAAGAGTACCAGAAGAGGTACATTGCGGAGCTGCAGCATATTTGGGACACGTGGAAAGTGAGTTTTGCTGCTACCGGAGCGTGAGCCCTCGCATCGCGCGCAATCTTCAGCGAGGTTCCTGACCGCAGCGTCTTTTGGTCTCTGCGCACGAAGGACGCGTACGCAGCCAACCGCTCTCGCGAGCTCACCATTGTCGATTGACGAGTCGGACAAGATGCGACTTTCAAGTACTGCCCCACCACCAGCGACGCAGGATCAGTCACTCAAATAGCAAGTGCTGCGCTCGAAAGCCTTTTCAGGGGACGCATGTGTGACAGTGTACAGTTGGCGTTTGTGACGCGATGGGGCCTTTGAGCTTGTGAATTTGGAAGGTGTAGAGGTCCTGAGTGTGAGTGCTGTGTGATTCGGCGGTGTTTCTACGTTCCAAGCTGGGATATGTCCAACTTGGCCGTCTCTTTGAATCTGCATGCGTTGCTTGCGCTACTAGGTGTCGCCTGCATGCGGCGGGCGCTGTATGCTGCGTAGCACCTTGCGCGAACAATGTTTGGATCACCGATCGTGGGACGCAAGTCTACAAGACCTGCGAGCTGCCGCCCTCGCGGCTCGTTGAAGCTTGCGAAAGCGCTTGCGAGTGGGACTGCGAGGACTTGGCAAGGCGCGTGACCAGATCATCGTTGACGCCCGTCGCTCTGAGAGCGTCGGAGCGGACCACCGCGTCTTTTGGCTCGCTCTTGTCCGCCGCTAAGATCCAGCCAGGCATCAATGGCAGCGCATCAGAAGATTGCCATCGATCGCACGTTGATTGTGCGCACAACGACTTGGCGGTTTCGACTCACGACATCCTTCAAAGATCGGAAAGCGTGGACAGCCATCACGCGAAAGTTCTTGAAAGCGGTACGTGACGATGGTGCCCACTTTGGGCTCCCACATTCGACGCTGCTGCTCGACGAAGCCCGAGCCAATGTCGAACACCTTTCCGCACTCCATTCGAACGACGATGGCGCCCATCACTGGGTAGCAAGTTGAAAAAGGAGTCAAAAGAAGCTACCCCGCCATCGCGTGCGAGCTCATGCTCACCGCTCGCGTTTCGATTTTCCCCCCTTTTATGCCCAACGACGATTGCTTCGGCTGTGTACCAGGATCTGTGCGTCGAGACAAAGACACGATGAGCCTCGACTGACGTTCATGAAAGCGCGTAGCGGCCCTGCCCTGCTCACTTCAATTTGAGCACGATCGACGTCCTTTCGCAGATGTACTTGCTCTGAGGCTTTCTCAGCATGAGCCCTTCCCCACCCATCTCCTCTACGCGACGCAGCTCTTCGCGACAATGCTCGCGGGAAGTGCATTTGACCATGGGAAGAACACATACAAATCCGCCGAGCTCCGCACCTTGGACTTTGGACGGGGACATGACACCATCCGGCAATCTTTCGGCCAACAACTTCATCCGCTCTTCGTACAGCATTGCGACATCTGCGTGGGGGTCGCAGATCAGCACGATCACTCTTTTGACTGCGCTGATTGTGTTGAGGCATGGTTGCTCACTCGTGACATCGAAGATCATATAGTTGATCAGGTGCCAATCCTTCTTCTCCTGCATCCGATTGACGGTCGGGGTCAGGGTCTGTTTCGCTGCGCGCTTCAAAGGTACATACTTGGCGTCGGCAGATGCTACAGGTCCGTTGGAAAGCATCTCGCCGAATCCAAAGCTCGCCATCCAGATGCAGACTGCGGAACGAAAGCTCGATAGAGCCTCAGATCTTTGAGCAGGTACACAATCCTGAAGAGCTTGACTGACTCTTTGGGAAGTTTCTTAAGCCACCAGTCTGGCGCGTTCCAATGATTGCCTTGTCTTGAGAACTGAGCAGGCCTCGATGATGTGAGATTGAAGCAGTGAGAGCACGAGAATAAAGCACTCACGATAGAGTCTCCGTCCCACCAAGCTCGGACACCATCCAGCTAGAGTGAGCGTAGGACAAGTCGGCATCCATAAGAAGTTCTGCATCGGCTAGCAGTTGCAGCGCTCACCTTCTCGGTCAGCCAGTAGCCAGCAGGATCGAGCTTGTCGTCCAAACGAAAAGTCTGTCCGAGCATGAGGGAAATCTGAGAGGGAGGCGGATGTGCTCAGGCTAAAGTCGACGAGTGAGACGAGGGCCTTCAGGTAGGTGCACGTGAACCCACCTGTCCTTGCGCATCCCTCGGACAAGTCGGCTCCACACACTCCTTCTTGTCTTTCTTCGCCATGCTGTCCCTAATCTCAGCATCTGCCGCTCTCTTCTTTGCTTGTTCCGCTTTCTTCTTCGTCAAAGTGAAGCCGACATTCCTACTTTGCGATGCGAGGATGTCCTTGGCGGCAATCAAGCGCGCGTCCTCGTAATTCTTTCCATGTAGATCATTCAGATGAGGACATGTACGAGCTGTTCTAGGTTCCCGTGAGAGCGTCCAACGCGGACATGTACAACTGAACGATTGACCATCTTGAGCTCGCTGTGGAGCGCGGCGAGACTCAATCAGTACTGGACGTGCCACTCTGCGGGTGAATGATGCATACGCAAAAGGGACGAGACCTCACAGCGACAGCTCACCTTGACGACGTGTTTCCTGCCTCCTCCGCCTGGAAAGAGTCGCTCTTCACCAGGCTTGAGGATGTTCTTGGGTTTCTGAAGTCTGACCAGCCCCGTTTCGATATGTATAGCAGGCTGGCTCATCCTGACTGCTTTGTACTGCGCTTTCTGACCTGCTCAAGGGCTTTGGACAAACCTCCGTTCGGAAGCGGAAAGGAGCGTTTGCAGCTTCTACCATCTGGTCTCGACTCGAGCCCTCATTTGGCTGCTCGTCTGCCTCCGCCGGCTTGGGCACTTGACGCGAAAGTCCCCCATGTGTATTCACCGGCGTGGCTTCCGAGGTAGGGATTTGATTCGGTGCATGGCGCCAGGTAGCGGGGATCACTTGTCATACTTTTCAGTCAAAAGTTGAAGGTGCCTTCCTAGCGTCAGCACTCAGGTTGCAGCATGTACGGGTGGCTGTCACGTGGGCACACGGCACCAATTCGAATCTTGAATGGGATTCATTGATTCAAAATTGCAAACGGCACGATACAACCACAAATCAAGATTTCAACTATCAAGGCAACCCAGAGCAGGCCAAAATTAAAAGTCGAGCGCACGCATGCTGCTGAACGAATCTGCCCCTCGATCACGACGACCAATCAACAAAGGGCATTTAGCGTATAGCAGAGTCTGCGTGGGCGCTGATCTGCGTGTGCTGGCCAAACACAATTTCGTTGAAGGAAGACATAAAGAAGGCGGTCTCAAGTCACCAGGAGACTACTGATCTCAGAGAGAATTTTTGAAGAGAAGCGAGCGCCTTCAGGAGTGGAGATTCCGGCTGATTATCAGAATCGAGTCAAGAGACTATCGATGGTGAATGTATATATATGGGCCCTTATTGACCGAGTAAGCCCGCATCAAACAATTCATTGGAGCGGAGACGCACATTCTTGATTCGCTACTTATAACTGGTGATTGTAACTTGATTCAAACCCTCCAGCAAGTCCAAATACGGACGTGACCTCGGTGCTCAATTCAAGATTCAAGATATATGCTAGAGGGAGGACCGTGCTCGACTTCCGGCTCACGCCAGCCGAGAGCCGATCTCTGCGTTCGTTAAGTCGCTCTGCAAAAAATGCGGGGCAGGCACACAATCATGTTCTTGATTTGATTGCACATGAGCCGCGAGAAAGTCTCGGCTGCAAAGCGCACCAGCCTCACCGCTGCTGCATATACTCTTCTGACTGTCCTACAGACAGAGAGCCACGATGGGTATATATCCTTTCTCGATTTTGCACGCACGCTGCATGCACTTGATGCTGCAGCATCTCGTCGTACGGTTGCTACTACAGTACCCACTTCTGTTCGCTGCTAGCGTAGTAGTAGCAGGAGCAGGTACTCGTGACTGCAGATGTTGGGGAAAGCCGCGCGGCGTCTATCGCAAAGGGTGTATACTCTGCTGTAGGCTGCATGAATCCATTCACACTCACATTCACATTCACGATTGTCGTGATTCGCCCGTTGCGTTCGCGGCAACCACTTGCTCGTTCGCAATCCCTCCATCTCCACGTGCTTGCACCTACACTGGTGTCTGTGCCGAACGTTGGACGCCTGTCGCCCTCATTGCCATCGCTTCACACACGGTCACGCTATTCAAGGCACGAGGCAAGGCTCTCAGCCAACACGGCTTCAAGTGCGGTATACCAAAGGACCAAGCTGATCAACACAGACAGTGGTGCGGATCAGGGCTTCAAGGTAGACATTTGCTACAAGCACCATTGTTTGCTCGACCAATCGACCCTTCTAGTGCACATCCACAACCACAGTGCACAAAATGTCCAGACCTGCTGGAAAGGCTCCAAGAGCGCTAAACACTACCGACCTCGTCCTCGGCAGCTTTTCCAATGTACCTCCAAACGAGACATTGAATCATGCCATTCGATACTTGGGAACCTGGTCTGGGTTCGACAAGGTGCGCTGAGATCACCCTGTGCCCGATTCTTCACAAAGCATGAACTCACGCAGACTTTTCTGCTCTTCTTGCCTTTTTCTGTATCTTCGTGGCAGGCAATGATGGTCACGCAGTATGGTAGCAAGCTCGTCGTGGCTTTCTTGTCTTTGCAGCACGTACTCAGAGTCAGACTAGCTGGAGCAAAGACCTTTCACGCAGAGCATGGCGGGAGTAGCGTGGCTAAGCGCATCACCAGATTGGGCGGGCTTATCAGCGACGCCAGAACTCTCTATCGAATTTGGGGCATCCTGCCGATGATTCAGTGGGTGAGTGGGAAGGCGACTTGTCGGAGGGTTGGACATAGATAGGGCTCCTGTGAATGTCGGGCGAGCTGGCACGAGGATGTGCGAGGACTTGAGAAGGACGGACGACTTGAGGGGAATCGAGACTGAGAGGAGGGGGATACAAAGTTCAGCAGAGCATCTGAATGCGATGCTGGCCATCTTTACATTGCGAACGAGAAAGGCACCGCTGAGCAAATCCGCTCAGAGTCACAAGGAGAGCAGTGACAATATCTGATTACAAATGGAGCAACTTGCTGATCACCACAGCCCAAACCCGCTGCAGATGATTTCAATCGAGCGCAATCCTCCTCCCACACGTTTGCTGCACAACATTGAGCGCATTCAAGGCTGGTCCATGCTTCTGTACTGCCCGTTGGAAGCGATCTGCTACCTAGCATCTCACTCTATCATCCCAGTCTCTGCGCACGCTCAAGGTCGAATGATGCTTCTCTCTGTGCGAGCATGGGCGGTCTACGTCATGCTTCAGCTGCTGCATTTGGTAGAGGACAATCGTCTGCTCAGACTGAGGGCTAGAGCTTTGGAAAGGAGCAGAGGTCACCCCACTCCGGCTAGAACTCCAAGCACAGAAAAGAACGTGCAGTTGGGCGACGAGCAGGAACAGACGAGGCAATTGTGGAAAGAGCTGGACGCCAGGAAAGAAGCGATATTGAACCAGCTCTGGGTCAATTTGGGCTACTTGCCCCTCACTCTGCATTGGTGAGTTGGCAGCGTGGAAAACGCTCCTTCATGGCACGACGCGGCCTCGGATGCTTGCGGAGGGGGGTTGCGAAAGATGAACGCGAAGCTAACACCACTGTCGCTCTTGACTCGCTCTTTGTCAGGTCCGTTCCTGGAGGTCTCATCTCCGACGCGTGGGTCGGTCTGTTCGGCACTGTTGCAGCGTCTGCTGGACTCAAAGCAGGCTGGCGAGCTACGGCCAAGTGATGCCTCGTTCGACACGCTGGCCCATGGATCGGCGCAGCTTGACCACGCTGAAGAAAGAGACCCTTGCTTCTCTGCTCGGAATGCGATCAACGTTAGCTCGACCATCGCTCATACTGTATGCGCGCCACAAGTATGCGTCAAATTTCATCTTGCTTGCTCGTCTAGTAGTTCCTTCGCCTGATGAACATTTGAGCAGCGCCATTTTGCCAGCTGGACGTGGAGTCGCGCTAAGGGTGAGCATGAGGATGAGGCGTTGCGCTTGCTTGATCTTAGCCTGCACGTCATGAGCGTCTGGCATACTTGCAGAGCAAGCGAGAGGTAGAGAGCCGGCTCAGACCTTGAATAGCGAAGCACGGAGGCCGAACTTCGCATTTCCGAATTTTTCGGCTCACTTTCGTGGTAGGGGTGTCTTCAGAGTCTGGTGGCCCTCCCCTTTCACAGTCAGGAATGCAGCGTGTGACCAAAGAAGGAGAAGACTCGCTCTCAAGACTCGGACACGTCGGAAGAATGGTATTGAAGATTTTTGATTCGTGAGTGTAGGAACCACCGTTCTTCCATCAGCGCTCGAGGTGCGAAATGGGTCACGTGTAGAAAAAGGCTTGCACCACCGCGGGGCCTGACGGGTTCGCAGCTTCTCGAGCATCTGAATCAAATCAAATCGAGAAGAGTGCTTCAAGAGCAGTAGAGTGTGAATCTGAACCCGATTTCAACCGCATGACAAGGTTTGGCACGGTAGACACAAGCTTTGCCGGTTTCCGGATGTAGGTATACGTCGTTGTGAGGATTCGGCTTGAAGCGGGGCTAAATGCTTGTCTTGCATGCATCTTGCTGCGTCGAGAAGTGCGGGGGGGGGGGGGGGGGGGGGGGGGTGGAGTGCTTGTACTCTAAGGGTCCTCGCAGGATGCGCGGTCGGGCGCATCTTGTGCGGCCACCTGAATTCATGATGTCGATCGGCTTATTTGGCGCTTGGACAGGATTGGCAGCCAAAGCGGTCTCGGACGGCTCAGAGATTGAGAGGTGCGATAAGCCATCCACGACGTGTCGATCGACGAATCCTTGGCGATACACGAGTCGACCTTACAGTCGTGAGTGCAATTTGTGATTGCCAGCAAATTCAGCTAGCTCCTCCCCTGTCGCAACTCCTAACGCGAGACTAGCAGACGTCAGACAGAAGAGCATGCCTTATCGTCAGCCAGCTTCAAAGCCAACCAGTCGTGAGTAGAAGTTTGTGGAGGACAAAGAGTCACTACTTGATAGAAATTGATCCATTCAAATTGACATTCACATTTGAAGTCCGTTGTGATGAATTGCCCAATCACAAGCTTGGTTTGAATGCATTCGTGATTCGCGTGATTGGACAGACCTTTATTTGTTGGTGCTACCCCAACAAGCCACCACCGACATTCTTGATTCACGATTTTAAAAATGCAGAGGAGCGTGCAGCAAAGCGGCTTAGCTGCACATCCGAGGAGGCTGCTGATCCGCACCGGGTATGCGCGCGCGCGACTTGACAGATGAATGAATCACGAATCGTGAATGAGTCCATCGTAGGTGCTACGTCCGTCCATCACCGCGTGCATGTCGACTGCATCATGCCAGCCAGTTCATTCACATTCACATTGCTAGTATGCCTACAGAATCGGCACAAAGTGTTCATGGTCTCGACACTCGACAATGATCGACTCTCCCCGCCAAGCCGCTAGTGCATCAGATCCTCCGTGGCTAAGAGAGACACTGCGTTACACATGTGCGAAAGTTGACCGACGGCCAACCTATCGAGCAAGCGTTCGTTCGTCCAATTCGTGACTCACGACTAACTACCTATAGCTGCGAGACTTCTGCTTCTGCTTCTGATTGGCTTGGCTTTGCTTGCCCCAACCCTGCAGAGCAGCCAGGCTGGCTTGTGCGAGGTGTGATGGGCAGGCAGCGGCGAGCGAGCGAGCGAGCGAGCGAGCTGCGCGTCCGCTGTCCGCTTGTGCACAACTGCATCATCGCGTCGCCGAGCCTGCGGCGCGCATGAGTCGTGAGTTCTTCATCAGTCACAGTCTACAACGTGAATGTGAATAGCAGGTTGGGAAAGTGTGCTCACACTCGAAATTCACACTTTGTGACTGGTGACCCACACAACACTCTGACTGTGTAGACACTTATCGCAAGCAATCAAGCAGAGTTCAAATCACGAGTGGAATTCGCAAAGCGAGCCACAGCCTGTTGCTGCTGCTGCTGCTGCTGCTCTTTCGCTTTGGTGGCTTGACCCTGAGTCGCATCTCCAACAATCGTGAATGAAGCAGAGCCGAGACGCTATGTTGCGGTGTTGGATGCATGCACGCTTGCTGCCTTCTGGATTGATGCTGATCTTTCGCCCGAGATGCGCCAAACGGGGCTTGCTGTTGCTGATGGCTGTGGATATAGCAAGGCAGGGTGCTGTAGAAGTCACGAACAGCTGCTGCATCTGCTGCGTGCATGTGAGTCCTGCCGTCATCATCGACTCGTGACTCTTGACTGCATGGACTCTGCGCGCGGGCAGCTTTGCCTCGCACTTCTTTATCGCAGCTGCGCGAGGTGCGACTGCTGATGCTGCTGCTGATATGCATGAGCCATTCAATCTTCCGCGCGCGCTCGATCAGCATCAGCCGCGCGCTCCCGTCTCCCGGCCGCGCATCCTGAAAGCGCCCGTGCATCCGGCCAGCCTGCCAGCCGGTCCAACCCTCGGCAAGACAGGCAGGCATCAGGCAGACAGGCAGACAGGCAGGTACGCACGCACGCACCCCCGCGCGCACGCACCAAGCATCGAAACGCAACTTCACAATCGGACGATCGAGCGGAGCAGCTGCCTCGTGTCCCTCGATCAAGAGAGATTGTAGCAACACCTGTCCTTCAAAGGCTTATTCTGCTCTCCACACCCATCACCTATTACGAATCACCCCGCCCCGCCGAGTTGCAGTACACCTCCGCTCGCTCGGCGTCTCCCTTCGCCATTCTGTACATCGACGCTGAGATAAATATCATCAGCATCCCTGACGTCCATCACAATTCTCGGGCGCAACTTGTGCGCCCTTCACCGAAGTAGTCCTCTCTACCTGATCTCTCCCCACATACTCCGCTTCGGCTGATCGCGAGCAATCTCGAGCATTGCGTGCCAACGATGACGACGCAACCTATTACTGCGACGGCCCCACAGGGCGTGCCTCGCTCGTCCTTCGTCGACACTTTCGAATCCCAACCTGGTACCCCAGGAAGCAGAACCGGACATGTCTTTCCTTCCATCAACCGCATCAGAAAGAACCTGAATGACACGACAGGTGGTCCCCTCAAGAAGCTCATGGTTGCTAATCGCGGTGTGAGTAGTCGCTCTGCGTGTTCTCGGATGCCTGAGGCCTGCGAAAGGCTTGCGAGAGCTGCCTTTTGCAATGCTGCGGGCAAGGAATCAGACGTGAGCCAATACCTGCGAGCTCAGCACCCGAGCCAGGGCTTGCAGAGGCGAGCAGATGACGGCGTTTGCTGCCAGCAGGCGGTGTAGATGTCTTTTAGCCTGATCGAGACATGAGGCTACTTGTGATCGCAAGGAAAAGCGCAACGATGCGTTAGAATGGCCTGCTTTCCAGCGGCTGAGCGATAATGGGGCAGGGTGCTGACTATCGCCTTGCTTCGATGCTCTTCTTCAACAGGAAATTTCGATCCGTATCGTCCGCAGCGCGCACGAGCTTGCCATGACCACTGTGGCCATCTACTCTTTCGAAGATCGCTACAGCGCCCACAGATACAAGGTGCGTCTCTTAAGTACCGGGTCCGGCTCAAATTACACTTGCTAATTTGTGCTGTACCTCTCGCCTTTGATATTCCAGGCAGATGAGGCATACCAAGTCGGTGCAGGCCTTTCCCCAGTGCAGGCGTACCTCGCCATCGAGGATATCATTCGCATTGCTCTTGAGCACGGCGTAGACATGATCCAGTAAGTGTAGCCCGTCAAGGTCCCATCTCATAGCTTGGCAAGCCTGCTGACGAGCACTCCACGCTTGTAGCCCTGGCTACGGTTTCCTGTCCGAAAACCCCGCATTCGCCAAGGCTGTGGAGGATGCTGGTATCGCATTTATTGGCCCTCGCCCGGAGACCATCGATGGGCTTGGCGACAAGACGAAGGCTCGTGATCTTGCTCGCAAGGCTGGTGTACCTATTGTACCTGGAACCCCTGGGCCCATTGAGGACTACCGCGAGGCTGCTGAATTCGTCAAGGAAGTCGGCTTTCCAGTCATCATCAAGGCTGCGATGGGCGGTGGTGGTCGTGGTATGCGTGTTGTCCGCAAGCAGGAAGAATTCGAAGAGGCCTTCTCGCGGGCGAAGTCGGAGGCCAAGTCTGCTTTCGGAGACCCCACTGTCTTCATCGAGCGCTTCCTCGACAGGCCTCGCCACATCGAAGTGCAACTCCTCGCAGATGGAGAAGGAAATGTCGTGCACCTCTTTGAGCGTGATTGCTCCGTTCAACGTCGTCACCAAAAGGTCGTCGAGGTTGCGCCTGCAAGCAATTTGGTAGATGAGACCCGTCAGGCTATCCTTTCTGACGCTGTCAAGCTCGCCAGAACTGCAAACTACCGCAACGCTGGTACTGCAGAGTTCTTGGTCGACCAACAGAACAGACACTATTTCATCGAGATCAACCCTCGTCTGCAAGTTGAGCACACCATCACGGAAGAGATCACTGGTATTGATATTGTCGGCGCTCAGATTCAAATTGCTGCAGGTGCCACCCTGGCAGATCTCGGCCTGACCCAGGCGACGATCCAAAAGCGTGGCTCTGCTATCCAGTGTCGTATCACGACCGAGGATCCCTCTGTTGGATTCGCTCCCGACACGGGTCGCATCGAAGTGTATCGCTCTGCTGGAGGTAATGGTGTGCGTCTCGACGCCAGCTCTGGCTTTGCAGGTGCGCAGATCACCCCGCACTACGACTCGCTGCTGGTCAAAGTCACTTGCCGTGGCGCGACTTATGAAGTGACTCGCCGCAAGATGCTGCGAGCTCTCGTCGAGTTCCGCATCCGTGGAGTCAAGACCAACATTCCCTTCCTCTTCCGCCTGCTCACTCACGACGCTTTCGCTGAAGCACGAACATGGACCACCATGATCGACGACACCCCCGAGCTCTTCAACTTGGTCCAAAGCAAGAATCGTGCTCAAAAGCTGCTCGCATACCTCGGTGACATGGCGGTCAACGGCTCCCCACTGCTGGGTCAGGTTGGCGAGCCCGGACTCAAGACGGAAATCGAGAAGCCTCCCTTTACGGACCCCAAGGATGCTAGCAAGCCGCTCGATGCGAGCAAGCCCTGCCTCGAGGGCTGGCGCAACATCATCGTCAACGAAGGCCCCGAGGCTTTCGCAAAAGCAGTGCGCTCCTACAATGGCACACTGATCATGGACACAACTTGGCGTGACGCACACCAGAGTCTCTTTGCTACGCGTCTGCGCACCATCGATATGGTCAACATTGCCAAGGAGACCAGTCACGTCCTCAAGAACGCCTTCTCCTTGGAATGCTGGGGTGGCGCTACCTTTGATGTCGCCATGCGTTTCCTCTACGAGGACCCTTGGGAGCGTCTGCGCAAGCTGCGAAAGCTGGTGCCAAACATTCCTTTCCAGGCTCTTATTCGTGGTGCCAATGCTGTCGGATATACTTCTTATCCCGACAACCTGATCTACGAGTTCAGCAAAAAGGCAGTCGAGAATGGTCTTGACATTTTCCGTGTCTTTGACTCGCTGAACAACCTCGACAGTCTCAGGTTGGGTATCGATGCAGCCAAGAAGGCGGGTGGTGTTGCCGAAGGCACCATCTGCTACACTGGTGACGTGGCCAATCCCAAGAAGCATCCCAAGTACACGCTCGAGTACTACCTCAACCTCACCGACGAACTCGTCAAGGTTGGCATCCACATTTTGGGTATCAAGGACATGGCCGGTCTTCTCAAGCCCGCTGCTGCGCGCATGCTGGTCGGCGCCATCCGCAAAAAGTACCCTGACCTCCCCATCCATGTGCACTCGCACGACACGGCTGGTATTGCCCTGGCATCCATGATTGCATGCGCAGAGGCCGGCGCAGATGTCGTCGATGTCGCCATCGACTCTATGTCAGGTCTCACATCTCAACCCTCTATGGGCGCTCTCGTCAGCGCTCTCGAGCAGACCGGCCTCGGACCAGGCATTCGTCACGAGGACATCCAGAATCTCAACCTGTACTGGACTCAAGTCCGTCAACTGTACTCGTGCTTCGAGGCCAACGTCAAGGCTTCCGACTCTTCCGTCTTCGACCACGAGATGCCTGGTGGACAGTACACCAACTTGGTGAGTGCGAGCTTTTGTGCACCCACGTCGCACCCTTGCTGATTATGATGTCTCTTGCTTCTGCAGATGTTCCAAAGTCAGCAGCTCGGTCTTGGATCGCAATGGAATGCCATCAAGGACGCATACATTCAGGCAAACAAGCTCCTTGGTGATATCGTCAAGGTCACGCCCTCCTCCAAAGTGTGCGGTGACCTTGCACAATTCCTCGTCGCCAACAAGCTGACCCCTCAAGAGTTTATTGAGAAGGTCGACAAGCTCGATCTGCCCTCTAGCGTCTACGAGTACTTTGAGGGCCGCCTCGGTGTCCCGCCTGGTGGCTTCCCCGAATTCCGAACGAAGTTGCTGCGTGGTCGACCTGTGATCGAAGGCCGACCAGGTGCGGGTCTCAAGCCTGTTGACCTTTCTGCCATCAAAAAGGAATTGACAAAGAAGTACGGCAAGACAATGTCCACTTGCGACGCAATCTCCCATGCCCTTTATCCCAAGGTGTTTGAAGAGTACCAAGACTTTTTGGAAAACTACGGCGATCTGTCAACCGTGCCCACCAGATTCTTCTGCGGCAAGCCAGACGTCAACGAGGAGATCCAAGTGTTTATCGAGAGCGGCAAGATGCTCATCGTTAAGCTCCTGGCCGTTGGTGCCGTCAGCGACAAGGGCACTCGAGACGTCTTCATGGAGCTCAACGGAGAGTCTCGTGTGCTGACCATCGACGACAAGAGTGCAGCAGTCGAGCACGAGACGAGGGAGAAGGCGGACAGCAAGAACCCCGGCTCTATCGGCTCTCCCATTTCCGGTGTCATCATCGAGATCAGAGTCAAGGAGGGTCAGCAAGTCAAGCAGGGAGATCCTCTGGCCATCCTCAGCGCCATGAAGATGGAGACCAACATCTCTGCCCCAGTCAGCGGAAAGGTCAGCCGCATCGCCGTCAAGCAGAACGACTCGGTCGCTGGCGGAGATCTGGTCCTCCTCATCGAGCACTAGGCAGGCTCGTTCATCTCCCTATATTCCTGCACCGAGCCTCTTCCCACCCTCCCTGCGATCTCGCACCGACTCTGCTTTGCTAAATGTTTCCGAATTGGCTCGATGATCGAAAGGGAACGGATGGAATCGGTTGGTTGGTCCCCATCTTTTTTTCTCAAAGTGCTACCCTGGTCGTGGACGAAAGGAGTGAAATGAAACGATGTCATAGATTTCTTTGACTCGGGCTGGGGCTTTGTGTCTGACTAGGGTTTGGCCCCGCTCGAGACGGACAAGTTCACAAAGGGCTAGCTAGCCTGCCTTGTGCGTGTACTCTTGGTTGGCACCCTCAGCTAGCGAGACGCGATTCGAATCCGGACCGTCTTCTGAAATACGCTCGGCAAGAGTACGGGGGAAATGGGGAAGAGAGAAAAGATGACGACGGTAGGTTCGCATCGCGTCTCGGTTGATTTGGAGGGAAAAGTGTGCGAAAAAGTGAGAGGGAGGGGAGGGGAGGAAAAAGCTGACGTGTCGCGCGGGGGGAGGGGGGAGAAGAGAGCCGCAAGCTGGACTTGCGAATCGTGAATTGTCAACTATGGGACAGCGTCCTAAAGCACACGCACGAAAACGCCCGAAACCATATACATATCATTTCGCCATTTCTGGGCTTTCAAAAAGTAAGGGGGGAGTCGAGAGTCGAGCGGGCGAGCAGATTGGGGGGGGGGGTGTGTGAGAGGGAAGTGTTCCTAGATTGGGCGACGCAGCGGGGAGGAAGAGGGATTCGCGGCTGGAGAAGCATCCCTACCTCTGAAACGAGGAGAGGCACTGGTGGGTTGTTGTTGTTGAGGTGTTAATTGAGGCGAGCCATGGCCAATCTGGGATCCGGGGCTGCCTCCCACTGAGGACGGGCGGGGTGCGGGCAAGAAGTGGGGCAAGTGAAGAGTGATGATGTATCAGCTCAGCGACTGGGTCGGACAAAGACAGAGCTAGAACGCCGCATCTCAGACTCACTGAAAGCGGGATTGAAGCCCATTGGGGCTCCGTACATGCTCATGAACGGGTTGAACGGCATGGGCGCCATGCCAGGCATGCTTCCGGGAGGCATGGTCGCAGAAGCCGTCATGCCGCCATCTCCGCCAATCGCCGAGCCAGGCGCTTGTGACATGCTGCAAGACCAAAGAGGTGAGGTGATCAGCAGGAGCGTTGAGCAAGTGTGCGTGAATACTCACGCTTGCATGTAGGCCTGCTGAGCAGCTTGTTGCGCAGCAAACATCTGAGCCTGCTGCTGCTGCATCTGGGCTTGCTGCATCTGGAATTGATCCTGACCAGCGCCCTGGGGTACGCCAATTTGAGAACCGCCGCCAAAGCCGCCCATCATGGGAGGCATCATCCCCATCATCTGCATCTATCGTGGGTACACAAACGAAGCGTCAGCCCCACATTCCACACGCCGTCCTCTGTCCCCGCCCGCGCTCTCACCTGCTGCCACATGTACGGATTCATCTGAGGCATGCCGCCGCCCATTCCAGGCCACTGACCGCCACCCATCATCCCCATCATCTGCTGCTGCTGTTGCCTCATAGCATCTTCTTCACGCTGCCGGCGCTCTGCAGCGACTCTGTCTCTTTCTCTCTCCGTCAGCGTAGCACCATAACCGCCGTCCTTCTTCCTTTCCCTCTCGTGCGCGGTGATGGCGCCAAGGAGGCCAGCTTGAGGAGGTGGCGGCTTGTTGGGCACGTTGACCATAGCAGCCCCTGCCATGCGCGCTTCGTGCTCTTGCTGCTTCGCACTGCGTTCCGCCTTGTCTTGCGCTCCTGCTTGCACCAAGCCGTGTGGTTGGAACACTGCCGTCATGGCACCAGGCTGCTCTTCAGGTGCAAGCGAGACAAAGGTCTGCCTGACAGCATTTGCGCTTCCGGGCTGGTCCCCAGAATAGCTGCCGCCCATCGGAGTGGCATTGCCGTCGTTGTGGGCCAGGTGAGAGTTGAACACAGATTGGCGCTGAGCAGAGGCGGCAGCTTGAATCAGGCCGGAAGGGCCACCAGCACGCATGTTGCGCTGCTGAGCAGCGCCCGGCGATGCGGAACGTGATCTAGCGTCCGACGCGAAGGCCGGACTGGGTGCTCCATACAGTGACATGCCAGCTCCCGAGGGCGGCGCAATGCCTTGCGCAGCCATCTGCTGCTGCTGCTGTTCGAAGTAGCCTCGCTGCATTGGGTCTGGCACGCTGCCACTGTACGCGCTTGGGGTGCCTGAGGATCCAGCAGGCGTGTGCTGCAGCGACGCATTGCCAGCCCTAGGCGTGAGAGCACCTCCTCCGACCGCAGCGCCATTCGCCGAGGCTTGCCGGCTACGCAAAGCAGGGCGCGCTTCCTCCTCCTCCTCCTCTTCCTCCTCCTCCTCTTCCTCTTCCTCCTCACTAGACTCTTCGCCCCAGGCGTGAGCTCTAGGTCCTTTGGCCATGCTCTTTTTCTTTGCGCCTGGACGGCCTGGCTTGTTCATAGCTTCTTGGTGAGCCTGAGCCTGAAGTTGGGCTGCAGTCTTGCGCTCCATAGCTTTCTTGTTGGAGCCAAAGGTGGAAGGGTACGCCGCGGTCGGAGCAGCAGGGGCAAGGGCGGCAGCAGGCACCGTGTTCGTTACGGCCGCATTATTGGAGACTGGTACAACGCTCGGTGTTTCAGACAGGGATGCCTGCCTCAATGCGGGCGAGGGAGGCTTGTCGAGGAAGGAATAGGCGGCTAGAGCGTCCTCACCATAATCGTCGGCATTGTTGGCGCGGAGAGATGGCTTGCGCTCAGCTTGAGGCGCAGCCGCTGCCAAGCTCTGCGGCTGCGGCTGCGCGTTGTGAACGTATGGCTCAGATTGATGCGAGATGCTCGAGGGGGCCGTGCCGGTCGCGAGAGGATCCGCAGCATCGTATACACCCGCGGCGGCACCAGTGCTGTTCGAAACGACGGCAGCCTGGTGACGCTGAGCATGCTGCTGCGCTGCTAGAGCAGCCACGTTGGCAGTGTGTCCAGGTACACTCGAAGTGCTTGGGGTGCCGGCCGGAAGCTGATCGCTCATGGCTCTCATGTAGAATAAGGCCCCCTCGTCAAAGTCTCCCGTGTCAGAATTCTGGCGGATCGAGGTGTGCTTCGCTTGAAGGCTGTTGTCCGCTTCCGCGCCTCTTCCTGATGCTTCGAGCACGCGCGGGCCTTGCTGCTGCGCACCTGCAGACTGGGATGTCGCCGGAAGATTGGCGGACACGTGCTCAGGAGAGGTGCTCGCCTGGGCAGCTCCGTACCTCGACGGCTGAGAAGAGCGTATGCTAGCGCCATCGTCGTGTGGAGCTACTGCCCTGGTCCCGGCGGGTGGCGACATCGGCAGAGGGTGCGCTGCAGCATTCGCCACATTGGAGCGGATAGAGGCAGGCGGCGGGCTCGCTGCTTGCTGTGGCGCCACATTCGCACTGGGCGCGGCAAAGGCTTGTGCAGGGGCACCAAACGAGTTGGCGATGGTGCTAGATCCCCCACTGCTGCCTCCTCGGCCTTGCCTCTGCGCGAGTCCAGACGCCACGGCTGCGCCCGCTGGAGAGATGGGCGTGAAGCCAGCATTGCTGCTAGGAGCGATCTCTGCAGCTGAGGCTGTTTGGATTTTGGGAGGTGGTGGAGGTGCTCCACCGGAAGCATCTTGGCCGGCTGCTGGCTGTACCGGCTGGTTCAACGTACCGACGCTCGACATGGCGCTCGCCTCGCGACTGCGCTCCGTGATTGAGTCGAGGCCCCCGTTTGCGCCCGCTGCCTCGGCTTGCGCATTTGACTCCCCAAAGTCGAGGGGAGGCAGCCCGGACGAGAAGCTTGGCAGGGCAGGTGCTGAGCCCTGTGCTCGAGCTTGCTGCTCGTTTTCGAGAGTGCCAGGCTGCTCTTGCTGTGCAAGCAGCTCGCCATTTGGCCCACGAGCTTGACTGTGCACTCCCACAGTATCCTTGTCGCCCACTTTGCCCTTGGCACCATCGAGACTGCGTACACTCGCAGAGTTGGGTTGCGGCAAGGGCGGTAGCACTGGCGTTCTTTCGCCTCGCATGCGAGCAGCCATGATGCCGTGCAGATTGTGCCTATTGGCCAAATGTCGCTCCTCCCGGATGTCCAAGAAATCTGCCAGCTCGCGATCTAAGAACAGACGATCCTTGAAGGGTCCAATGGGATATGCGAAAAAGGGGCTGAGCGGGTTGCGCGCATCCCACTCAAAGGCAGCTGGCCGTCCGTAGAGCTTAAAAACATCCATGAACGCTATGAGCCACTTCATCATCTCTGCATTTGCGCCTTTTGATCCGATGCTCTCGGAAAGCTCGGGCATGACCATGACCCAGCCAGTCTGACGGATTTTGCCTGTGGCGCTGGTGGTGGTCGAAAAGGGGAAAGCGCCTTCGACCTTGAACAGACTGCTGCCTTCGACGAGCTCTGGGCGACTTGGATAGACAGCAAAAGCGTGTCTGGCGTATTGTACAGTAGCGAAGGCCACCTTGGATTTCTTGGTCTCGTAGAAAGCCGCAATGCCAGGCGCTCCGTTGCTTCCTGGAGGAGGCTCAATGTCGGTCACTGCATTGGCCGCGTTCGGGGAGGAAGATGGCAACGATATGCTCATGATACTGCTGCGATCGCCGGCTTTGAGTTTGCCCCACAAACCTTTGCTCGTCGATGGGCTCTTGACCATTCCCGCACCATCCGGCGCGGGGCTCTGCGGAGTGGCGCCTCCAGGCAACTCGTTGAGGACCAGCCAGCACTTCTTCCACTCTCGCGTTCCCATGAAACGAGCCTTGACCCAGCCCTCCATTTTTCCCTTTGAAAGAGGGCTCTTGATGTTCATCTCCATGTTGCCCGGAGCGCCGCCAGGACCACTCGAAGCTGCGCTCATGTCGCCAGTCGCAGCAGCGCCCAGACGGGCTCGGATGAGCGCTCCAGAGTAAATCTCCTCCAGTCTGACCTTCTCCCAGCTTGCCAAACGGATGCCATTAACCCAAGACTGGACGAGTCTTCTGCCTACGCTACCCTCCACTCCGAACAGAATGCGGTTCTGGCCAGCGGCGTTTACAGCAAAGACGTTCTCGTAGCGTCCGCGAGATGCGACGACATCCTGTGGAGACTCTGAGAAAGTTCCGATGTAGTCCACGAACTAACAAAGAGGAGCGAGGTAGCATGTCAATGAGAGTTGCGAGCGTGCAGCTACCGAGCACAATGTGTCAGGCTGCTTACAGAATCTGTGATGTTGATGTACGTAGGGGGCACTTCTTTGCCCTCGCGAGCCGCCTGCTCCATGGCTTGTACGCTCCAAATGCTCAAAACAGTGCCAGCGAGCTGGACGAAGCACAAATGCCATCTCTTCTTCTCGTCATTGATGTGCAGTGGCTTGCCATCGGGATTGAGATCGTCTCGACGACTGAGATAGCCTTCCATGTAGATCTTCTTTGATTGGGCATCTTGCAAAGATAGGGCGCTTCGCAACTCGGGCGATCTGAAGGTCAGAGGGGCAGCTGCGGTGCGAATGGAACGCGCTGTTGAGCCGGTAGGAGAAGGTGGTCGAGCGGCTCCCGGGGGCTGATATGGGTCTGGTGATTCCATGGGCTGATAGGCAGTCAAGGGTCTCATCGACATTGTGGACAGTGTTCGCTGGTGAGTCGGCGGTGCATGACCCTGCTGGGAGCCATCTGGTCTGCCGACTTGACTGTTAGTGGAAGGTCTTGGCGAAGCTCCAACCTCAGCCTCGCCTGCGCTGTTCATGTTGTTGTTGAAGCTGCCGTTGCGAGGGATGGCCTGAGATTGCCTGTTGTGTTGTTGCTGGGATTGTTGCAAATTGTGCATCAAAGGGCTTTGACTGTTTTGCTGCTGAGTTGGGAAAGCAGTGGAATTCCTCTGGGAAGGCGAAAAGTTGTCGGCCGGCTTGGCGTAGCCGTTGCTGTCAGTGCTAGTGGTGCCATTTGCCGTGGGAAAGCCTCTGAAAGAAGATGGCGGACCGGAGTTGGGCCCGCTGCCGCGCTGTTGCGCGTGCCAGTTGGCTTGTTGTTGAGTCGCCATGTCGCGCGCGACGAATACCGGGTCTCACTTCAGCTGAGCGTGATGACTCAAAAGCTCGAGACAGTCAAAGCTGCGGTGACCGGAATTTTGAGCACACAATTGAGGCTACGAGGGGTGAAGCAGCAGACAGAGGGCGCGCTTGGTGCAGTGAGCTGAGCAAGGCGCGTCTATGCAATGCTCAGTCAGAAGAGTGATCGCGTCGTCGAAGGAGAACTACGAACAATCACGAACAGTTCGGCGCTTTGAGACGACTTTGAGAAGTCTGCCTACGTGCTGGATGACACGCGCGGTGCCGGAGGTCCCGATGAGTCTCGCTGATTGGCACGGACCGGCCAACGGTACCGCAGGCCCAAAAGAATTTCGACGGGATTCAAATCGCGGCGACTTGTTCAAAGAAGAGATGAGGTGCGGTTCCTTTGCGACTCGTGGTACGTCGAACGGTTTGGGATGAGGAGCACTTGGCGACTTCAGAACGAATGAAGGCTGTGAAAGGGTCGAGAGTAGGTGAACGTGAAGAGGTGCATTCACGATTGCAAGGAAGAGAGGTGAATGATCAAGACAAGCTGATGCGTGCGTCGCCCATCCTCTTTCGTTTATTGCAATCGTGAATCTTCAATCACCAGCAATCCCGAAGCTCTGGTCTCGAACAAGTTTGACGCCGGTGGAGCTCGCCACGATGATGCAGATGCACGCGCATGGGACCTTAGCCAGCGAGACTCACGACTGTTGTGACTATCTCACTGCACAGCTCTCTCGACCTCGCATCGGGCGGCTCGCGTCACGGCTTGTACTACTCGTGACTCACTCACGACTGACTGTATGCTAACTCGTGACTGAACTCACGACTACCAGCATGCACCCGCTGCACTCAGCACTACTCACACTCTTTTGGCCGTACCGAACCGCGCAGCCCATATGCAGCTTGGTCCGTCCGCCTCAGGGTGCCTGCAGCGTGGATCGAGCAAAAAAAAAAAATTCAAAAAGAAAAAATTCGACAACGCCGCGTCCACAAGTTATTCGCACGGCCGCGGGATGCAGGTGCGTCCTCGGCTGCTGCATGGCGCGGCCGTCATTTGCATCCTCGCTCAAGGCTGCTGTGCTGCTTGCTGCTTGCTGATGCTGAGCATGAGCACGAGCATGAGCATGAGCATGAGCATGAGCATGAGCATGAGCATGAGCATGAGCATGAGCATGAGCATGAGCATGAAAGCGAAGTGGAATGCCGCGACCGCGACTCACAGACCAGCAGGGAGCCCATGCATTCGCGCGTCATGCACTCACTGTACTCGCGACTATGTAGACAGACCTTCGCTCGGCCTCATGCCATGCCATGCATGCTCGAGCATCCATGCGCGTGGGCGTGCGCGTGCGCGTGCGCGTGCGCGTGAGCATCGCCTGGTGCCTCTTCACGAATCACGAATTCAACTCAAACTCTTCTGACTCACGCGGCTCGCTCATCATCAGCTGCCAGGCGCGGACGTCGGACCTGCGTCGCGCTTGGTTGCATATATGTGTGCTGTAGGTAAGTGTGTGCTATCATGTGCTGTGTGGGCGAGACATCAGCCGCGCATGCGTTGATTCAAGCTACATAGGTGCCCGTGGATCGCGAGCGGCCTCCCGGCCGCTCCGATTCAAATTACACCAAGAGATTTCTGATTCAAAATTGTACTCATCCCAATTGAAGGCGCGCGAGAATGTGGGTTAGTGAGTCACGGCTGGCGATCAAAGATGTGTATAGGCTTCGTCTGAGGCGCTCAAATATACAACAGTCATCAGCACCAAGTGTGAGTTTTGAGTGTATGCCCCCCTCGCCCGTCGCGATGGGTCCAAGTTGAGCCCCAAAGCGCCCACCAAGGGCCGCATGACTTTCTCTGCTCGATCGAGTCTCGTGACCCGCCTCGATTTTATCGCTGCATACATGCTGACTGGCTCGCTGCACCCGCCATATACACCCGGCGCCTTTTGATTGCATCGCGCGTGCACACCGCATCGAAATGAAGCCCCTCCTCCACCTCACAAAACCGGAAATCACGCCGCGGCTTATCCCAGCACAGCACTCAGCCCGGTCGATTCGTCGAACTTGTGAGAATTGATGCGCGCTTGCTCGGCCATCTGTAATCCCGGTTGAAGTAGTAAGCATCATCGCTTGAAAGCCATGGAGCTGAAGTCATTCAGCAACGTTGGCTTTTACACCCCGCGGCCATGTGGCGCCGAACGAGAGCTTTCACGCGGTACGGTATACTCAATTCGAGCACTCGACACTTGGCTTCGAGTCTTGCTTCGTTTGATATGACAAGCTGGATCAAAGGTTTTCGGCACGCACCATTAAAGAAATTTGGTGCACAAGGAAGAATTCTACTCTACGTGGGAACCATCACATGATGGACGCTCGCGCTGGCCCAATGTGGGTGTCACGTAGGCAAAGAAGGATTCACAGTGTGATTGTGGGTGGGCAAGGCATGGATGGCGTCTTGCGCGAAAGCTTACCGTCCGCGTGTCCTTTTGAAAGCCCAGCAATTCACACGCGACTCTCGATTGAACCGAAGATGCGGGGTTATGCCGTCCCAACGCGCAGCACAGCAGCAACAGCCCGGTCTATGCATGCAGGGCAGGCCTGCGCCTGCGCATCCAGCAAAATTGAAGCCAAATTTAAGATGAGGCATGCATGACGCGTGTGCTGTACACAGCAGCGGCGGGGCGCACAGGTGCTCGACAGCTCGGCTGCCCACGTTGAATGACTTGCTGATTTTCACACATCATGCAGCACGCGCGCTGCTGTGCGTCTGACCCTGCTGCTGGCAGTGTGAGCTGGAATTCAGGTTTGAAAGCTGCTGCGCTTGCGCTCATGATGATGATATCAGCAGCGATAGGATTGCCGCGCGGAGGCTACGGAGGCAAAAAAGGGAGCTCGCTGCTGCTGCGTGCATGGATGTGCGAGAGCAGACGAGCGAGAGAGCGAGCGAGTAAAGAGCCCGCTGAAATTTGGGGGCCACGATGCTGATTGATGCCTGCCTGCCTGCCTGCCCTACACTCCACAATGAGACTCGCACTCGACTCACTGACTAGTCTACACGGAAGAGTCACAACAGGGTTTGCGCCCAAGCAGAATCACACGTCTGCTTTCATCGTGTGCTAGCCATGTAGCTGACTGCGTACTCAGACTGGGCAAAGTAGGAGGGAGAAAGAGCTTTCGCTTCACGAACGCCGTCAGAAGACATGATCAGGAGGGGATCAAAATCGAATCTGCTCGTGAGAGTCACCAGTGCGTGCCGTCGCATCGCGCAGAGTTCATGTCTGCTCGGAAGAAAGCGTCAGGACTGTCTGCGCGCATTGGGAGGAACCTGAACAAACATACACCGCTCGATTTTGTTATTCACACGTTGATCGAGGAGGAATAGGGTGCAGTTCTGTTTCGTGATCGATACTTTCGAGTATTGGTCGCAGTTGCTGTTGCTGTTGCTGTTGCTGTTGCTGTTGCTGTAATTGCTGCTGTTAGCATGGTGTCCCATCGCCTGATGTTGAGGCCGGCATACTCATCGTGACGGTACTATACTTCTTATAGCGCGGCTGACCCGCTCCGCATCGCGCTTGCTTAATTGCTCTGCTGCTGCTGATGCGCGAGTGAGCGGCTGCATGGGAAAAAGGGAAAAAAGCCGAGCTGCTGCTGGGCTTTCTCGCTCGGTCGCTCGGTCGCTCGCTCGCGGCCGGCTCGATCGATCGTCTCTGCTACTGGGGGCCAAGCGCCCGCATGCCAGAAGGTGCCGTCAGCTCCGACTGGCTTCTCTCCTCTCTCTGTGACCCACGCAGCGAGCGCCTTGTACACACTGCACAGCACTACAACAGCCAATCCATCATCACCAAAGGACTTCTCGCACCTGAACTACCGAACCCAAACCCCTTTCATCCTTCTCGGCGAGCTTCACTCATTCACATTCTCTTTACAAGCTCATCCGAGCGTACACCGCGCATTCACACCAAGACCGTCCAACTTCAAGACCAGTCATTCCCGACTCGCGCAGAACAGGTGGATTGAGTTAGCACCCTCTTCCAGCTTTCCCTGCAAGCGTGACATCAGCCTATGCCTGGCCTGCTACCGACGTTGTGCTCACATCATCAGAGTCAGCACCGTATCGCGCACTTGAGGTTTCGACATCCTTTGGGCAATCAGGATCAGGAACTCGCCGCGTAGAGCCGCTCAAAGCAGCAGCGACTAGGATCACGTTGCGACGTCCTCGCCACTCGACTGCGCACATTGCTACGGGCTCGGACTTGGTGCGCTAGTCACAATTGCTGCGAGCCTCCGCGGATCGCTGGCGAAAAGGACCACCGTCTTCTCTGTTCGTCATTGATTGGCCTTTAGTGAGGACTGAGCCGCGACCCATGAGTCACACAGAGGACACCCCCATGGATGCGCAGGTCACCAGCGATGGAGCCTCGCACGATGAGATTTGGAAGCGCACGAGGGAAGCCTCGAGCAAAGGTGCTGCCGAAGAGATTGATGTACCGAGTGCTGGGCCCATGAAATCCCCGAACGATGCCGCTGCCGTTCAATCCACCAGCGACGCGCACACAAGCAACGTGCAGGACCGATCTGCAACGAGAGCAAACAGGGCGATACCTAGGCCAGCGCCTCTCTCCCAGCGCTCACGAACTGGCAGCACTCTCTCCATCAACGACGACGACGATCGAAGCACTCCGTCTACCCCAGCCCCTTTCGACAAGAACCCTCTAATGGTAGATGCAGAGGACGAGGATGTGAAGATCGCCATCATGGCTTTGGGTGCGATGAAGCATCTCGACGGCTCAGCAAGCAGCAGCGCAAGCGGTAGCGAAGGTCCAAGTCGACGAGAATCGAGTGCTGACAAGCTTGGCAGCAGTGCGGAACGGGGCCCGGCAGGCCAACCTACTGATGCCCATCTGCGAGTGGCATCCTTGCCCTCCACCTCTTCTGCCGCTTCCACCATGCTCTCGTCGCCAATGTCTACGCCTGGCTCTGAAATGACCGGTTTGTCCATGCCCTCATCCGCCTCCTCGTCCAAGCGCACCGCTGGGTCCCAGTTCCCAGCGACTCCACGGACTCTGGGCGATCTGCCTGCAGACTTTCCATTCCCTGCTGTCGTCACTGATGAGCATGGAAATGAGTTGACGGTCGATCCAGAGATGATGAAGGATGCCGATTTCTTGCGCAGGGTCTCTCACCTACCTATCGTCAGAGGTACCTTGCGAGCATACGAGCTCAGCAAGCAAAGGAGCAGAGTTGTCAAGTACGGCGGCGACCTAGTCGAAAGCGGAGTCAAGGCCATCGGAGGACCCGTCGTGAGTCGCTTGGGCGCTAGACTCGGTGAAAAGAATGTCGAGCAGCTCGATGCGTTTGCTTCAAGGCAGCTAGAGAGGCTATATCCAACTGGGGAAGACCCGGCCTCTCGCGAAGAGAATCAGCAAATTCTTGAAGAACTCGATGAGCGCGAGCGCACAGAGTGGAAGGATATGGGTGCAGAGGAGAAGTCAAAGCGTCGCCGTGCTTATTGGGCTTTGCGACTCGAAGAGCGAGAGCGAGAGATGGTGGTCAACGAGCTACGGCAACGCAAGGGCAAGAGTCGTGCGCAGGACTCCGAAAGCAACGAGTCTGGGGATCGCAATGGGTGGGCCACAGGGTGTAAGTTGCTGCCGCTTTTCGATGAGTCAGCTGAGCGCCTGACTCAAGCCGACCCTGATCGCTTCGCAGCGGCCCCAGCGTCGCAGGCTATCGTCGCGACACGCAGTTCTGACGGCTTTGATGGACGAGGTCGTAGTGATTCGGACACACGAGCCATCGGACCCTCCGCATCTACCAGTGGCAGTGGCTGGGGCTCGATGCTGGTCGAAGCCGGCGTCACAGCGGGTGGTCTCAGTGCCGCCGTCAGCGAGGAGAGCATGAAGAGTCTGAAATATTGTCTTCAATGGCTGCAGTACGCCACTGCGCATATCGAGCATCAAATCACGATCCTTCGCGACCTCATCGTCAAGCTCAACCACGGTGAACTAGAACTGTCCAATGCAGCTCTACAAAGCCTTGGGCTAATCAAGGGCGACGTCGTTGGAACCATCCGCGGTGTTGTCGACGTTGTCGGCAAATATGCCGGAGGTGCGCTTCCTGAGCCCGCAAGACGGTCCGTAAAGGCCTTTATTCTTAGCCTGCCAGCGCGATGGGCGACTGTCAATCGCGTTGGTGGACCTGTAGCAGTAGGCAATGGTGCGATGGGGTCACCTACTGGCGGATCATTTGGTGGTTCGCCTGCGTCTCCATCCTTTTCTGCTGCCCACATCAGCGGAGGCGACGCTGCCATGCAACACCAGCTGAGAACTACAAGCCCACACCGTGCCACCCAGGCTGCGGCTGCCAGACAACAGCAACAAATGCAGCAAGTCGCTACGCAGCAAGCAGCCAATCGAATCTTGACACTGGCAGTCGAGAGCTTGGATGTCCTTCGCAGCGTCACCATCATCTTTGGCGAGTCATTGGATCGAGCTGATCTCTGGGTAGAGAGGCTCAGAGTGCTCGGTCTACAGAGAAAACGTGCTCACGAGCATGCGCTCGCCGAAGAGGCTGCTGCTCGTATCGACGTTGGCATGGGCGGCGCCCTCACGAGTGGTCGACACGCTGATTGGGAGAGTGCACGAGGCATGTCTGGGCTGCGTGGAGCTAGTCCTGGCGCGGACAGCGTGGCGTCGATGACCACTTCCGCTTCAGGCTCAAAGCGCAGAAGAACGCGAGGCGACCCGACTTCGACGAAGAGCCCCAGCCCATCCATGCGGGGCGCCAGCGACGATGAGGGTCAGCGAACAGAGACGGATAGCAGATCTGCCCGGGAAGGCGCAATGCGGAATCGCAGCAGGAGCAGAAGCAGAAGTGGTGCGGCCGCCACATTGCCCGCTTTTACGCCTGGAGCTTCTGGAGCTTCTTCTAGCGCTATCGCCTCACCCAACCACCATTCTTCAGGCGCTCATTCAGCGAGTCAGCGAAGAAAGAGAGGCAGCGCAAGACACTACTCGGCCAGAACCCCTTCGGCCAACAACACGCCGGCTTTCGCTTTCAAGGAACTCGATTTGGTGAGCTGCTCGCGCAATCGCTCGAGCACTGTGATGAGCCGAAGTGGCTGACCTCGCATTGTTGCCCAACCTCGCCTGACCAGCACGGCGGCGGCGCTGCTAAGAGGGGATGAGCTAAAAGTGTCGCGCTTGTCAATGGGATCTTCGCACCTTTTTGGACATTCTCGAGCCCCCACGGATACAGCTCGCAATTCCGAAGCTGCCCGATCAACCTGCTCTCGGCCCCTCAACTCAGTATTCGATATCCTTTGGCTTTCCTCTTTCACATGTCGCACCATTTGGTGGACGTAAGACCAGAATTGTCGATGCATTTCTCACCCAGACCATCGTTCCGCGCCTCTTCATACTCCTATCATCATCTCAGACGCTCGCTTCATCTCTTCATCCCACGCACACTGTTCTTCGATTTGCAAACGCGGACGCGCGCGCGCGACACGCTCCTCACATTCGCTTCCTCCGGGCTCGGTCATTACATCACACCACAGCAGACGAGCGAGGGTGGACTGCATCCTCTCCTTGCCCAGCGCCACTACCATCCTTGTCCACTATTTGTCGCTCATCAGAGAAGACTTCTGTTCTCTCTTTGCAATCCTCACGAGTGTCAGCACGTCCGTCGCTTGTAGAGTTGCGGGCTTGCGTCGCGTTGACCTCTCGAGGTTGGAGGGCGTGGCGTGGCCGATGCAAGTCTGGAGCGTCGATGACGCAGGCGCGGTACGGAGCAACGAATGTCTAGTGATTCGTTGGACAAGCGTGTGCTAGTAAGGACGGCAGTCGGAGTGAGCTTCATCTCTCCGACGCCGGAAAAAGGAAAACGAGCCGTCACGCTCGAGCCGTGGGTGCATGGGCCTTTGAGAAGATGCGTCTATACAGCGTCCGCGCGTGCGTGGTTCTTGCATCTATAGCCGCGCCGTGCGAGTGCAGGCTGCTGCATGGCAGGGCAGGCAGGCAGGCTTGATCCGCGCGGCTTTCCAGACCCATGCTGCAGGCTGCTCTGCTGTGCTCCGCTGTGTCGAGCGTGAAAAGAAGCCTTGAGCGGGTGCGCGGGTGCGGGTGCGGGTGCGGGTGCGGGTGCGGGTGCGGGTGCGCGGGTGCGCATGAATGAGCGTGCGGGGAAGCGTGTTCGCCTCGCCTCGATCGCTCGCGCGTCATGCGGCAATCAACCGGCCGGTGCAGGCGCTACAACAGGCTTGCGAACGAGCGAGGGTGGTGCATGCATATGAGTCAAGAGTGGAGACGAGCTTTTTGTTCGCGTCACGATACCAGTAGTAGTAGTGATTGAGGGCTGAGTGCGTGGATCTTCACTTCACGTACAGGATTCTTTCAGGGTCACGCAAGGCATGCATCACCACATCCACTTCTTTGCGGACTTTTGCCTCCCTTCGCGACTGCGAACTCGTTTGGGAACTCACTCGCTGCTAGAAATCGAACGTCCTTCGCTCATCGAGGCCAGGCCACGTAACAAGGGGTAATCGATCGCCAGACTGTTGGGCGAATAGAGGCGAGGAAAATCTTCTTGGCAAGGCCAAGTGCCGCAAGCAAAGCTCACAAAGCTGGGACGGCTTCGCAAGTAAAAGGTGATCGATAGGCAACAGATACAGAAATTTTCGTTCACTTGGACTCTTTGCAAAGGCTCTGCCTCGCCTCTCTTCAACGGCACAAAGGACAGATATAGATAGGCCCCCAACATGTCTGCCGGAAGCGTATCTGGTGACAGCTCCACCACCTCTCCTCGGCCCAAGACCGAAGGCAGACGCTCATCCTTCCTCGCAAAGCTGCGTTCCATCGACTTGTCCAACCCGGGTCAAGCCATGCAAGGGTACGCCATGGATGCCGTGCTGACGGGAGCGTTGGGAGCCATCACTACTGCGCCGCCTCGCTTGCCTGTTGCCAAGAACAAGGAACCTCTGGCATTGAGCACTGTGGCAATCAACATGCGCGTAAGTCTGTTTCCCGATGCGCCCCCTTCCGCAGGGTGATTCATTAAGAGTCTATGGATACAGGTGGTTGGCGCTGCCATTCCCCCCCCCCCCTCCGCCCTTTTGTCGCGGCACACCCTGCTCACACGATCCCCCTCTGCCCCGCGCCTCAGGCTTTCACTCAAAAATCTGGTCCCATCTTTTACTTTCAAGATGCCGTGGAGGCCACTTTGGTGTGGGATGATTGGGCATGGACTACGATGTGGATGGCCATCTGGGCAGTAGTTGGTGAGTGATATCTGCGCGAAAAGACGTCGCGCCGATAGCAGGTGTTGGGTCACTCGTTGGAGAGGCGTACTCCGCAGCGCAACATGAGGGCCTTGAAATCTGTCCTAAACTAACACGGCGCTCGACGTCGTCCTATCATACCACAGCTCTGCATCCATTCCTGCTGCTCTGTGCTCCCACCGCCATCCTCTCGATCATCCTGATGCGAACATATGCGGTGCGATACCCATCAGGAGTAGCCGTTCCTCTCAACGTTGCAAGCTCTCAGCCCGCCTCGCAGACCATCGCATCTGGAGGTGGAGCAGCTGGCTTGGCCACACCCACTCCAGCCCAGAGCGTGGCTCATAGTCTGAGCAAGCCCACTAGCACCGCAGAGGGTGCAGTCAGAGATCCCGTCGTGCCCAACCCGCCACACGAAGGAGAGATCAGATACTATGAGAACTTGAGAGACATTCAGAACATGTGAGTGCGCAATAGTGTTTCCTGCCGCTTCGTCATGCTTGCTGAATTGACCGCTTGGCCATGCAACTCCACGCAGGATGAAGATGGTAACGGATATCTACGATCTGGTCGCGCCCTCTGTAGGGTTCTTGAACTGGTCCTCCTACCCCAGATCTCTGTTGCTTCTGCAAATCTCGCTCGTCTTGACGGCCGTGCTGTTCGTCATTGGCCCTTTTGTGCCACTGCGCCCAATCTTGCTCGTGGTGGGCGAGCTGGCTTTCTTGGCCAACCATCCCTGGGTGAAGCCCGCCGTGCAAGGTCTTTCTCGCGCCATTGATGAGGAGAGAAAGCAAAATCCCAAGGGCTTGACGAACAGACAATTGAAAAAGATGGAGAAGCGCAACAGGGAAATGATGAGAAGATTGCAGATCTGGTACGATGAGGATCGACTGGATGACCAGGTTTGGGAGCGAGGATGGCGAGACGTTGAAATGTTCGAGTGAGTCTGAACATGTTTCGTGGCCTCATTTGTGAAAGTTTGTCGCTGAATGAGCGACGTTGTTCTCAGAAATGAGCGTTACATCTCTCCAACAGCCGTTCGTAGCGGACAGACGCCGGGCTGGTCAGTGCACAACTTGCAGTATGGAGAGAGAAAATCTTTCACGAAGGCCAAAGACGGGTGGTCAGCTTCAGAGCTTGAAGTGAGCAACTTTGGAACGGAAATCAGCAGGCAGGTGGCCATGAGCTTGGAAGAGGGGTGGGAGTGGGTGAAAGGCGACGAATGGCGCATTGATTGGATCGGCGAGTGGTCCGATGCCGGAGTAGATGAAGGTGAGAAGTGCGGAGCTGTCTTAGATTCGATGCTTTGTTAGAATAAGACGCAAGCTTACTCAGACGCTGCTTGCTACCGGCACGATGTCGACGCAGAGGGTTACGTCTACACCAACAACTCCTGGCTGAAGCCGTCTCCCTATCCTTACGGTCATGCCGGCCAGTCCATCTCTCCACCGCCGTCTCGCTTGCGTCAAGCTTCACGAGCCGCTTCCATAGCCGGATCAGCATTGTCCGATGCTGGCTCAGATTCTGATGATTCGGTCCTGTCATTCGAGAGTGACGAGACGGAAAAGGTCAAGAAGGAGGGCAAGAGCGCCAGCGCCAGTCGCATGGCTGTAACTAGGCGCAGGAGATGGCTCAAGAGAGCCGTGAGGGTGCAGCCCGCTGCGTAAAGCACATTTGTGACCTCTCAATCCAAATTTCTCGTCTTGCGATGCGCTCATCCCCATCGCCACGCAGCCTACATCGATTCCGTGGGCGATACAAGGAAACGTACCAGCTTGTGCTGCTGTAGAATGGACTGCATCGAAAGTTCCGAACGACGTTCAAGCAACGGCAATCTAATAGCGAAGTGCGTCGACTGCGTCGCGCATTGCGAAGAAATCTGTTTTTGCTGCCTAAATCGGGACTCTCGATAGTCTAGTACTCCCGATTGATGGGCTTTTCTCGCGTGCGTCACTACGAATGTTACTGGGCTGGTCCGACGCGTGGCCCCTTAGAGCGCGTGTGAGCATGTGCGCGGTTGGGCCATCAGCATTTTCGCGTGTTAACGACGTACGCGCGCGAATGACTCGGATCGACCGTTTCTGACCGCGGGATCGCAGCGCGAAACAGCTCAGCTTGCACCTGTTCAGGATGAAAGCAGGAAAGAGGACTGATTTCCGGAGCTGATCGTGGGGGGGGTGTCCCCGAAAGGCGGTTCGGATGGCATCTTGCCTTGCCAAAACATGAAGGGAGAGTATAGGGAAGGAATTGTGCGGCCCTGCGCAGAGATCAAAAGCGCAATTTGGTCATGCAAGCATCGCGCCCCAAAATCCAGCTCCAACACGGAGGAGCATCTCGCTTGCTCTTCTTTGCTGGATCGAGACGACGACATTTGGCACTGACTGGACTGATGGTCGAGCCACCGTCGAGGCAAATGTCCCTGAACATCGTCGTTTGGTCCCCGTAATCGCACGACCCTTTCTTCCAAGGTCGCGCGCGCCTTGCTGGACAACAAACGCTCACGCAAGATCCGACCCCCGAGCACACATGCAAAGCACGTCCACTCCCCATGCGGTACGCCAAGTCACCGAAGTGTGGCATGGCCTTGCTAGTCTCGCGCTTCGTTCTCGGTGTCAATCCCGTCATACCGCTGACGGAGCGATTGGCCAACAAACTTAGGAGGCGAGCCTTATCCAGCCAGACTCAGCGTGCTCCAGGTCCCAGAACAGAATCACTGACATTGAACTTGATGACACTTTCCTGCTCTGGTCGGGTCATTGAGCTGCAACTCTGCCCACTGATCGGTCAATGCAGCGGCAATGACGCGCAGATCAAGGCGATCCGGTCAGAGACACAGGTGAGGCCCTCGACGTGCAAGCGCAGCCATTCGGAGGGTCAACAAAGCGTGTTGCATAGTGTCATGCGTAATGTGCGACAGCTCATCTTCTAAGCCAACAAGATGTTACAGGTCCGAGTGCTGACAAGAAAAGTCGACATTCGCGTGATGGAAGACGTGATGGGAGTGATAACATGCAGTGAAGCCGAGTAGATCACTTCAACTTCTTCTTGACACTGTGATTTGACAACACGACACTTTCAAGGTGAGCCAGTAGTGGACGAAGAGAAGATCCATGAATTGTGACTTACCGGAGTTGAGAAGAGTGACCGCACTTCTTCTTGCGGCAGTTGGTCGCACGAGGTGGAAGACGTGCGTAGCACTTGCGGCAAATTTGCTTGTCGCAGTTGTACTTGGAGGCGAGCACCTTGAGCGAAGGCTCAATCAAACCACCGCGAAGACTGTGAATGGCGTGCGATGAGGGTGTAAGCTGCGCTGTTACAACGTCGCAGCGGCCTGTGCTTCTGAAGCATCTTTACCCTGCAGCTATGCTAGGATACAACCCTCCATCGTGCGTCCTCGGACCGTTGCACGCGAGCGTACCGGAGCGCACAGCTGACCACGTTTGGCCATGCTAAGCTTCCATCTGCGCCAACGCGTATCTCTCCATCACCCGCCACGTTCGCATGCTTGGACTCACCGGAGCACAAGGTGAAGAGTGCTCTCCTTCTGGATGTTGTAATCGGACAGAGTCCTGCCGTCCTCGAGCTGCTTGCCAGCGAAGATGAGACGTTGTTGGTCAGGAGGAATTCCCTCCTTGTCTTGGATCTTGGCCTTCACATTGTCGATCGTGTCCGAAGACTCGACCTCCAAGGTGATGGTCTTACCCGTCAGGGTCTTGACGAAAATCTGCATGCTGTTCCGAAAGCAAAAAGGATGGATTGCCGCGTGTGAGCTGTTGCGTCCAAGCAAATATCAAACATCCCATGGGAAACGTAGCAGCGATCTTAGAGCATGAAGCCGAAGTGAGCTCAATGGCCAGAAATTGGATAAAATTGGATAGGCAGAGTAGACATGCCTCTCCTGAGCCCCCACGAGATCCAGGCACGCGCTCCGAGATTGAAGCTGCCACAAGCGCTGAGACTCGTTGCTTGATCACGCCATCGCGTTTCAGGTCAAGTAGTGTCACCTGAGCGCGCTTGCAATCCCACGAAAGACGCCAGCTGCACCATTGACCCAAGCCGTACGCCATGTCGCTGTATGCCCTACCCCCTGCTGCCCTCCCTCTCTCCGGGTGGCGAAGCTGCAGTCCGCTGTCATCTGCAGTACTGAAAGCCAGCCGGCGTCGAGTCCCAATTCGTCTGGAATGCTGGACCGAATCGAGAAGAGATTGTGTGGGCGAGAGATACTCACGTTGTTGACCTTACAGAGGGGTGTCTGGGATTGCTGGATCGGTAAAGTCAGGAAGATGGAACGGCTTGGCCCAAGAGTTGGCGACACCCTTCCAGTGTCGTCTCCCGTCCTGTGACCTGCATGTATCGCCCGCAGCGTGGAAATCAAGGGACACACTCAACCACGTGGAGCGCGTTGTCCGGCTTGCTGATCAACCACAGCACGCCGCATACGTCCAGCCACGTGGCTGCAGCGCGAATGCCAGAGCGCATGCAGACCACCCGGCGCGCAGCTGCACCCCGGCAAGACAGACTTACGACCTTCTCGAACCATACTTTCGACATCACCAGCCTGGCCCATCCCATTACCACTTACCTGAAGCAACCCGTATTCACATTCATCAGAAAGTCGTCAAGATGGCATCTCACAACATTTCCAAAAAGAGAAAGGTGCGCATAAGTCGAGGATGCAGCATTGGATGGGACGTGTTGAGCAGGATTGCTGGAGGCACCGACCTGCACCAGTCCTTCCTAAGGGGCGGGGGAGTTGGCGGACAATGTCTGGCTACGAACGAGCACTTGGCGAATTCTTGGGCCTTGTCTGCCACCCTATCTGCGTGAAGGGGAACCCATCGCTGATGCCATGCCTCCGACTTCCTCCACTTGCAGTTCGTAGCGGACGGTGTCTTCGCCGCTGAGCTCGGCGAGTTCTTCACTCGCGAGCTTTCCGAGGAGGGTTACTCTGGCTGCGAAGTCCGCGTCACCCACGCCAGAACCGAGATCATCATTCGCGCCACCCACACTCAAGAGGTTCTTGGAGACAAGGGTCGCCGCATCCGCGAATTGACCGCCCTGGTTCAAAAGAGGTTCAAGTTCCCCGAAAACTCCCTCGAGCTCTACGCCGAGAAGGTCCAGAACCGTGGACTGCACGCTGTCGCTCAGTGCGAGAGCTTGCGCTACAAGCTTCTTGGCGGTCTCGCTGTGCGTCGTGCCGCTTACGGTGTCCTTCGATTCGTCATGGAGTCCGGCGCAAAGGGTTGCGAGGTCATTGTGTCTGGAAAGCTCCGCGCTGCTCGTGCCAAGAGCATGAAGTTCACCGACGGTTTCATGATCCACTCTGGTCAGCCCGTACGTGACTTCGTCGACGAGGCCGTTCGCCACGTCTTGATGAAGCAAGGTGTGCTTGGTATCAAGGTCAAGATGTGAGTAGCTTGCCACATCGCTGGTCTTCTCGGGCTTGGGGAGCAGCCACATGCATTCGCACTTGGCATTGCTGCCCGATCTCACGCTAACCCGTACGTTCTTGTGTCGTGCCCCAGCATGCACGGCTGGGACCCCGAAGGAAAGGCCGGAAAGCCGTTCCCTCTGCCCGATGCAGTCACCATCCTGGAGCCGAAGGAGGAAGCGCCCATCACTCAGCCAATTTCCGAGAGCCGTTTGCCTCAACAGCCCCAACCTGCTGCCGAGCTCGCTCCCGTCGCCGAAGGATCTGCCCCAGAGGCTCCTGCTCAAGCTGGCGCCTACTAAGCAGCCTCGCTGTTTAGCCGCACCACGAACGATGTCAATCTGACCCTTTGAATCGATTACATGGCCTTCGAGCCTCTTCTCCCCTTGGGTCCGTGTCGCCCTCTCGCCTACCCTCACAAATGATCCACACATCCACCTTGCCACTTCGATCAGCCTAGTCGCGTCGGACGACTTGGCATGTACTTGTTCACCGCACCACATTGTGCAATCTACAGAAAAGCCCAATGGGCATCCCACGACTCTTGCCCACCTGCTCAAATTCGTGCGCGTCTCGGCGATGTCATCTGAGACGACCTCGTTGGGATCGCAGCTTGCTGCGAGACTATGCCCTGATTGTCTCATTCTCAGTGCGCCTGAAAACTAAGATCAATACAATGGAGACCAGCGCACACGGCTCGCTCTCTCCTGTATTACCAGCATTGGCCACAGCGACACATGCTCGACGTGCTTACGAGGTCGCAGATCATCTGCCAGCACACTCCTGTGGCAGACCAGAATGTCGGTGAGTTGATGTGCATTGGTTTACATGATAGTCAAGCTGCTACGTGGTAGCTCATGATGCGTGGTGTAAAAGATTTTGAGATGAGTGGCCATCGACGGTAGATGCATCGCCAATGACCACCCAACAATGTGACGAGAGAGCGGACGAACACAAGAAGTACCCTTATGCCTCCTCAGAGCGGACCTTGGCTCCAGCGTTGGTGACCTTCACACCGAGGATCTTAGCCCTGAGAGATGAAGCAAGCGGGGCGATTAGCGGACACTCATCAATCGCGACACTCGCACATCAAAGATGAGCCCAATCGTCGCCTGACTTCTTGCGCATGCTTCCCAGATTGTATGTGCAAAGCTTTCCATCTAACCCTCTTCAACTCCAATCACGCCGTCTCGATAAGCGCGCTGCGCACTCACTTCTCAAGGATGTCGAGACGCTTACGGCTAGAAACGTTGTGGGCGATCTCGGCTGCAAAAGAAGCGTTGTGCCTGATTGAGTGCGAGAGATATGGTGGGGTCAGTCCATAGACTTTTCTTTTGTCGAGCAGCGCCGAGATTGTGACGTCCTGCGGCATACGCGCTCATCCAGGCGACTGCGGCTGCTAGCTAAGCCTATTCTCCCCCTCGCCCCCAACTCACATCAAGAGCAGGTCAACATCTCTAGGGTTGTGGACCAGGAATCGGCGGTAACCGTTGGGCAACAGGTGACGAGTCTTCTTGTTGCTGCCGTAACCGATCTTGGGTTGAGGAGCCGTACCACGGAAGCGTCTACGGGTAGCGCTGTCAATACCTCTCTGATGGCGGTGAGAGGTGCCAACTCGCTTGTAGCGGTCACTGTGGTGACGCTTGAAGGACTTCGTCCTCTTCTTGACGATGGGAATCTTTGTGGCGGCCATCTTGACTGGAATGGGAGGAGGCAGACATGGGTCAGCCTAGCGCGCAACCGACATACCGACAGTGACCTTCGCGAACCGAGCGACGCGCAAAGTAGCTGCTCCCGTGGACTGCTCTAATCCTGCCCCCCCCCCCGCGAGTCAGCCCGCGCACCGCACAAATATGCTACATCTCCTGTGCACCCCCCTTATCGAGATGTCTACTCTATGCTGATGAGTGTTCATCATAAAGTTTTACGCCGCTTCACGCAGTGCGGCGCTTCACGCAGTGCGGGGATTGCGTATCGTGATGGGTGCAGGCCTCCTCTTTCCCTGCGAGCATGTGCAGCGTTCCTGACCCAGCAGCTGACCACTTCGCTCGTACTCCAGAGGGGGACATGCCTGTTGTGACGTGGCGCAGATGCGGTAACGATCATTTGTACTTACAGTGTCGATGAGAGATGTGTGTGGTGTGGTGATCGTCCAGAACGATGGGCTGCGAATGTTTGGACACGATGCGGTGAGACGGAGAGGCGAAGTTCTGTTGGCCTGAATCTGACCTCGGCCGAGAGCAAGCTCTTTAGCTGCACGCCGCCCTCAGTTCTCGATTCCCCTCAGCGCGGCTGGCCAAGAGCTGCGGCCGCTCCTGTGAGTCGCGGCGCATGATCAGTGCTCTTTTCCCGCGCGAGTACTGGGTCTCGCGCAGGCGCGGCGCGCGCATTTTCGCTCGCGTGGCACAGGATCACATCTGGGGCTTGCGTCGCGCCAGAGCTGAGAAGACGTCGGTCGCACTGACAACGCTTTGTCGTTTGAGCGAGCACGCCGAACCAGCGTCCAGTCGACTCACCTTCTCTTCCCAATACATCCTCAAGACAACATTCAAATACACCCCAATCGTCCTATCTTCGGTTAGTATTTTCTACAAATCTCATCGCGGTATTCGCAAGGGCAGCGGAGTTTTCTGCTTGTACCTTTCGAGCAGGCCATTCTTCCGCTACAGGCTCGACAATCTGGCGATTGGTCGGAGCGCTCGCCCAGGACTATTGGCGGAGAAAGGAGGGAAGAAAGGTGGAGATGTGGCTAGCCAGGCTCGCGCAGAGGTGTTCGAATGCTTGCAGTGCCGTGCTACAGCTGCGGGAGGGTGCTCAGAGATGGCGCTGGGTATGAGCACGACTTGGGCAATTTCTCTGCTGCGAGATGGAGAGCAGCCTGGCGAGGGAGAGGCAGAAACCCAAATGAAGGTCCGCGAGCATCACAGGCCGTTGGCGCCCCGAGTTCCGTGTAAAGAATTGGCAAGCGCTTGGTCAATCTTGGCGTGGAGGAGCGAAGCTGACTCCATTTACCTTACGCCTTTGCGCTCTGTTCAGCAATGGCGAGCTTCAGCAACAAGCCGGTCGTCGTTGACGCCAAGGGTCACCTTCTTGGTCGCTTGGCTAGCACTCTCGCCAAGCAGGCTCTATCTGGACAAAAAGTCGTTGTCGTTCGATGCGAGGAGATCAACGTCAGCGGTAGCTTTTTCAGAAACAAGGTGAGTATCGATGACCATCGACTGGAACACAAGGCTGGGTGTGTAAAGCCGGCGGTCGCTAGTCGGAGACCACGATCAGCCTGAGATTGGTAGATATGCCACTTTCAGACGCGACGGGCGAAAGGCAGTCGCCGGCTCACTGCTACTGGCGGCTATCCATCACTTTTGGTGCTACTGATGTCCCCAAATCAAACGTTCCGCTGACCGACACTCCTCTCGATCTGCAGCTGAAGTACGGGGCGTACCTGCACAGAAGACACTTGACCAACCCGACGAGGTCTGGTCCCTTCCACGAGCGTGCACCTTCTCGCATCCTCTACAAGGCCATCCGCGGAATGGTCCCCCACAAGACTCAGCGTGGTGCCAAGGCTTTGGAGCGCTTGAAGTTGTTCGAGGGTGTCCCTCCTCCTTACGACCGCACCAAGCGCCTGGTGATTCCCGGTGCGCTGCGAGTGCTCCGCTTGAAGCAAGGCCGCAAATTCGCAACCATCAAGCGTCTCAGCTCAGAGTTTGGATGGAAGTACGCAGACGTCATCGACAAGCTGGAGGCCAAGCGCAAGGTCAAGGGTCAGGCTTACCATGCACGCAAGGTTGCACTTACCAAGAAGAAGGCAAGCGCTGCCACCAACGCGGGTGAGGCTCTCAAGCCCGTCAACGAGAAGCTGGCCGTGTACGGCCTGTAAGCCAGCACGTCAGCTTGCACTCCCTCGTTATATTGCTTTCGACTACTCGTTGCCCTTCACGCATTCCACCAAGCCCAGCAGCTCTCCAGCAGACCACTTGAGAGCGACATGTACACTTCTTGAGCTGCATATCCCTCACAGCTTGCAGTACGGCTCATGAGCATATACGCACCCTCCCAAAAAGACATATGCACATCATCAGAGACCTGATCTCAACAGACTTGTGTCAAAGCCCGGCCCAAATGGTCGAATTGTTCATTCAGTCACACATGCTCTTGACCAGTCGCACGTGGGTCTGGTTTGCGTCGACGGTTGTTTGAGATCAAAATCGCCATTCGTGGTTGTCAGCGTGCAACGCCGTAGCGCGCATCGAGAAGCAGCGAACGAGAGTGGACATCTGTGCTGAGCAAAAGGTGGAGTACAAATCACAATCGTGAAGGGTCACCGGCTGGCTGAGGCCGGGCTACGAAAACGAATGCAATCATCGACTGCGTAGGTGGATCGGTGCAGTTGTGGAAGTGCTGCAGCTTGCACTACTGCAAGGGAGGCGCACAATGGCACCTCCGATGTCATTGCGAGGCCATGGCCAGCTATGTGAAAGTCGGACTCACCGGTCTTGGCTGAGCCCAGCCTAGGAAGTCAGGAATGACCTTCGAGTTGATCATCTTGAGGTGAGCAGGCGGACAAGGAAGCTCAAAAGGCCGATTGATGCGTTCTCTAAGCTGCCAAACATGTTGGATGAGGGCGGGTGGCCCCGTAGCATGGCGAGAAGGTTGAGAGCAGCACGCACGCACGCATACACGCACGTGACGTCGAGGCGCGTTCAGGCTGGCGCGGTGCAAAGCTCAAAAAAGTCGCTGGTCAGAGTCATGAGTCTTTGAGTCTTGAGTCTTGAGTCAGGCCGGTTCGAGTCTTCAAAATGACGAAATGAGTTGTGAATGAAATGCAGGACCCCGTTTCGGCGCTTCGTAAAGTCACTCAAAGCTTCTGCTACCTCCTCGCTGCTTTCTGCAAGGCTTGCCAGTGCATTCAGGGCAGAAAGGGATCAAGTATGCCGCCCAGAGTCAAGCCAGCTCCTGCAACAGCCAGGAGGAGGGGTCGTGGTGCTGCAGACGTAGAGTCTGAGGTGGCGAGCGAGATTGCGAACGACGGCGAAGCTTCTTCATCCGCCACATCCCCTTCTCCTAAACAGCCAGCATCCATCTCTGCCACCAATTTAGCTCGCAATCACGCTGCGCATACTCATGGTTTCTACGCATCAGGACCCGGATCGGCGGCTTTCACTTCTGCTTCTAGCTCGAGGCTGATAGATCGGCAGCTTGATCCATCGCGTTATGAAGATGTCTCGATGGACGATGACTTTTGGTCAAGGTACGCTGGCGCTGCTGAAGACAACAGTGGGGCCGCGATGGACGTGGACGGGCAAGGCATGGGAATAGGAGGAGAGTACGAGCTGGATGCTCACGGCAAAAAGTACAGACCTGGCGAGATCGAGGCATTACCTCCAGGCATGAACAAAGCGCCGGGCAGCGTGCTGGAGATGGCTGAAGCTATGGGCTTGTCCAAATCGGGCGTCAAGGAGGATCTGCAACATATGCTCATGAAAGGTGGCAAAGGCCTCACTGATCCCATCAAGAGCGTCGAGGTGAGTTGGCTCGGACGGGCGGCACCGTACCTTTCTGTGTGCTTCGCTGGAGGAGATGCGCGGCCAAGTACGCGCTGCTTCCAATTGTCATGGCTGACCCCACTCCCTACCATCGTCGTTCTCAAGGACAAATGGGAGCTGCTACCAGCCTTCTTGAAAGTCAAAGGGCTCGTCAAGCAACAGTGAGTTGCGAATGCGCCCACCTTGTGCACTCGTCACCCTCGCTGACTTGCCTTCTCGACCACAACAGCATCGACTCTTTTAATTACTTTGTGGACAAAGACCTCAAGGCGATCATCAAGGCCAACGAAAGGGTCACTGTGAGCATGCCACGAGGAAGTCTGCTTGCTTGCGTCCGCCGATTGCGCTCATGTCGCTCGCCGCCCATCCGCAGTCCGATGTCGATCCGCGATTTTTCTTGAAATACACCGACATTCACGTCGGGACACCGGAGAGGACAGACGCGGACACTTCATCCAAAGCGATTTACCCGCACGAATGCCGGTTACGGGATATGACGTATAGCGCACCCATCTTTGTCAGCATAGAGTACCTGCGTGGCAACAAGATCATCCGGAGAAAGGGCGTCAATATCGGTAAGCTGCCCATCATGCTTCGCAGCAACAAATGTCACCTTTCGCAGGCTAGGGAAAAAGACCTTGCTCGCATGAACGAGTGCCCATTAGATCCCGGCGGCTACTTTGTGGTCAAGGGTACCGAAAAGGTCATCCTGGTCCAAGAGCAGCTTAGCAAGAACCGCATCATCGTCGAGGCCGATCCAAAGAAAGGTATAGTCACGGCCTCAGTGACCAGCTCCACGCACGAACGCAAATCGAAGTCTCACGTGCAGTCAAAGAATGGCAAAATTTTCCTCAAGCACAACTCGATCACTGACGATGTGCCTATCGTCATTGCTTTCAAGGCGATGGGTATCACGTCCGACAAGGAGATTTTGCAGCTTGCCGCTGGGCATGACGAGACTTTTAAGGAAGCTTTTGCGATCAATTTGGAGGAAGCCTCTAGACTTGGCGTCTTTACGCGCATGCAAGCTCTCAACTACATCGGAAGCAGAGTCAAGAAGAGTCCAAGGAGGCAAGGCATGTCCCAGATGCAGAGACCGATTCACGAGGAAGCCTTGGAAGCGCTTGCCAATGTCGTCATGACTCACGTGGCCGTCGAGAGGCTCAACTTCAGACCGAAGGCAATCTATGTCGCCACGATGGTCCGACGCGTGCTTATGGCCATGCAAAACGAGAAGCTTGTCGATGATCGAGACTACGTCGGGAACAAGCGTCTCGAATTGTGAGTTGCCTTGGCTTTCCGAGATCGTGCTGGTGATTGATCCTGCTCATACGAGCGCAATCCCACCGCAGGGCTGGACAATTGCTCTCTTTGCTGTTCGAAGATCTGTTCAAGAAATTCAATTCAGATCTCAAGATGAACATCGATAAAGTACTTCGCAAGCCCAACAGGACGACGGAATTTGATGCGTACAATCAGCTCTCCTTTCACGGCGACTCCATCAGCCAAGGCTTCATTAGAGCCATCTCCACTGGGACATGGAGCTTGAAACGTTTCAAGATGGAGCGAGCCGGCGTGACCCACGTGTTGAGCAGACTATCTTTCATCGCTGCGCTGGGTATGATGACGCGCATCAGCTCTCAATTCGAAAAGACGAGAAAGGTCTCTGGGCCACGTGCACTCCAGCCTAGTCAGTGGGGTATGCTTTGCCCTTCAGATACTCCGGAAGGCGAATCTTGCGGTCTAGTCAAGAGTGAGTTCTGTCAAAGAGCCAGGCAAGAACAGGATGCTCATTTCCGCCACTTCCCGCAGACTTGGCCCTAATGACTCACATCACCACCGACGTTGAAGAGGAGCCAATTTTCAAAGTGGCAATCATGCTAGGCGTCGAAGGTAAGATGCAGACTTCACTTAATTCTGTGCAGGAGAGGTTGCTGACAAACGGCACTCATATCTTCTTCAGACGTAAGCATGATCAGCGGTGCAGAGCTTTACCGAGACGACACGTACTTGGTGTTCGTCAATGGTACTGTGCTTGGTGTCACCCGCTTCCCGGTGCGGTTTGTCACAGCCTTCCGGCGTCTTCGACGTGCAGGAAGATTCTCAGAATTCGTCAGCATCTACACCAACAGTCACCATCGCTCCGTCCACATCGCCTCGGATGGTGGTCGCATTTGCAGACCAATGATCATCGTCGAAAATGGACAATCAAGGGTCACTTCGCAGCACATCAGGGAGCTCAAAGCGAAAACGCGAACCTTTGACGATTGCCTTAGAGACGGATTGATCGAATATCTGGACGTCAACGAAGAGAATGACTCGTATATTGCGCTGTACGAAAACGAGATGACCAGCTCGACTACTCACCTGGAGATCGAGCCATTCACGTTGCTTGGCGCAGTAGCGGGTCTCATTCCCTATCCGCACCACAATCAGTCACCTCGTAATAGTGAGTTTGCGAATGAGTGCTGTAGTTAGGTTCGAGTCGATACTCAAAGCACTCTCTCTTTCTGGTGCAGCGTATCAATGTGCCATGGGTAAACAAGCGATCGGTGCCATAGCATACAATCAGCTCAACAGAATCGACACGCTGCTCTACCTGATGGTGTATCCTCAAAAGCCTATGGTCAAGACCAAGACCATCGAGCTCATCGGCTATGACAAGCTGCCCGCAGGCCAGAATGCGATGGTGGCGGTGATGTCCTACTCTGGCTACGATATCGAGGACGCATTGGTCTTGAACAAAGCTTCTTTGGACCGGGGTTTCGGGAGATGCCAGGTGCTCAGGAAGCAGACTGTCCAATTGAGAAAGTATCCAAACGGCACTTACGATCGCATCGCGGATGCGCCCGTTGACGATGCCGGTGAACGACTGAAGCGTTACACGACACTGGGCGTCGACGGCATCAGCGGAGTTGGAGAAGCTGTCAACGAGCAAGATATCATCGTCAACAAACAGACACCAGCAAATGCCAACGACAACTCCGCAGCTGCGTACTCTAGCAATTCAACCGAGTACCGCAATGCACCGATCACCTACAAGAATCGGGTACCTTCCTACGTCGACCAGGTGTTGATGACAGATGCTGATGCGGACTGCACTATTGTCAAGGTCTTACTGCGTCAGACAAGGCGACCAGAGCTTGGTGACAAGTTTTCATCACGTCACGGTCAGAAGGGAGTATGTGGACTGATCGTGGACCAGGCAGACATGCCGTTCACAGACCAGGGCATCAACCCGGACGTCATCATGAACCCACACGGTTTCCCGTCGCGTATGACGGTTGGCAAGATGATCGAGCTGCTCGCCGGAAAGGCGGGCGTCGTTACCGGCTCTTTGCAGTACGGTACTGCTTTTGGCGGCAGCAAAGTGGAGGATGTGTCTCGCTTGCTCATCGAAAATGGCTACAGCTATGGCGGCAAAGACTTTCTGACAAGTGGCATCTCAGGAGAGCCTCTCGAAGCGTACGTCTACTTCGGTCCAATCTACTATCAGAAGCTCAAACACATGTGAGTCAATGCCAAGAGATCGCGTGGCGCTCTTAAGACAGATTCTAACCGCGGACGTGACGTATCTGCCAGGGTCATGGACAAGATGCACGCTCGTGCGCGCGGACCTCGAGCGAATCTTACGCGCCAGCCGACCGAAGGTCGTTCCCGCGACGGAGGCCTTCGTCTGGGAGAGATGGAGCGTGATTGCTTGATCGCTTATGGTGAGACATGTTAGGTTACAGAGACCTGGTTCGGGCGCCCTTGCTGACTCGTCTCGCCGCGACAAGGTGCGACGCAATTGCTGCTCGAGCGCCTGATGATAAGCTCGGACGCCTTTGTGGTCAACATTTGCCAAAGATGGTGAGCGAAGTGATGCGTGCGATTCTCTCAAGGTCGAAGTTGCTGACACTTCGCCATGGACGACGATCTGCCGGTCAGTGGCCTGATCGGCTACAACGGCTACTGCAAGTACTGTCGCTCATCGAAAGAGGTCGTGAACGTGACTGTGCCGTATGCCACAAAACTTCTGATCAATGGTGAGGATAGCTTCATTCGAGACGAAAATTGGAGCGTTTGCCATCAGCTAATCATACCTGCTCTCCATTAAAACTTTAGAGCTCATGGCGATGCAAATTGTGCCACGTCTGGTGCTAGAGGACGCTCTATGAGTCATTAGCATTTTCTCAGCTGGATGCATCCCTCCCTTCTCCCTTCTCCCTTCTCCCTTCTCCCTCTCTCCTCTCGTTCCTTACTCAGGCCCCGCTGTACTTTTGCCGTCGGTAGCATGCAACATCGCCGACACCTCCACAATAGATAGCTTTGTGAGCTCAACGCTCGCTCGGGTGGTCAGCCATGCACGTGCGGGCAGCTATAGCTGCAAGTGAGAACAGCGTGGCGCAGGTTGGTGAACGCTACTTACTGCTTGCTTGCTTATTCAGACTCGTGGCCCCGATCGAGTGCATCCCCGCCGACGCAATCACGAATGCTCAAGCTTCTACACCGACTGCCACCGTCTGCAGACTCAACCGACCGCCGCGATGCATTCGTCCAAGATGAATCCAAGCCCCCTTCTTGGCTGTTTCACCATCATCAGCAGCCTCTCGCAACGCCAAAATATCGTGCGAGACTGCTATTCTTGGCATGATCCAGACTGTTGACCGCAAACACCGCGGCGTCTATGCCTCTTTTTGATCTTGTCCACGGGCATTCGAGACGGGATCAATTTGACTCTGACCTCTCGCTCCGCCTTTGATACAGCATTGCCTATAGCTGCCATGCATCCACCATTCAAGATTCCTCGTGAATATTTGCGGTGCAATCACGAATATTTTGGCGCAAGGACAAGGTAGCGGTAGCTACATACCATAGCAATTTAAAGGCCGCACGTGGGGCGTTGCGGGCAGCAATGCGGCACGTCTGATTTTCATGCTGCTGCACCATCACGCCCCTTTACCCGCGCGCGGCGAGCCTTTATTAAACCCAAAATTCGCTCAGCCGCATGCACGCGCGCGGACGCCACGGACTACGAATCAATCAAGGGTCTGGATGAGTTGACGGCCCGCGCGCGCTCCTCTCCTGCTGATGGCGGATGTTTGCCTCGCCCCAACACACAACAATTTGATCAGCGCAGTCGCATACATGGTCTGCTAGCTACGACACCATTTCATATGAGACCTACGATTCGTTGGCGCCTACTGCAGCAGGAGCATCAGGAGCACAAGTGCCAGTCGTGCACGGTCCTCGAGCCGCGAGGACTTGAGGCAAAGAGACGATGAGGCGATTCCGGAGGCCTTCCTGAAATGAGAAGCACGGACCATGGCGATTCAGCTCGACACCGGTGAAATTGGCGGCAGAACGAGCAGCGAGGGGACAGCTGCGGATATGCAGGCCTCTTGGGGGGGGAGGGGGATCAGGTGGCAGCCCGTCGGACGCAACCCTGGCCAGTGGCCCCGAGCGATGGGGCTTCATCAACAATCACGAATGTCCAGCTGTTAATGAATCACCAATGAAGCCTTGGCTTGAATAGATTGGGTCTAGCTTGTGAGCAGAGCTTGGCTTTCCAGTGACCCATCCATGCATCTCATTCAAGATTGCTTTCGTACCGAATAAGCGCCGACCAGATTGCTCACGATACCACACAGTTCAAAGCGTTGCACCTTCGACATCATCCATCGCCTTTCCGACTGCAGCACGCAACTCAGACTCGACTCGTGACTCATCACTCTTGATTGTTGCTCATTGAGAAAGTCTAGAGTTGCAGCAGCAGCAGGTCCTGTACAGACAGACCACCGCTCGTCCGACGCCGTGACTGACCGCCTATATAGCCACACCTCGCACAGCGATCGAGACTCGCGGGCGCTGCCAAGCCCTGCCATTTGAGTCGCTCGAGTCACTTCAGCCCTCGCGGTGCGCGACTGACTGCGCAAGCTTTTGCTTATTTCGACGTTCTCTGAAGCAGCGCGCGCACCAGCACAGCCAAAGTTCAATCGCAATCGCAAGCGCAGTTCTGAGTCTTGAGTCGCAGTCACAGTGAAACTCGCCATCACTGTGACTGCATGGATCACACGCATGTCCACCAGCCACAGGAGCACGCACCGCCATACTGGTCACTCGTGACTACTACTGCTATACAGCTGCCCGCTCGCTGCTTCTTCGCCAAGGCCTTCCCTGGTCACACGGCCTGTCTTTCAATCTTCTCTTCGCCATCACACGCAAGACTCTGACGCTCCCACCAACGTGAGTCAAGAGTCGTGAGTGTGCATGCGTGTAGCGTTGCGCGTGCTCTTGAGTCATTCGTGATTGTGAGTTCATTTCACGATTGTGTGCAGCCACCTACGAAGTGCCAAGCTCTCATCAACAGAAGCTTGCTCAACTCTTCAAAGAATCTGTCACTCACTGCGTGGTCACTCAGTGTACGCACTCGAGCTCACCACTGACGTTTCTGCTGACGTGGCCGGCCTGCGCTCGCTATCGAGGGCGCATCGGCTTGTTTGGATCTCAAGACCTCGCCTTCAAAAGGGCGCACTCGGTCGCTTACATCCACCTCGTTGCTCACCAGCACTCGTCTGACAACGAATACCAACAGCACACACGTGCACACTATACCGGTCTGCTTCAGTGAACTGCAACTCCCCCCCCCTCAAGATCCGCAAAATGCTCTCCCGCCTAGTCAAGCTCTTTCCATCGGCTTTGCGCGGCTTTCAGACTCAGGCGCCCTTGCAAGTAGCACCTACCTTGGCATCTCTAACCCCAGCTTCTCTGACCATCGGTTCCTCTGTCATCGATGTCGTATCTTTTACTGGTCCAGCTCGTCCGTTGCGTCGAGTAGGCATGATGCCTCTGCCCAACAACCGCATCTCAACTTCCTTTGCAGACCAATTCAGCGCTTCAAAGCCGAGCATGCGCATGCACACCATCTCCGAGCCCGGCACTTCGAAAGCCGAGGAGGTGTCCAAGTCTGCTAGAGCCGCTGAAACGATCGAGCATACCAACGAGGTCACAAACAATGTCGAGTCCGCCGTTTCGAAGGTGGAAACGTCAGTACAGACTCATCACGATGACCTACGTCAAGCGCTCGAGCCTGGATCCATCATCAAGTCCGGTTCGCACGAGACCGGTTTTGGTCGTCTGGGCGAGTCAGCTTGATTATACGCAGTAAGTTTGACGTCAGACGCTAGGTGAGGGTCCTGGCTCCGCTCGCAGTCTCTGCGCCCAGCTCTTTCCCTTGGATCGCGTCCATACTGACTCGATCATCGACCCCTTCGTGCAGCCCAAGCGACGCATATCACCTTCATGGAGCGACGACGACGACGACTTTTTCACATGTGCTCCGTGCCTATTTGCGGGGTCGCAACTCTTCACAAATCATCAAGAAGCAGAAGATCATTCACCGATCTGACTGGATGGGGCTTTTGCTGCTGCACACCAGCGTGCGACTTCGCTGCTGCGCCACAAGGGCAATGGCAATACACAAGCAGGCCTCCACACTCAGCAGCAATGCTCCGAGCTACTCACACTGCAGTCTTCTGAGTTCATCATCGGCTCGACGAAGCCTTTGTCTCCTCGCCCCCCATTCACCTCCAAGACAGCTATCCAAGATTGGCACCAAAGCCATTGTAATGTCACTTCGTTTGGCTCGGCCTAATCAACTGCTGTGTAGCGTAGACGGTGGCCAAGCTTTGAAACAGAGCAAGGTGTGCATCATGTAGCGCTTTATGAAGGGCATCAAGCTGGAGTGGTCAAGACATGGTTGTCGAGCAAGTCAAGCATTGTCTACCTGCTTCAACGTGCATGGTCGTATATCGCTCGAAACGCACGGATGCTTCCTGTCTGCTCTGCAACCGCAGTCACGAGTGGCTGAAGGGATGACTTGCACGCACGCGCGAATGGATGCGAAGCGCCGCGGGGCGTAGTTGTAAGTGCGTGGGATCGTTGCGAGCGGAATTGAGGCACTTGTACTCAGGTCTTGGAATCGTGACTCGCAGCTAGACTTCAAGTCGATGCTATTCGTCAGCCCCAGCCCGCTTTGAAGCTTTGACTTGGCTAAGGAAAGCAAGCCATTCAAATTTGAGTCAACATCTACGGTTCCTGCTTGCACGTACCAGACCCATTCGAAAATCACACGAGTACAGGAGCTCGTGCGTGCAAATTAATTGCTTTGATGCATTCGTCTCACACCAACGTCACACTCAACCATGCACTCACCAAACCTCTGATCCGCGAACGCGTGGAGCGCACGCATGCACGCAGCATCTCGCTACGTGTCATCATCAAACTTCGTTGACAATCACTCGACATTTGCTGCGAAGCCAGCAGCTCATTCAAAAACGACACACATACAGTCGCATGACCCGTGTCGTAACCGCATCGACATGCTCTCCACGGCAGCACCATCAATGCAAATCGCAACAGCACCAGGTGAACCCTTCTCATCAAGCGTCTTCTTTTCGCCACGGTCGTCCACATCCGCGCATCCACTGTATGGCTCCATCCGGCACCCCAACGACTCGCAGATCACCACCATGTGGGCGTTGCCGATATGCTTCGCAGTCATCCTGATCGCCGGCAATCTCAAAGGCTTGGCCATCCTCATGTATCCCTTCAAGATGTGGGGTGAGTGCCAAGAAGACGCAGCTTATATGGCGCCAAAAGTGCAGCTATAGCCATTGCAGTGCTCGGCTGGCTCACTCACCGAGCCACGCTGTGCCATGTCCACGCAGCGAATCTTACCCACGAAATGTTCCACGTCATGGGTGGGTCCGAGTGTTGAAAGTTGCAACGTGCAGTGAAAAGGCAGAGAGACCTGCGGTGTCGGGCACTGCAACATACTCTCTAATCGCACGTCTTGCTTCGCTTCGAAGCGGCCATCCTCAGCGGAGGAACAGTTCACTCAATTGCCATCGACCCCGAAAGAGGCGCCATATCCGGTGCGTGGGTAGTAGGGCTCACGCAAGGCCAAGTCACTTCTTACGTGTTCTTGCACCACAGGAATGACTGGCGGCAACCCGGTGTTGACGCTCGCTGCAGGCTATTTTGGTAGCACTCTTTTTGGCGCAGCGCTGATCTTTTGCTCTTTCGACATCAGAGCCAGCAAGATTGCATATCTGGCCACCGTGGCCATTTGGATTCCCGTCGCTTGGTTCGGGCTGACATGGTGCGTGGTGCGTGCAGTGATGCATGCTTCTGCATGGCTCTGGCAGTGGGCAGCCAGCAATCGTCGGTGTCTCTAGCGCACTGAAAGTGGCTCCGTGCGACGTGGCGGCCCACTCGTCTCTAGGGCGCGCATCAGGATAGCAATCATCGTTGGTCTGTCCATCGGTCTTTGGTTTAGTGAGTCTGTGGCTCTTTGTTCGCCCCACGATGCTGCGAAAAGAAAGAGTTCAATGGGTTTTTGACCCGGCCCCACAACCTCCACCGCAGTCGACCACGCTTCGCCCCTGAGGTTCTACATCCTCTTTATGGGCGTACTCAGCGCTTTTTACGTGGTGTGGGATTGCGTCGACGAGTGAGCGATGCTTGCACACTACGTTGGCCCCTTGCCAGCTCATACTCGCTTCGACTTGCCACTCCAGCTTCGTCTTTCGAAAGGCAAACGATTCCGACGCGATGCTTTACGCCAGATTGTGTCTTCCCAGCGCACACGGTGAGTCTGACCCAAGTCATGTCTTGAGCTGCAACATTGCAGCATAAGACGTGTTTGCCCGGTTTGCCCCAGGCGCTGTCTCCAAAAGCTAGACTTTGCTGATCCGCAACCATCACACTGCAGGCTGGGCTTTCATTTGGCTGGTGTTCTCAGCAGGCTGCGTCGCTTTGGCAATCCTAGGCGGTATGTAGCGAGGATGCATATCACCAGAAGCGACAGGAGCGGGCCACGCTGATTTCGCCATGCTCCCTTCGTGATTGTCTCGTGTGCTGCCACCCACCTCCTCTGCGCGCGACAGGGCTGCACTTTATGATCTTGAGTCACGAAGCACAGCTGAAGCAGAATGCGAGCTTCTTGCCTACGTGACCGTATCCTTCGCAATCCATGAGTCACACATCCAATCAGCGAGCTGGTTCGCTTATCGCGCCGCTGCATCGATCTTGATGTCCGCACTCGCAAAGAGCATTACAGACCATTGCATTCGAGATGGCATGATGCTATGACGCTAGCATGAGGCTTCATGCACCTACGCGTGGCCGCTCTCGAGTGTCCCGTTGTTTGAGCGGGCGAAAACTGGCAAGGTGACAGTTAGGCTTCCTCGACAATCTTGCTGCTGTTTTGACGCTTTTGCATCTCTCTCAGCAACGAATCCACGACATCTACGAAGTTACTAGCAGCCGCTGCGCTTCCGAAGCGCAACCCATAGTGCGTGGGCTTCAATTTGGATTGAGGTGCATCAGCAGTTGCAGCCTCAAAGGCAACGAAGCGCAGAAAGCGATCAGATATCAGCTCGAGCCTCATCGAGGGGAACAGGTTCACGTTGAGTATCAGGCGTAAAATGCCTTCGGTCCTCATGACTGAGAAGAAGAGCTAGACAATCTCAGGAGACGGACACTCAACGCAGGCAAGTACGATGGACTCACCCAATCTGCCACCTCGCTTGCTAGACTGCGAACTGCCGCCCGTTCGTGCGAGCTCAAGGGGGCTCTTGCGACGTGGAATGTTGCATCTGAGTGTGCCTGTACCCTTCTCTTTCCATGACTGATGGTCGTCTCCGAGCACATAGAGCTTCGCACGTGCAGACACCAGCACATTCTCCTCCTCTTCGCCCGTCATTACTGAGTGATTGCACAAAGGTGTGAGGAGCCGTGGGTGCTGAGCCGCGAAGAACACTGAATCTAGAAGCCACTCACGGTCGGCCTCATCCAGTGGCTTGACACTTGGTCCACTCGAAGTTTCCCTCGCAGGAGCTGCAGATGCAGAGGCATGCCTTTCCTTTGCAGCACTCTCGTCTGCCGGCTCTGCAGAAACGGCATTGTCGTTTTCGGAGGCTGCGGCGGGGCTAGGCGCTGCGGAAGAGCTGCTCGAGCTGGTCACTGTTGGCTTGGCAGCGAAGGGGTTTGCGCTCTTGAAAGCCCCGAAGCCCAGGGCCTGCTTTTGGCCAGAGCTAGAGCCATTGTTGGACGTAGAAGGATGAGCTCGCACCGTGCTACCAGAAGCTAGTGGCTGTGATGCGTACGTGCCGGCAGAAGTCAGGGAGCCGTTGTCGTCCGCGACAAGGGAGCCAAGATTGGAGGGGCGAATGCCACCGCCAGATTGCGAAGTGGCAGCCTTCTTGGAGCTAGCGGATGAGCCCGAGCCAGCCAGCCAGCTGGGTCCCGCAATGCTAGCTGAACTACTCGAGAAAGGCGAGTCGCCCTTGGAGAAGGAGGAAAAGGTAGGTTGCGTGCGCGTTGGAGTGACCACACTCGGAGAGGCAGCGGCAGGAGTGCCGCCAGGCGAGGATGAGGAGACAGTAGCACCGAAGCCAGAGCTTGGCTTGGCGAAGGAGCTGAATGATGGTTGAGTACGAGACGGAGAAGCGACAGTTGTTTCTGGCGAAAGAGGTGCTAGCGATTTGGCATCTCCAACGCCGGCTTCAGAAGCAGCAGCCTCTGAAGCTCCGCCGTCTCCTGATCCTTTCCAATCAAGATCGCGAACCCGTTGTCTGATCTGCCCGACCTTTTCCCCCTCAACTGTAGTCACATCTTCCGCGTCGGGTGCGCCGCTGGAGGGGTCGCTGTTCGGGTCTGGATCTAATGGGTCTATTCTTTGAGATTTGAGCGCGGGTGAGGCTTGGTCTTCTTTTGGCTGTTTCGCGGCTACTCTGTTCTTCTTGGCAGGCAACGCATCGGTGGAGATAGGCTGCGGAGTAGCGGGCGTACAAAGGAGGGTGGTCAGATGGGCTCTGGCCAGAAGGGGTGAACAAGGCGATTCGCGGAGCGAATATTTCTGGGCCGCCCGAGGTGCGAGACCTTGCAGGATTGCCCTGCTGCATCCCCCTACAAGGTGACTTCGCTCAGCATAGATGTGGACTCACAATCTGGCTGCCCTCTTTTGCGGTAGAAGCGGCACTAGTGGTGGGTTCGAGACTGCCTTCTCGATCGCGTTTGCGCCTCAGCTTCTCCTTCTCGTCTACGATAGAGTCCATGAGCGCAGACCGAGTCAGCAGGGTGGAGGTAGGCGACCGATTGACACCATATCAAGCAGAAGAGCTGATATGCAAAGCCTGCAATGCTTTGTCTCACCTTGCTCGATCGACCTCTTGACGTTCGACTTGGAAGCGCGCTCCTGCTGCTCCTCGGCTGCTGGTCGCTTCTTGCTCTCGCCGCTTGCAGCTCCCGCATCCTCTCCAGCTCTTGGGCCATCATCGTCATCGTCATCGTCATCAGCATCATCATCACCATTATTATTATTATTATCCTCCTCCTCCTCCCCCTGCTCGACTACCCTTTCCGCCTCCTCATCCTTGGTATCTGCATCTCTCGGCCCAGCGCTTTTTGCTGGTGGAGGCGAAGGCGGACATGCCAGTGCCTGCCCTGATACGCCTGGCTGACCCTCGTTTTTCGGGCCGCGCACAATGTGAGGGGGCGAAGATGACGTCATCGTAAGAGAGAAAAGGTCGCGTTGCGAACGAGAGCAGATGATCAAGCAAATGGCTGCGGAGGCGATTGAGGGACCGCAGGACAAGGCCTAAGCGCTACCAGCAAGCCAGATCGCGCCGAGTCGCGAGAAGAAGGCAGACCTCGCAGGCAGCCAAATAGAGAGGTGTGGATCGGGCTATGAAGGAGGCCTGCAATTACGAGTTCCGGAAAAGTAGAAGCACGAGCGGAGCGACGGGGTGATTTGGCGATGACGGATTGGGGGAGTCGCAGAATCTGTGCTGTTGTAGCTCGCGATGGGATGCGTTGGTAATGATGATGATGACGACAACGCCGACGACGACGATGTGATGAAGACGAAACATGCGCGTACGCGTCTGCTCCCGTCTACTCGTGCTTGACGACAAAGCAATTCAAGATTGAACTCGTGACTCTCTGTAGTCACGAGTGGTCCACATTCACGATTCGCACATCGCACATCGCACATCGCACATCTACGGTACATATGTGCGGTCACGAGTCGCAAGTGATGTGATGTATGTGCATGTGTTGTGCGCATGCAGCAGCGTTCACGCCAGCCAGGCACTCATTGGGCGGCCACGTGGATGGGCTGTGCGCGTGATCGTGATCGTGATCGTGATGGAGATGCCCGTGCATGCTGAGCGGGGCCAGCCAGCCAGCCAGCCAGCCAGCTAGCCGTGCAGTCGTGCAGCTAGCCAGCAGGAAGGCCAGCTCGTGCGGGCGGCGTTGTGCATGGATGCTGCGTTGCTTGTGCTTGTGCTTGTGCGTGTGTGGAGCGGAGCGTGCTCCGTATGGCGGGTGACTTGGTTACGGTTACGCATCGCAGCTGACCGGTCGGCTGTGTCCATATGCTGCTGCTGATGAAGCGTCGACGATTGAGGTGTGCGGTGTGAGATGGGTGGGTGGATCACAAGATTGAAGTGAGTGAGTGAAAAGTGAGTGAGTGAAAAGTGAGTGAGTGAATCAGTCACAGTGAATGAATGGGTCGAGGAAGATTGACGATTGTGCTGTACCGTACCATACATGCATGCGCACTCGTGACTCACGTTCACGGCGCACATGGTGTGGTGGATGGATGGATGGATGAATCACGAATCGCCGTGCATATACAGCAACACTCACTCACCCACACGCTCACCCCTTCTGACTTACGACTTCATCTCAAGCTCTAACTCATCTTCGCTTCACAGCACCTCATTCGCCCTCGCTACGCTCCACATCCATCCTCAGAAGCAGCCCCGACAAGCCCACCACTCTTCTCTTGTGCTCGGCTCGGCTCGCCTTGCCTTGCCTTGCCTTGCGCAGCTCGCTCGCCCGCCGGTCTTCAACTGAGCTTACAGTGCGACGCTGTAGCCGCTCTCTTCACTGCCCGCGCATTTTGGCTCTAGTCAGCTCACTCTGCGCTTCCAGTATCTCCAACTTCGCACAGCTCGCGCCGAGTAGCAGCGGCCAAAATGATCCTTTTGGAATCCGAGAATGTCATTATCCGCGAGTTGCTCACAGCATGCTTTGCAGAGTGAGTCGTTGAGCGCGCGCGTGTGGGAGCGCGCACCACTGTGCCATCGCTGCGTCTTGGTATCCATGCTGACCAAGTCCCATCACCATGCATCCCTTCCTTCTGCTTCCGAGCGCAGGCCATCGGCCGTAGACCAGACATTCACAGACTTTGATGGCGTCTCTTATCACCTCGAGGGCTCCAAAACTGGTCCCATCACGCTCAGCATAGATCTTCGATGCTGGAGGGAGCTCGAAGCGTTGGGCGCTATCGAGGTGCTCCGGCGAGAGTATGGAGCTTTTCTCAGGGCGCAATCTGAAAACGAGTACAGCGTCACTCTAGAGCTCGACTATGCAAAGATTCCAGCTGATCAGGGTGAGGGCAGTCCGTACGCTACGTGGCAGCTTGACCTCGGCGAGGCACGCCGTGGATGCTGCGACACCGCAGGGATGGAGGCAGTAGCACGCTGGGCCGTTCGGAAAGGGGAGGCTTGCCTGTAGGTCAAGTGTGCGCTCCTGTGCTAACGATACGTCTTCTGTGCCAAATTCGCAGCTTCCAGACAAGCTTTGGTCCATAAGCTGTCGCTCTTGAAGCGCAACATTATGGCCGCGCCCTTCGAGCGCGCCTTCGAAATACAAAAGTCCCTGGCGGAATCGCTTGCTGCTTCTGCGTCTGCACAAGAAGGCTCGCACTCTGCACCACCTCAAGGCGCCGGAGAGATCATGAGCATCAACTACCGCGACGATGAGGCCATATACATCGTGCCCGGGAATGATCGCGTGACTGTCGTGTTCAGCACGACTTTCAAAGATGAGACGGACAGGATCTTTGGGAAAGTCTTCTTGCAGGTGAGTGCAACCTCGACAAATCACCCTTCATGCCTGCGTCTGCTCATCTCGCAGCACACCCTTTAGGAATTTGTGGACGCACGAAGGCAGCCCTCGATTCAAAATGCGCCGCAGGTACTCTACTCAAACAGGGAACCTCCCTTGGAGATTCGGAGCATCCGCGGACTTAACAGGAGCGAGAGCGTGGGCTACGTCACCTTTGGTAAGGGCTCGGAAGGAAAGTGGTGTGCAGCCGGTTAGAGCTGACTAGAAGCTTGTGTGTGTGTCGTAGTGCTCTTCCCACGCCACTTCCAGAACCCCGATGTTACTTTCACAACAATCTCCCACATTCAGCTCTTTCGCGACTACCTCCACTACCACAGTGAGTTTACTTGCTCCAGTATGGTGCCGCAGATTCAGGGCACTGACAGCAACTTTGATAAACTCGCCGACATGCCACGTTGACAGTCAAATGCAGCAAAGCTTACATGCATAGCCGTATGAGGCATCGTGTCGCGGAATTCCTCAAGATCCTGAACCGCGCAAAGCCCGAGCAGGCGGAGAAGGAGAGAAAGACGGCGAGGTAAGTGTGCGGCCGCTGAGGAGAACATGCTTGGCTCCAATGTCGAGCCCCATCCTAACCTCTCCCGATCTGCTGCAGTGGTCGATCATTCCGGCGAGCTTGAGCAGCTCGAATCGAGCGAAATCTTGCAGTTTTGAAGCTGGCCTTTCGGTCATCTAGCGGGCATGTAGATTTGTTCATGTGCGTGATCAGACTGGCGAACAATGCGCATGGATACGTCCAGTATACTCTTGGGCGGCTACCACGCTCTCGAGTGCCATGGCTCCACGACACCCAGTCGAGCTCCATCAGTCGAAGAACCGATCGCAGGTTTGATGTTGAACACAGTGATTGATTCAATAGAGTATATTTTGAGCTCATGCTGCTGGTCAGAATCCGGCATCAGAACGGTGGTAGACCCCAAGCTTCTGGCTCGAAGTCTTCCAAGCTTTCCAAGATCTGGTCCGCTTTTAGATCCTCGTTCTCCTTTGACAGCAACGCTCGGAGCTGTGAGAAGAGAAGACATGCGTGAGCGACCGTCCTATCAGGGCGACAGTGGCCATCCATTCAGAATTTTCGCAAAGCTCTCAGAACTTGCTCACATTAGGATCGGGAACCCAAACCACTTTCATGCCCGCTGCCTTTCCTGCTTGCACACCAGGCTGAGACGGAAAGCACAACAGAAATTAGTCCAATTCGGCCTTGTTGGGCGGGCTGCACGAAATCATACTCACTTTCGCGTCTTCAAAAACGAGAATTTCGCCCTCTCCTCCCGTGAGACCCGCTGCGTCGTTCTCTGCGCCCCACAAGCGTATTTCCTTGGCAATCGAGGGCTCCTGCAGTCCCTCGCGCGCGGCCAAGAGGAAGACATCGGGGGTGGGCTTGCCTCTTTGCAGCCTAGGATCATCGCCACAAATGACTCGGCCTCGGAAGGGGGCAAAGAGCGCGTGATTGTGGGCCGACTTGAGATCGACTGGGTGGGAACAAGCGAGATGGTAGGCGCTGAGTCAGCGTCAGTCGCGCGGGTGACGCTGTGCCGCCATGAAGGACTCGCAATTTTTGCGCTTGCTGCCTGTTGCTACGCAGATGGGCACATTGTGCTTGGCGAGGTGCGCGACCAATCGCACAGCTCCTGGAAGTGGTTGCACCTTGGCGAACTCGACCTCCAACGATGCGTTCCTGCCTTCGAGGAAGTTTTCGATGGTGAATGGGCAATCTTTGCCAATCTTGCTGGCGTCGTCGGCGTCGGGCCAGAGCGCGCTGAGCAGAATCTCTGCACGGGGCAAGGTGGATCTGTCGTGAGCGCAGGCTTATACTACAAGGTGCAGCAATCGAAGCGGCGCGCACCCGTTGCCCTCCGCTCAGGTGTGCCCATGATGCGGCTCTTGATCTCCCATGTCTGCTCCTTGCCATAAGGGGCAAGCACTTCGTTGACAACCTTTGTGTAGATCTGTAATTTTTGTGTCGAAGGAGAGCGGAGATGGATGATGTTGGCCAAGGGTTGCAATGCGCTATAGTCTTCTGCTGCCTCTAACCATCAAACATGACATTAGCTGAGACTCACGCCCTCTGAGTCGATGAGCAGGCCATCCATGTCGAATAGGACGGCCTTGATGCGGCCCAAGGGTCCAGACACTGGCGGTGTCATGCTGATCGGCAACAAAGCGGTACAAGATTGGAAAGGGGGAGGATGAGAGAGTCAAGTGAAGCGAAGCAGAGTGACTTGACCTCACACCGCACGACTAGCTTCTGACTCGAATCACTCTTGACTCGTGACTCAAAATTCACGACTTTGACTCTGGAAAGTAGAGTCACGTGAAAAATTAAGGGCCCGCGCAGAAGGGCAGGCGTGGGATCGCCGCGGCCCATACACCTGCTGTGTACCGTTTAATGGGTACGCGGGCACACAGCATGGGATCATCATGAACGTGTCGGGTAAGACGAGAAGCTGTGCGTGTTGTCCATCGAATGTGCAATCTGAATAGTCGTGAGTTAGGCAGCAGTCGTGAGTCTGGCCTCTCAACTACCCTTCATGGTGTTCTGTCACCTCTCCAGACAGGTCACCAGCGCTCACGTGCTTTGCGACCCCGCTCGTCAATCAGAATTCAGTGATATTCACGATTTGAGTTGGAATTCGGTGCACTAGGGCGACGACTGGCCGCGCACAAGCAGAATTCCTCCAAACAGACTGGTTCGACAGCACAAGAGCCTTGTTCAAATACCGTGACGCGAGGGCTGGCGTTGTCTCCATTGCACTCTCATCTCGAGCGACGCCTGAGCGATAGGCAGCACGACGCAAGCGCATTCACGCACATCGCAGCAGCAGCAACAGCAACAGCATTAGCACCAGCATTAGCACCAGCATCAGCATCAGCATCCGTCACGATGGCGTCCACCTTCTATCACTGGATCAAGTCACCAGCTGGTCGGGAATACTTCCTTGTAAGTGCATCAATCAGAGCTCATCATCGATATCGACACGCAGCGATTGCTCGCGCATCGCTATTGCCATTGCTACTGCTATCGCATCCAGATCTGACATTCTCGCCATTCGCCATTCGCCATTCGCCTCTTGCCTCTCGCAGTCGACGCACTTTTGGGGTCCAGCCGCCAACTGGGGCTTGCCGATCGCAGCTCTGTTGGACCTCAAAAAGGACGAGGAGGTCATTTCGGGTACCATGACGGGCGCGCTGGCCTGCTACTCGTGAGCCTCCCTTCGTGTCACAGTCCAGGTGGAGGACTACTTTAGACGCCGCAGACGTCGCATCAATGCAACATGCCTTTGCTCACCCTCACCCTGGTTTGCCTTTCATCGCTACCTCCTCTCATGCAGTCTGGTTTTTATGCGATTTGCTTGGCGGGTGCAACCAAGGAATTACCTCCTCTTCGCCTGTCACGGCACAAACGCTGCCGCTCAGATGACCCAAGGTGGGCGGTTTGTCAATGTGAGTTGCCCCATCGGGCACAGCACGATGGTGCAACATGTACCTCAACAATGACGTTTATCCTCCATGCAGTACTTCTATCTCGGAGGCAAGGAGAAGAAGGCCGAGGGGCAAGTGCCAGGCGTGGCCGCATCGAGCGGCTCCGCTGTCGCCGCAACGACGGAGAAGAAAGTCTGATGCGAAAGCGAGGTCCTCGAAAGATACTGCTGCGATTCTTTGCACCCATCACAATCATGATTAGGCCGCAATGGTAGAAACATGACGAATCGTGAGATGGAATATGCGCCAACTAGCCTTAGCCCCTTTCCGAATGAGAGAGTCGGAAATCAGCTCGAGATGCCATGCTTTGCATGCAAGGAAAGATGAGGTCCGCTCGAAGCCCGCCGTAATTGCTTCTGGTAGGAGAATGCCAGCCACTCTGGGCGGGGCGATAGCAGTCGCGTGGATGCCGAAGCCCGTGAAAGAGCGACGATTCGAGCTAGCGCTCGTCGGACTGTTCGCCGAGGAGTCAAGGGCAAGTCTGAATGTTCTACAGGAGGGGCTCGGCGCTTGCTTCCGAGCTCATATCCATCTTTTCGAGCGCGTTGACGCGATCTAAAGGCTTCAATTGGCAGAGGGTGGGTCTCTACGGTCTCCTTGCGGATACGTCCATCGCGGGCATCCCGGCTAATGCTGCCTGACAGCATGATTGATCGATCGCAAGCGCAGAAGACCGGCGCGCCGAAGATGAAGACCATATCAAGGTCCGAGTCTGCTAACTTTCGCGTGCAGGCAATGACGACGTGTGCTGGCCGAATGCGAGCCTCAATTCAAGCCTTGCGCCAACGATGCTGTGATAGCTGCTGGCTCCCTTTCAGGGCGATCTCAATCAGAACGGAGTCACGCCTCTGGCTGCCACCCTGTCTGAGCTGTAGAAATCGTCCACCCGCCTCGAACGTTCGATTGACGAGTCGACACCGATTTGGACTGTGCTTCCGAAAAAAAGCGCGACTCAGTGACAGGGAACACGCTATCTTGAACCTAAACCCACAGCTCAAGGCAGCTTGTTGCGCCCGACTTCTGTCACTGAGAATTGACCCAGGACTGTGCCAGCACTTGGCACTCGATTTTCAACAGCAGCTTCTAGAGCGGTCAGAAACCGTCGATCCGTACATGGTCTCAAAGATCGCTGTACAACAAACACAAGAAGCGTCAGCGCTTGATCTTGAGGATGTAAGTGACTGTGCAGTGCAATTAGGTGACTAGCAGCTGTGAAGTGTCAAAGCCGCCGATGATAACAGACAGCCCGTTCGGGCGCCCTGAGAGTCCGTCACCTCAACCCAGCAGCATCTTGGCGACGGAGCATCACATCATGGAGGCTGCCGCACTTCGCGTGGGAGGCGACCGTCATAGTTCTACGTACCTGTGCGTCCGTGAATTCCGAAGCCTCTAGACTCTGTATGTATCACTTGTAAGTTGGACAACCCATAGACCCAAGAAGGTCCTTTACACTTCGAGACAATGTCTCACTGTGTTGAAGCTGCATCTGGACAGAGACACTTGACGTAGGTGTCCCGATGATCATGAGGTGAGTTTGCTCCGCGTAGGTCTCTTGGTGACCGGTGTAAAGCTGGTCATCGACGTCTGCTTTGTGCTGACCCACAGCCCTGGCTAGAGAACACCTCGCATCGAGTGGCGACCATGATGGCTTGGGCAACGGTGTTGGCTTGTACAACGATGGAAAGCGCAATCTTTTCCCACGCGATTGACAAAGCAAGCCGGAGGCACCCGAGCTGAGTCAAGCGGAAGCTGGGCAAGTGATGCTGCAGGCGACTGTGGAGGAGGAGATTTACCGTCTACACGTTGCTTTTTGCGGCTGCACAATGGTCTCACCCTCCTTCTTGGCCGCAAGCACTTGTCTTCAGGTCCTTCCATGCGCGCTTAGAAGAGCACTGGCATCATCACCTTATCTTCAGAAGAGTTGAGGTCGTCAGACCCAAAGAGAATTCGACCGGCCGACCAGCTGGCTTGAGCTTGGGTCTCTTTGTCCACCCGCTTCAGCCGCTGTAGGTCATACCAATACGCCGAAGTCATTCTGTAAAGTCTTCGATTTCATCTTTTGCTTAAGCATTGGCACTTTAATCACTGTACCAGAAGGATCCGCGAAGTCGTCTTACTCAAAGAAGACAGCGCATCTTTATTCATCGAGAGCGGACAATTCCACCATCATACAGCGCTGGAGACTACTGCCAAGACATCCGGAGGGCATAATACCATAATGGCGGCGAATCTCTCAAAGCCCACCAGGATGAAGGGCGGCTCACCTGCTGGTAGAAGTCTTCGGACACCATTTTGCTCGTACAAAGCTGCGGACAGGTTCTTGCTTTTTTCCAACCCGCCGCGCTTCATACCTGCCGCTTGATGATGTGATGTTAGCACAACTGCTTATTGTGGCCGAGTGTCTGTGCCTTGCCCTGACGCTCGAGCACGCCAACAAAAAGGACTGGGTAGCGGGCGACATCCCTGAGTCACGCGTTACAAGAGATGTCCCGCGGTACTCAGGCCTTCGAGGCAGACTGCGCGTGAACATACCCAACGGCAAGAATGAAGTATGGTCCTAGATCAATGTTCGAGGCGCGTGACAACAGGAGTGACGCTGTTTGCTGGTATTTGTGACCAGACTAGTTGCTGGCCAAAGCACTGTATCATTTACCAGCCCAACCACCTTTTGCGCACTCTGACACGCGTCACATACTCTGGATGCTACAAGTCCAACGGTCGTTGCTCCATTCTCCCTCTCTGATCAGCTTGCATTCCTCAGAGATCAATCGCGCTCGGACCAGATTGGTGAGTGACGCAAGTCAAACATCGCACCCTTTGACCTTGGGTTCCTTTGAACACGGCTTTTCCTGACTTTGCAACCTATATGCACGCAGCTAAGAGTAGACAGCCAGGTCGTCTGCAATAGTTCGCACAGATTCTCAAAACACACTCGCGTCAAATTGTGTCATCTCAAAAGCAGGAGTGCTAAATCGAGTCGCCTCAGGCTTCTGAGCTTTCGTGTCTCGAGAAAAGGATACGCCCGCTCAGCCCCACCCAGACTCATCAGCACGTACGACGCATGCTTTCTTACGCCATCTGTCATGATGTACTGGGTGCGTACGGTATCGCTGCAACAAGCCATGGATCGGTGCAATAACTCAAGGCATGCCTTGTTTGCTTCGACGTTGCGCTCACTACTCTACCAAAATTACAGCCCGTCTCACACTTTTCTTGCCATGTCGGACGCTATACAGAGCTCGTGTGGGATTGTAGTATCTTGCGGAGAGTTCTTGCAAGATTGGGCAGCAGTGAGTGTGCACAACAGAATCGTCTGCTACAATGACGAAGGGGACGACACCAGCTTTTCATTCATTTGTCGAATGAGCTGAGCGATTGCCTGAGCGTGAAGTAAGTGAGCTGCAACGTGCAGCAAGTCATTTGGGAGCATTGTCGTGATAATTGAAAGGGATAAAAGATTCGCAAGCTTTCATGGGAGATGTGGAAGTGGGTTTGGTCTTGAATGACGCGTCCAAAAATTCTTGATCTGAGCTTGTTGTTGAGCTAGCAGCAACTGACCAGGCCAACAACGTGTCCATGCATTTTCTTCTCCCCTCTTTTCTCGTGAAGAGGCCTCAAGTTCCTCGACCTTATTTCAAGTTAAGGATTTTCAACTTCTGTAGACATGTCCGACGCCACCAAGCCCTTAAATTTTGCCAGAATACGTCAAAGATTAAAAACGCCCAAAAAGATTTTGCTCAAGGGCACGCTGCTCAACAAATTCATACGGCACATAATCCATATATTAGGTGGCTTTGACAATGTGTTTGTCATTTTTTTCAGCAAATCACTCGAGTACTACTCGCTGCGATGTTGTTGACGTCGATGCCTCTGCAAGTTTTCGCACCAAAAGCTGATCGATGGCCGTCTGTGGAGCTGCCTGGGTGTAGTCTGTTCATAGAGTTGTCGTGCGGTGCTTCTGGCATCCAAGTGACTAGCCACAACTGCGGCCGAGTAGCTTCGGAGATCTCCATACCTGAGTCACACCACACCGAGGCCAGGTGATTCATTGTCGAAGGTCGCGTGCACTGACGCGAAACACACAAATTGAAATAGGGTCCGGACTCTACCTGGACACCGAGCAAGCTATTTTGTGCAGTGGCGTCAATGCAGAAGGCATGAACCTCTCGATAGACGCGGACAAGAAAAACGCAAATCAGCCCCATCAAACATGTGCGGAAGGCCCTCTTCTGGTTCGTGATCAGAAAATCCAAGTCGAGAAAGATCTAGAAGCCCGCTTCTCACGATTCATGCCAATTTTCTGCACAACAGCTAATTTCATCAATGTGGAGTACGGGAAATGGCTCAAAAAGTTCGCATGGTCCAATTTGGTTCAGATGAGACGTACGCAGATTCTCATTCGCAAGCCAGCAGTCTTCGTGAAAGAGTCTTTCAAGCAAGATGATATTCACAGGGCACAAGGATGGTTTACAGACCAAACCTGCGCCCTCGACCTAATAAGGCTTACCTGGGCAGTTGTCTGCCCATCTGGCTGTGGAGTCTCAGCGAAGCGGGCTGGAGTTATCTCCCAAGAAAACCGACGTACGTGCTCGGGATAGCTCTCTCTGCTACGGATTTGTTCCGCTGCTACATGAATCCAGCGACGTGAGAGATTTACTGGAAAATCCGGCACATCAAAGCTCCTGCTGTGCGAGGTGTGTATAGTAAGGTGGAACATGCACCAGAATCTTTCCGCAGCGTATGAGGTAGAGCGAGTAGAGCTGAATACCACACGTTTGCGTGGCTCGAAGAAGTGTCATGCACCCAGAGGCACGAAGTCCACTTGGCGCTCAAAAAACAGATAGTCCCTCTGACCCCGTAAGCAGAGCAAAAACCGCACCATGTTGATTCTCTACATGAGAGCTATAAAACATACGCTACCATATACATGAGTCACGCGGCTGTGCCGTCTTCTCACAAGATTTGCGAAGAAATAGTAGCTAAATGAGAGGTGCTTTGAAATCCAATGCAACGCTGTGGTAGATACCGGGGCAGGAGGCTTGACGGTCGTGTCTGCTGTAAGAGGTCAAAGAAGATTGACGCGAGATGATGTATCTTTCAAAATTGGACGGGACATTTCTCGTTTCTTTGTTCCCATGACTAACCGGGGGTTCCACCACGTGAAGGCGGATCTCTGCTTCTAGCAAATTTTGGATTCATTACATAATGGGTAACAACGAGACCACTGCAGTTGCAAGCGAAGGAAGTCTAGCTCGAGGTCTTGTACTCGATCTAAGGCATCGATGTCAATCTGCTCCGATCGATCAAGTGCTTGTCAGTGGGTCCAATGATGGATTTCCATGCATTTGTGGAAACAAGAGCATGCAGCAAAAGAGCAAAATTACAGACGGACAAGTTGTCAACGCACCAGTGAGACCAGACGGAAACTCATCATCCTCTGCAGAAAGCTGATCTGAGCCCTGAGAATAAATATGAATCTGATGTTCTTGTGTGTACAAGTTTATCGATGTGAAGTTGCTGGCACCACTTTATCAGATGACACACTTTCTCCGGCAGTGAAGTCGAGATGCTTTTCGACCAGTTGCCACAAGTCAGAGACGAACCTTGTTATTTCATGAACGTGATGACTGTAGTCAAGAGAGGGCTTGTCTGTGTGCTCGCGTGACTGCACATGTGGTGAGTAGCTACTCTCAGGAGCACATACGTGATTTGCTAACAGGGAAGAAGCGCAGAGGTATCGCGTGATTAAGCTGCACAGTGCCTAGGACCACTGACTGACATCATTTGAGGGTGAAGTACCCCAACTCTGTGGGAGGAAGTATGGTCTTGCCAATATAGACGGGCATGTCGTCAGGTCGGATACTCCTGTCAAGAATGCAAGGCTGTCTCGTGGAACGAGACCCTTACCGCCAAAGCTCATCTTCGATCTTCTGCTCTCTGCTTTGGTCCTTGGCTCACACAGGCTTGCTATCAGTTGGGATTTCGTTGTGATGCAAAATAGCGTATTCACGACAGCTAGCGAGTTCTAGGATATCCAAGCAATGTCCGTACAATAGCCGAGAGAGGTGCAGAGCATGACTAGTCAATTAGCTGAATGGTTCCCTGTAGCAGAGCGCTCCAACGTGACGTCAGCTGGCGACTATCCTTGGTCGCATTTGGAGCTTGTTATTGGCCCACGCCTTCCGTTGCTGTCGGATGTGTCGGGACATCTGCTCTGCCGCTCATGCGATGAGCTTGTCAGCTTCAATCTTGAGATCGTTAGATCTGCTGATTTGAAAGACGACACACTGCCCCCAAAGGATCCAAGCCGAGGAGAGTGTTTGGACGGCGACACTCCAGGACCAAGATGCAGTCAAGGAAGGCCAGCTGTTAGGGGTCTCTCCAATTGATGCGTGACTGTTCGGTATGAGTCTCAGAGGAGTGCATCTAGCTTCAGCATCGAGAATTGGCGGAGAGCTTGATGCCTTCGAGGCCCTATCTGCCTTGACATCGAAGACCCTGTCTTGAGCTCGTGTCGGGTTTCCAGACAAAAGACTTGATGCCTTTGAGACAGTCAGCAATAAGACAGCAACACGGTCAGAAATCGTGTCCCGCTCCATTTTTACGTTGACTGAACGGGCACCAGTGCGTGCTTCAAGCACCTGCGGTCCTTCCACTAGCTTGGTATCGTTGGAACAGCATGTGCAAGCCGGCCAGAAAGCCAGATCGGCTGTCCGTTACAGGAAGACCATCCCACGTTTGGCAAGTGCATGTGTGGGTTCCGCTGAAATCTGACCTGTTTTGAAGACTTGATGATGCGACCAATGTGTGTGCTACTCAAGCGCTCGGTGGTCCATGGCTGGGAGTTGTCCTTGTTGGAAGCCAAATTTACGGCGGGTAAGATAACTGGAAGTCGTCTCTGCGGGTTCGCCGGTCTGCCCTCCCTGTGACTGTTGTGACGTGTCAGCTTACCACTTGATCAGCGATGCAGTCCGCTCATCAATTCACGGCATTCATCTATACCGTGTTCCTAGAGAAGAGTTATCTGACGCGTGTGTATGGCACGGAATCGGTGTCTTGCACCGGTCTTCTGACCCACTCCCATCAAGATGCAAAGCCTTTCCGGAGGCTGCATGACTCGTGACTCGAGCATTCGAGCACGACGCGCATTCGCTTCAAGAAGTCAAGTGTACCACTCATTGATCTCTAGTCTGCCGCTTGGTCTATGGGCGCACAAGATCACATTCGTCATTCAAAGTTCACGAAGAAGTGGGTAGATGATGAAGGCGCTATCGATACATGAGTAACGCTCGGACACTGATTCCTTCATTGACGTGTGGCAGCAAAAATGCAGTGTTGCAAGACCAGCGCCATAACACCCATTTGTGGGAAGGTGTCGCCTGGGTGGTAAAAGTAATTGAGGGAGCAGCCCTCAGGCAAGTGGTGCGGCAACGATGTCGAAGGCGTGAGCATCTGCTTCGCTTTTCCCTTCCTCGCAGTCCACAGAAGCTTGATGGGCGCGTCCAATCTCATCTTTATCACCAAGCCAGAGGGTGTGGGTGGTGGACTCGGGGGGAAGCTGAGCCCCTTGAGTTGCAGTGAACGTTCTCTGCCTTCGCAGATGCCTCCATGACCCCATCAAAGATGAGCTTCAAATTGTCGATTTTGCCTGCCATTTGTATTGTCCAGATCCCTCGGCACGCAAATCTGAGTTGACTAGACTTCAAAGACGCCAGAATCCCTTCATTCAGCCCCAAGACCGACGATCTTCATGCAGGCGACAAACAAAATTCACGAGATACACATTGGGTTTGCGTAAGCGAGTAGTAGAGAGGTGGCAGCAAGTTCACAATTCATGAGTGGTGATTCGTGCTTCAGACACTCGTGACTTCGACCAACGCGACGCCCCTGTACTGTTGCCTGCACGTGGTTGGCTGTCCACCGCTGTGCGGACGCAATGCGCCTTGCGATCGGCCACAAAGCCGGCGCAGGCGTATCGCCGCCGCACGCAAATTCCGCGCTGCGCGTTGGTGTACATCGCGACTTCAACGGACGGACCTGTTTGTGCCTTGACGGGTGGACTGATGCTCTCAGCCCTTCCCAACCATCATCCTCCCCGGAAACGTTAGCTAATCACCCGTCATAAATCACCGCCGCTGGAATCGTGTCGGATACTGCTGCCCTGATTGCGCTTGCCGCACATCGCCAACCTTGACCGCCACTACGATGTCACGTCTTGCTTCCAGGCCGATGAATCCGCTACTGAGCGTCGGCTGCTCCTGGTGGGTGGCCCCGACAACATCAGCGTGCTGTCAACCTGCGGTGCGCCGTTCCGCTCCCACACGCCACATGCATGCTACGATCCCAAGGGGGACAGTACCAGAACACGCTGCATATCGGTACTCCGGGCGCGAGACCAGCCGATCCTCCTTGCCACCATCCTTTGCCCAAAGCGCTTCACCTGATCAAGCTCATGTTCACGGAGGGGAAGCAGCGCAGCTGAACCGCACTGATGCGGACGTGACCGCTCACCGAGCGCGAATGGCCGTGCAGCGCCAGAGTCGCCAAGCTGGAAGTGGAGACATGCACACCGGCAGGGGTGCCACCGTCACAGCCCCAGCGCCGGAATCCGCAAGCGTCCCCCAACCTTCCGTCTCTGCTTTTGAGACCTCGCCTGGACCAACTCCCGAGCGCGAGATCTCTCCCGAAGATGCTGCTTCGAAAGCGGGCACAATGGCGAGGCAAGCGGAAGGTACAGCTTGCTCGTCCCTCAGCCCTAGCTCTCCTTCTGCGCCTAGATCACAACAAGCCTCCTCTTCGTCTCAGCCGCAATCGGTGCAAGCGGAGGGACCTGCTGCTTCGGTTCCGATAGAGCCAGCATCTGGCGAGACGGCGACACCGTCGAAGATGAAGGCGGCGCCTCGCAAAGGCACTCAGCTAAAAGCTCAGAAGGCAGCAATTTCTCTGGTGAGTTCCAAAGTTTTCTTTGATTTGAGAACACTGGTGAGCTGATTGCGCAATTTGTTGCGTAGACTCCAACCGCCGTTGAGCGACTGCAGTCGCTGCTTCACGGGTCTCAAGGGCCGCGCCTGATCAGAATCGGGGTCCGTAACAAGGGCTGCGCTGGCATGAGCTATCACCTGGAATACGTCAAGCCTGAAGAAGCAGGTCGATTTGATGAGCGGGTGAAGCAAGACGGCGTTGAGGTCCTCGTCGATTCAAAAGCCTTGTTCAGGTGAGAATTGCGGGACAATGCTCTTCGCTGTCGCATCGCTGACACAGGTTGACTCATCGTCGCGCAGCATCATCGGTTCCGAGATGGATTGGCAAGAGGATAGACTATCCGCCAAATTTGTCTTCAATAATCCCAATGTAACGGACGCCTGTGGCTGTGGGGAAAGCTGGACCACTGTTTGACGCCCCATAGACTTGCTGCATTCCCACTGGACACCTAGCTCATTCGAATTTCATTTCATTGTATTCCTCACGGCTTTTGTCACACCGCTGCTTCAGCGTGCACGCAAAGCACGTCTCTGACAAATCCGACATTCGAAAGTGCGCGGATTTGACAAATTATGCATGGGACATTACTCGTTGAGCAGATCCTGGATTCCTTGCCAGTGTGACACATCATCTTTGTTTGCGCCTTGGCTTGGCGACAGGGCATTCTGCATCTCCTCGCGTGTCAGCCAGGCGTAACCTGAAGTATTCGTCTTTGGCGAGGCGGCACCCGCGATCAGCTGAGCTCGCAGAATGTACGTCTGGATATGATTGCTCTGTGTCAACAAAAGGATTGGTCTGGCGCGTTTGTAAAGCATCGGCACTCACAGCATCGTCGTCGATGGTCGCGGGAGTGTCGCTGGGCAACACCGCGACGGGCAAGTGGGAAGCAAGCCACATGTCCAGATTTTTGCCTAAAGCTGCGTGCACAGGCTTGGGAGCAGCCTGCACGGGCCGTCAGGGTGTAAGAGACTGCTGGATCACTATCTAGCCATCTGACACTCACCGCATGAAGACTCTCGCCATCATCCAGCAGCTTTGAGGGTAGCCTCCAGCTAGATCCCTCCTTGAGGACGAGATACAGCGTGCGCTCCAACCTTCTGTCCAGGGTAGCTGTGACACCCTCGACATCCGCTTTCGTCCGCCTGGGCTGGGTGGTGTACAGCTCCGCTTCGGCCTCTGTTCCACCAACTTGTACCGGTGCAGTGTCGTTTTCCAAATCAGCGCGCGATGACGTCTTTTGGCCTGAGAGTATTTGCCTGCGTTCTGCTTGGTCAGCCTCGAACTTTTGTTCTGCAGCAGATCCTTTTTTGAAGTAAAAGTCCTTTACAAAAGGTTGTTCGAGTGCTGCGGAGAGCTTTTGATTGTATTGAAAGTAGGCGGACTCGAGCGGCGATGGCTGGCGAAGGATTACTGGAGATCTTGCGAGGAGCAGGGCGGCAGAAATCTTTCCCTTGCCTTTCGGTAGGCTGGATTGCACCTTCGATTCATCGGGACCAGAAGCGGTGGTATTGACGCTTGACGTTCGAAGGGAGGCCTCTTCTGCAGCGCTGGCGGTATTCTCTGGCGAGTTGGGAGACACGTTGCTGGATTTTGATGACGTGCTGAAGGCGCAAAGACGATACGAAGAGGAAGGTCTGGCAGCAGAGGAGGAGCGGGCTGTTCGTACGCCAGACATGCGCACCAGAGCTGCAGAGGCTGACGTCCCCGCAGAAGCACTCATCTTGAGCCAGAGCTGCCAATCGGAGACAAGACGCTGAGAAGAGCAAGGCTATGATTGATGGCGGCAGTGGCAGCGGCAGTGGGGCTCGTGACAGGAAGAGCGTGAGAGAAGGTTGAGGCGGTTGATTCGTCTCACCTGCACACCGCTCTTTCGCAAGCTTCCAGGACAGTGGCTGTGCGTGGGAGAGTGACGAGGTCGAGTGTTTTGTACAGCTGCTCCAGAGCTACGCTGCTATTCGTCGATATTGATTGTTTGCCGGTGATTGTCAAGTCTCAGCAAGCCTCATCGGCCAACTTCAACGTCACGGACTTACGCTTTTCGCAAGGATCTCTTTGCGCGGCGCGCAACTCGTGACTGCATGCCAGGGCTCTCGGGGTCGAGGAAAAGGCTCGAAAGTCTTGAGAGTAGTGAAAGCAGTCACGAGTGAAAGTCCACAGTCCACTGCTCAGACATCACGTGATAGCTTCGCACACGTAGGCCGAAGAGATGCGATGCGGCCATCATCGCACGCACACCGCCGTAGATGGCTCGCTGCTGGACCCGCATGCATCACCTCGTGCATATGTACGTGGCACCAAGGCTTGATGACAGTCCTTGAGTCAAGAGTCGAGTTCGAACAGACAGCACGCAGGTGATGACGGGGCTCGACTCTTGACTTGCGCCACAACTTGAATCACGAATGTGAATTCAATTTCGAAATGCTATGCATGCATGCAGACCGTGGCTCAGCATCGCTGGTATACATGTTGAGGCGTCAGGGCTGTGTCTTGAGATCCGGGCTGATGGGTGCACGATGCGCTTCTTTGCTCAGCGCACGCAGTTCTTGCATAATTCGCTGGATCTACAATCAGCAATGGCTGCTGCTGCTGCTGCTGCTGCTGCATGCGCCGCGCACGCTGCAGCGACTCAGCACTTTGGTCGCTGGCCGTGAGGTAGCCACCTGACGAGTGTGAATCACGAAGCGCCCCCACCTACACCCACGCTGCACGTAGGGAAGAGGTTCAGGGTGCCGCGGCGCATCCAGAACCTAATCGATCGCTCGTCACGTCTCGCGGCGGTGCACGCCATCCAGGCCACAGTTCGCAACTTATGTGTTTCGCTTCACCTTCTTCCACCTTCCTTCCCAACCATATCCATCCAAGTCGCGTCTTCGCTTGACATCGATCATCGAGCCCAACGCCATATCTCAACCACAAGTATCCAACCATTTACACCCCACAACAACCGTCAAGGTACGTGGCGGACCAGACAGGCACCCTAGGGCTTCAAGTTGCCACAGCACGCACTCGCTTACCGTCTTCTCCTTTCGTTGCATCGTCCACGCGAATACAGATGCAAATCTTCGTCAAGACACTGTGAGTATGACGCACGCTGCATCATCTCTTGCGTCTCGTGTTCTGATCCCCTATCACCATCTATAGTACTGGCAAGACTATCACACTTGAAGTCGAGTCCTCTGACACTATCGACAACGTCAAAGCCAAGATCCAAGACAAGGAGGGTATTCCCCCTGACCAACAACGTCTCATCTTCGCCGGCAAGCAGCTCGAAGACGGTCGCACGTTGAGCGACTACAACATCCAGGTCAGTGCTTGCCCTCGCCTTCGCGCGCCGGCGCTGGCGTTCGAGTCTGACATCGCGAATCATTGTTCGCATCGTTTGCAGAAAGAGTCTACGCTTCACCTTGTCCTTCGTCTGCGCGGTGGTATGCAGATTTTTGTCAAGACCTTGTGAGTTCTCATTGTCCAACGCTCGCTTTGCGAGCACACGCTTATCTTCCGAATCGCGTCCCTGCAACATGCAACAGGACCGGCAAGACCATCACCCTCGAAGTCGAGTCCTCTGACACCATCGACAATGTCAAAGCCAAGATTCAAGACAAGGAGGGCATCCCACCTGACCAACAACGCCTCATCTTCGCCGGTAAACAGCTCGAGGACGGACGTACGCGTGAGTATTGTAGCAGAGCGACGTCCGCCGTTGCTCCGCGCTAATTGTGACACGCACACCACCACGTCAATCAGTCTCCGATTACAATATTCAAAAGGAGTCAACTCTGCATCTTGTGTTGAGACTTCGCGGCGGTATGCAGATCTTTGTCAAAACTCTCACCGGAAAGACGATCACTTTGGAGGTAGAGAGTAGCGATACCATTGACAACGTCAAGGCAAAAATTCAAGACAAGGAAGGCATCCCTCCTGACCAGCAACGCCTCATTTTTGCCGGCAAACAACTCGAAGATGGTCGCACCCTTTCCGACTACAACATTCAGAAAGAGAGCACGCTTCACTTGGTGCTTCGTCTCCGTGGTGGTATGCAGATTTTCGTGAAGACTCTCACTGGAAAGACGATCACTTTGGAGGTGGAGAGCAGCGACACCATTGATAATGTCAAGGCAAAAATCCAAGACAAAGAGGGCATCCCACCCGACCAGCAAAGGCTCATCTTTGCCGGCAAGCAACTCGAAGACGGTCGCACGCTTTCCGATTACAACATCCAGAAGGAAAGTACTCTTCATTTGGTGCTTCGTCTGCGCGGTGGTCAATGAAGCTATCATCCGACTCTCGCCATTTGAACACCCTGTACCACATCTTCACGAAGTCGACGCCAATGCATGAGCATCGTGGTTCGTGATCCTTTCCCCGGGCGCTGCATGTAGCTCGGATGTGCATTGTGTGTAGCAGCGACTGGCTAGATGCTTGGGTTAGAAAGAGGGATGTGACACGGTCAAGCTCGCACCGACGCCTTCATTGCAACGCATGTCATTGACGATCTACGAGCGTGCTAAGCACTCGCAAAAAGCTCAGCTACAGAGGTGGGCAAAAGCAAGAAGAGCGAAGGTTACACAGAGATCCGAGCGTCAGCGTGGGCTAAACAATGACATGAGCTTGTGCTGCATCATCTGGATACTCACGAGTCTCTGTCTTGACGAATTCGGCAGTCTGGGACACCCTTTGACACCACGCGTCGAGTCTTTCTTGAAGAGCTTTGATTTGTGCCTTGTCCAAGACTCGCGGTTGAACCCAGGTGACGTGGGCTAGTTGTGCGTGCTGGTCAAGCGTGCCCTTGATCAATTTCAAACTTTTGAGAAAACAAAGGGCTGGCTGTGAGTGGGGGCAATCTGAGGCGTCCTTGGCATGAGACATCTGCTCACCTGAGAGCTTTCATGACGAGGTGCTCGACCTCTGAGCTGGGAAGCCGGGTCTCCTGCGCAATGGTGTCGAATGGCAACGTCCTCTGATCATTGGCCCTCTTGAAGATGCTCTCGATGAGTGCCATCAGGCAGATCTTTTGCCTGAGAAAAGGCTCATTCTGCTTCAGAATGGTCTCGTTGTGCAGCTTGGGCAGCAGGCTCTCGAAATGACCAATCGATCCCGAGTTGAAAGCGTTCAAGAGAGATGCCAAATATGCGTGTGGTGTCGATTCCAAGTCGCCGAGAATGGGATGCAGCAGCAACTCTCCGAAGTTGTAGATCGTGTCGCCCAGAAGAGCGCTGATGGAAAGGTCGTGAGCCCTCTCTACCCGCTCCTCCAATGTCAAGTCCATGTGGATGTCGACGCAGGCGAGGTAGAGTAGGGAGGAGCGGTAGTAAGGTGCGTAGTCTGCTTTCGCCTGCCAACCAATGGGAAAGAGGGTATCGTCAGCCTCGTCCGGTGGCTTCAATCAGGACCAAGATTCGCTGCAAAGATCGACGCACCTTGTAGTAGTCGCCGGAAACGCGGTAGTATGCGGCATGCGTTTCCGTGTCGACGGCATCCAGACTGTCTAGGATCTTGCTGCACTTGTCCATGCTATCCTTTGTAGCTTGCAGTTGGCCTTGCAGCAAGTGGAAGTGAGCGCACTCCATCACTGCCCTGACGTGAGCTTCTTGAGTTGAAGGAGTGTCCACGATGGGAAGGAGAGGCGAGAGGAAAGCATTTGCGGCAGCAGGATCTGGCAGGAGGGGAGAGAGAGCAGGGTGTCAGCGCTTGGGTGCCTGTGTGGCGATGATAGGGACGAGCAAGGAGGGGGGGCGCTACAAGACTCGCCTGATAGTTGCCTCGCAGCTTTGACGGCGATTCCGACCAGCCTGCCTTGATTGATCTTGTCCGAGAATCCCCTGACAAACTTGTCGTACAAATCGATGCGTAGCGTTCCAGCATCGCTATCCTTGGAATTGAGAAACTCTTCTACAGCCACAGTCAATTGGTACCACAATTTCTTTTCGTATAGCTGAGGGAAGCGAGCGTACAGAGGTCGCAAAGAGGATGACGCTGAAGTGGCCTGGCTTTGAAGGTATTGGAGATCGGCAGTGGGGCGCACGGTGAGTGCAGCGCTAGCCGAGTTGGACGATGACATGGTGGCTCCTTCGTATCAGGTGGGCGTCCCCAGTGCAGGGTGATGTGAGGAGCGTTGGTGAGAGGCTTCGTTGCGGGAGTGCACAGCTGCAGCACGATGACAAGAGGAATGATAGGAGGTACGTCCAAATCGATGTGAACAGAGGTGAATGGAGCTGTGGAGTGCTGAGTGTCGAGCGCTGAGTGTTGAGTGCACAGTCAAGATGTGGTCGAGTCTCGAGTCTCGAGTCTCGAGTCAAAGTCAAGGGTCACGGGTTCGGATTGTGATTCAGTCGACAATTTTGAATCCTGAATCAGAGTCATGAGTCAAAAACCAAGTCAAGAGTCAAGAGTCAGAGTGACGCGAAGTCGCGGTCGGGGTTGCAGCTGCTGCAACGCGCGTCGCCTGCCCTGTGCGTCGTACTCATCACACAATCAAGAATACTCAAGACTCTTGACTCTGCATGGGGCTCGCGTGTCCAGCTCCACTTTTACCTTTTTGCCCGTCGTGAATACAAGAATCTTGATTAAGGCGGCTGCATTTCAAGATTGGTTTACCTACCGGTACTCGTGACTTGAAATGCACGCTCGATCGACTCTCGAGTCGAGAGTCTTGAGTCTTGAGTCATGAGTCCTGATGAGTGAGTCGTCGTGAGCCATGAGCCATGAGCCATGAGCCATGAGCCATGAGCCATGAGCCATGAGCCATGAGATACTCTTGAATCGTGAATCGTGAATGACTGGACGATGCTTGAATCGTGAATGTGTGTGAGTCCCAACTCCTGCCTCCAACCTCCAACCTCCAACCTCGCGCCATCCCTCTTTCTCTTCTGACTCTGACACCATCAACAAAGCATCACGCCAAACGTCATCATCACCAGACGCGACAGATCCTTGGTCGCCATGTCCGCGCCAACGTCTGGCTTTGCGCTGCCCAATCACGACTTGTCCAGCCTCTCGCTGACCGGTCGACTGCAGCGCATTTTTCAACAAGCCGCACATCCATCTCCCTCTCTGCCTCCTGTCTCTGACGACCCATCTACCTCATCCGCCACCCCAACCGACCCAGCCTTGGCCTTGCTGCAAGAGATCAAATCCGCTCAAGAACTGGCTGCCTCGTTGGATCTCGTATCTCACAATGACCATCTGGAAGATCTCTCTACAGCCACGCTCAGAGCCTTGCTCTTGCCCGCCGTACTTGCAGAGGTATTGACTCGGGTAAAGACCCCCATCGGACCACCAGGCATTTCACAGAGGCTCGAGGTGCTCAAAGGCAGCGCAGTGAGTGGCCTTGACTTCTGCCAATCAAGTGACCAGTGACGCTTCAGGCATTTACACACGCAGATGCTACTTTGCACAGGGCGCGCACAAACGCTTTCTCAAATCGCTGCTTCGCATCGGTGTCTTGCCGTCCGCACCTAGCTCTGAGCGCTCAGCAGCCATTTCGTCAGACTTGCTCCTGCTCTCGCGGCAAGCTCAGCTGCACACCTCGACCTCCCCCTCCACCTCGCTCGTCAGCCAGCCCGCTTTCCCCAGTCCTGGCTCCAAAAGGGACCTCAAAATTGCTCTGTTCAAACTAGAACGAGCCATTGTCAACGCTCTAGACCAATTTAGAGTTGCAGCGAGACAAAGGGCTCACAGCCAAGCGTCCGGCATCAAGGTGCCTGATATGGGCTTCGACTCCGCTACAGCCTCACATGAAGCTCCTGCGGAAGCTCTCTGGGACTTGCTGCTCTTGTCAAAACCGAACGTGTCACGGCAAGAAAGCGAGGATGAGGATGCACAAGGACAGGACGATGACGGAGCAGAGGATGACGCCTTGGTGCAGTACCTGCACAGACGCAGAGGCGCCGCTTCTTCAACGTCCTCCCCCACCCCACCTCTCATCACTCGTCCCTCCTCCCTGAGGGGCTACACGCTTCTTCTGCTCTTGCTACATGCATGCAAGACCATTTCAGCTCTTGACAGCGTTTCCCAAGAAGTTTCGTTGCTCACCAACATGGCCAGTGATCCCTCGCTCGGTCAATCGGCGTATGCCATGGAGAGGCGAGAGCGTGAGCGAGCAAGAGAAGGTAAGAGCAGCGATACGAGCTGGAGATTGGATCCGAGAAGGCTGGACGCCAATGCGCCTGGACCGTTGTTGGATAAACAAGGCAAGATCCTTAGGCCTTTTCACATCTTGCCAGGAGGCTCTACATCTGCCAACGCGCTGCCTACCGATGAGATGAATGCGAGGCAGAGACTCCGGGATGAAGTGTTCAGACCTAGTCATAGGCTTCCGACCATGTCCATCGATGATTTCTTAGCAGAAGAAGAGAGGCGCGGCAATGTCATCCGTGGCGGAGGGTGAGTGTTGTGACTTTGGCGCGGGTCGAGTGCATAAGCTGCATTCCGCTCCTCACACGTCTCTGATTGATCCACTTCACAACAGACACGAAGGAGCGGCAAAAGCTACACCGAGGGAATCACGCGCCCTCAGAGCAGAGCAAGATGGAACGCTGGAGGCTGAAGAAGCAGAAGAACAAGCAAGAAAGGAAGCTGTTGAGTGGGACGCGTTCAAGGAAGCCAACCCAAAGGGAATTGGCAACACGATGAATAGGGGCTGAGAAGCTCAGAAAATGCATAATTTCAATGGTTTCTCGGGGCCAACCGACGCCGGCAATTTGTGGTTTATTGTGACGTGCGTTCGAAATTAATAGTTTGCAGTCACGAGTGTGTGTTAGGGGGTGGAAGGGGCGGGGAAGGCGAGTGTCGAGAGTCGGTCATGACTTTTGGATCATGAATGCACTGCACTCCGCGAAAAGGCGGAGCGGAGCGTCAACCTACGCGTTCGTGTGCGTCCCACTCACACTGCGTCCCATCATATATAACCTCCGCCATGCGCCGCCTGTGCGTACCTTGCACTCCACAAGACCCGTGCCATTCAAACGAACCACCAACAACCTGCACTCACCCCTTCATCTTTCGCGTTTCCTCGCGCTGCGATTCAGACATCAACGCCACTGCGCAAGGATGAGTGGTCCAAGTGGCTCGTCAGCCAATGCGCTCGCCGGTGCTGCGAGTCGACCCCTTGCTTCCACAGCAGGTCCTTCTAATGGCCCTTCCCTGGAGCCCGGCAACGCAAATGGGTCCAACTCGACTACCAATCCTATGTCCAATATACCCTCTAGTGAAGGACCTTCCGTGACGACGAATGGTGTTCCACCTCCGACCGAGCTCGACGTCGATAGGATGACGGCTGGCTCTGTGCACAACTTCCTGGCCGCGAGGGGATACAACAAGGCGTTGGCGGCCTTGCAGAGCGAATTGAGCAGTGCAGATGATACGACGACAGTAGGAGTCGCCGGCGGTGCAATCTCCATCGGCGAGCTGGCAGCCAAGAATGCGCCAAGAGATGTTACTAGAGGTGCTTCGGGTCCAGGTGCGGAGGAAAAGCACGCAACAGAGATGCTCAAGCAGGATTTCAGCGACAAGGAGAGAGGATTCCAAAACTTGAGGTGGTGGTGCGAGGGAAGCTTAGACGTATACCGCGTGCGTACTGACATTGCGCTCGAGGCCCTTTTGGGATTGGCTGCATTCTTCCTAGCAGCTGGCTGACCTCGCATAGAGCATCGCAGCCTGAGCTGTTACCGCTACTCTTACCCATCTTTGTCCACTCGTACCTCGACCTCGTGCATTCTGGCAACGGCAGCGCAGGTGAGCGCAGCGACTCGCAAGGCAGCATGAGACCTTCGCTCACATGTGCTCTGCTCTACAGCTGCTTCGTTGTACAAGCACAGCAGCGAGCTCTTCCAACCTTCACAAGCCTCATTGTTGTCCAGGCTGCGAGCTATCTCGCTTCCGTCGCACGTCCTTTCAGATGGATTGGCGCAGAGGTTCAGGTCGGAAAGATATGTTCTCAAAATGTCTTCCACCGTCTTCGCTTTGCTGCTTGGCTGGCTTACGGACGGAGCTGGGCCTGTCCAGCCTGCCAATCAGCTGGACGAGGGCGATCCTGATGAGAGAGGCAGAAAGTCGGTGCTTCGAATCCTGAACGAGAGATGTCGGATACAAGGTAGGCAGTACAGATTTGCGCTTCAGTGGGGTTTCATCTATGTGTCTCACGCGTATGCACTCCCCTCTGCGCTGCAGTTCTGAACGTTGCTGCGCAGGAGTTGGCTCGACTAAGACTGGAAGAAGGAACCGGGCTCACTGGGGCAGGGCCTAGCTATTCGATCGACGACAACCAGCCTACTCAGAAGTCTCTCTTGTCCAACCATCTCAGCTCCGCAGCCGTAGGCAGCACAGATGTGGTCGCAGACTTTAACGCTGCAGCTGCTGGTCCTCAACTCAAATTGGGCCCTGAGATACCTTTATCCGAAAGGCTAGCAGAGGAGGTACAAAGGCAGGACAAGGCCGAGCAGAAGAAAGAGCAAGAAGAAGCTGAAAAGAAGAGAAATGGCAGTCCTGATAACGAGGCACAGTTGGGTGAGACGCCCATGGAGGGGGTCGAGGAGGGTCGTGGTGCTGCACATTCGCCTCAGCAGGCTGATGGAGAATCTCGGGACATATTATCGGCGGCACCGGCCTCTCGAGCCAGAAGTACAGCCACGCCTGCTCGAGGTGGGACCGCTGCTGCTACAGTCCGAGCGGAGACTGCAGCTCCAAGCGGTCAAGCAGCGTCGACAGCACAAAAGTCAGACTTGATACAGCCACAGTACGCAGACCTTCCACCACAAGCACCTCTCTTTAGATCGGTGGACGTGGAACGAGAAGTGGCGCGGATGCGAGACGCTCGCAAAGCTATTCGCTTCGGTCCTATTGCTGAGGCGCAGATCAAGGAAGAAAATTTGAATGCTGCTGAGGGCCCCGCTCCACGGATAGCTACTCTACCATCCATTTGCGCTTACACCTATCACGACGCCGAGGATGGGCTCGCGTGCTCGACCTTCTCCATAGACTCTAGCTTGATGGCTGCTGGCTTCGAAGACAGCTATGTGCAAGTATGGAGCCTCAAAGGCGAGCCCTTGCAGCCACTACAGGGCAACATCGACCTGACGAAGGTCTCTGACTGTGAGTTGCACCGACCATCACCCCTGCTCTGACGCGCGTGTCCTGATTGACTTCTTCTTTGCAAATCGCTAGCCAAATCCTTGAAAAAGCAGAGGCAGCACACGTCACTCACTACGCGGAGATTGGTGGGTCATAGCGGACCAGTATACGGCGTGTCCTTTGATCCTGTCAACGGTACGGCCGGCGCGCCCAAGCACCTTCTAAGCTGTTCAGCTGATGGCTCAGCGCGCCTGTGGTCTTTGGACACATATTCCGCGCTTGTTGCTTACCGTGGGCATCAATTGCCGGTCTGGGACATCGAATGGGGACCAATGGGTGTCTATTTCGCGACTTCAAGCGCCGACAGAACAGCGAGACTTTGGAATACCGAGCGGATACACCCGTTGCGCATGTATGCAGGGCATCTGAGCGACGTGGACGTGAGTTGCACGGAGTGTTGCCCGTTTCCTGCGCCGAGGAATGCGACTGACAGCGTGATTTCGCTCTTGAGCAGTGCTTGCGCTTCCATCCCAACTCTTTGTACCTCGCTACCGGTTCCTCAGATCGCACATGCCGACTATGGGACGTTCAGCGCGGCGCCTGCGTGAGGTTGTTCGTCGGCCACTCGAGCCCCGTGTCAAGCGTTCGCATCAGCCCAGATGGTCGATACTTGGCATCGGCAGGGGCAGGCTCGGCTTTGGGACCATCTCAAGCACCCTCCAGCTTTGGACTCAATGCGCGAAACGGCATCTCATCACATGACGACGACTGCTCCATCAGTCTTTGGGACTTGGGTTCTGGAAAGAGGATCAAGAAGATGTGGGGACACTCGGCTTGCATCAACGATATCGACTTCACAAAGGACTCGAAACTGCTCATTAGTGCGGCTGCTGATTGCACTGTCAAGGTATGGGACGTAGCAGCTGCCGGTGGTGAGGGTATCAGCGCTTCTGGGCACGGCGCATCAGCCGCAGTGGTTGCTGACGGCACTGGAGGCTCTTTGCCTTCCGGAGCAGCTGCAGCCGTGAGCGCAATGGTGAACAGCAACGGACTAGAAACAGCGCGTCCAAACGCGGCTGACCATCCAATTGGCAGTGCAACGTGCTCTTCCGATCTCCTGACCACCTTTCACACCAAGAAGACGCCCATTATCGATGTTCAGGTCACCCCACGTAACCTTGTCCTTTGCTCGGGTCCCTATGATGCATCAATCTGATGTTGTTGACATCGTGATTGCACCCCACGTCACTGCTGATGCTTTGCGTGGTCGCAGAGGCAAAGAGTTCAAGTCACAGGTGAGGCGGCATGCCGCGACGATGGATGGTGAATGAACCCCATGACTCTCCTTTGCGACTCTTGACCCAACACTTTGACTCGTGAATCGGTATCACGCGTCTCATCAACAGGCGTGTTGAGACAAGTCACGTGTTTCGATGTCCAAAAAAAAGAATTGGTTAGGTCGTGCGCATGCGCGCTAGAGGGCGCTTCTTGCTCGCAGAAGGGCAATCTTGAATCTGAATATACCGCATTGCCGTCAAGAGTCTGATGAGTAAACTTCTGTGATTCGCTCCTGATCGTCCTCATTCGCCGTGCAGTCTACGGGTGAAGGGGAGTGTACGCAATACGGATCCAGAAGCTCATTCAGGGCGTACACAAGCACCTCGAAGCGCGCTAGCCACGATGCCATCCTTCAACAGTGGCGACGGGCTCGACGCGTCTGCGATGGATCTCGCTGCTCTCTCTTCGCAATTGTCAGCATCGCGCGCAGCAGTGGCTGACAGGATCATGGCCCAAATGCAAGCAGCAAGCTTGGCCAATTCGGCCCCTGAGCAGCCTAGCAAAAAGCGCAAGAAGGACTCCGAAACTTCCCGCAGCGGACCACGCCCTCCCACTTTGGGACTTGGAGCCGCGCTGCCTCTAGCTGGCACTTCAGCGTTGGGGGCAGGGCCCAACCGATCGGACAACAGGCTCAAAGGTGCTTTGACTGGTGGTGCTCGAGCTAGAGGGGCAAAAAGAGATCGAGAGGCACAATTGGCGGAAGACCGCAGGGCTGCTGATGAAGCGCGAGAAGCACAAGAGAAGCAGGAGGAAGAGGAGCGGACAGATGGAAGGAGCGCCAATGTCAAGAAGCGCAAAGATCGTCAAGATCCGTTTGCACAAATCACTGCTGTGTCCAGTGTCAAAGGCGCGGAGGCGGAGCGAGCTCAAGCGACAAGGAAGGAAGATCACAGCGGAAAGTCCATTGGCAGCCAAGATGGAGCTGCAACAAGAGCTTCGAGTGCGAGACAAAACACACGAGACATCGGATTGAACAAAGCAGCGGACCTTGCTGGCGCGCAAGCAGCGGAGAGGGCAGCGTCTGCTGGAATGGGCAGAAAAGCCCAAAAAAAAGCCAGAATCGAAGCGAGGAAACGAGTGCTTCAGGAGGCTGGCGTCCAGAGCGGAGAGACGAGCGGGAGCAAAGGCACCGGAGTCAGCGCCCCCCACACAGCAGAGGGGGGAAGTGGAAAGCTCAATACAATGTCCAGAAATGCCGATGCTGCTTCCGGATCGCCGGATGAGGCGACAAAGGTGAACCGACGAGATGAGGAGACCAATGGAGCTGTGGGTGATGGCGCCGTTGATCTTCCAACTGCCCCACAGCGCCATCCAACGTCGCATTTGACGCCTCTCCAAAGCTCCGCGGCAGCACAACTGGCGGGAGCCCGATTCCGATCCATCAACGAAGCGCTGTACACTTCGTCCGGAGCTGAGGCAGTGTCCCTGGCCAAGGAGGATTCCACACGCATGCAAGAGTATCACCGGGGCTTCAGATCGCAAACGCAGAGCTGGCCTTTGATACCAGTAGACGCCGTGGTGAAGATATTGTGTACCGCAAAGATTGCCACCAGCTCTTGTGCTGGCAAGCACGTGCGGAATCCTGTGGTTGTGGATCTCGGCGCAGGTGAGGCTCCTCTAGCGAAAGCGCTAGCCAAGTTGTCCAACGAAGCCCACCAGACCTCCGGACCAGCACCTGTCGCAGCTTCGAAGAAGAAGCTGACGAACCTCCATGGTCATACTTGGAGCGTTCTAAGCTTTGACCTAGACACATCACCAGATGGCTGGGTCGTTGGTGCAAATGTCGCTCAACACGTTCCGCTTCCAGGAGCCCATCATCTAGCAGAGGATCGCGAAGGTGTACAGGACCATGGCGACGTCCAAAGCAAGGGCAAGAAAGGCCAAAAAGGCACTCAGCGCGCCAATCCTCAGATTGTAGACGTTGTCGTCTTTTGTCTGGCACTGATGGGCACAGACTGGATGGGGATGATTCTCGAAGCCCACAGAATTCTGCACGAAGGGTGAGCGATGTTTGCGTCCACTTTGAGATCAAGCCTGACGTACCCACACCACACGTTTCCCCACCATCTTCTTGTCGCAGCGGAGACCTCATCATTGCAGAAGTTTCGTCCCGGCACACCTCGGTCGAGGATTTCACCGACCTCATTCGCGAAGCTGGCTTTGAGCTGAAGAAGAGTGACTCTAGCAACACACACTTTTCCCTCTTCGAATTTTGCAAGATCGAAAGACCAGCTCAAAACAGCCCGAAGAACCGCAAAGAGCTTGCCGAGTGGAGGGACAAGTTGTGCGAGAAGGGGAGAAAGGTGTTGAAACCTTGCTTGTACAAGAGGCGGTAGCCATCGTAATACTCTTTATACGCTTGTGCGTGGAGCCGAAGTGCAGCATTTGCATGACCCATCGACAATGTCTCGTGAACATGGTCGCAGGAACCATCCATGTGCAAGTCGGCACACCAGTGCGCACCAACGAAGATATTCAGAGCAATGCAGAGGCACGCGATCTGAAATCACAGAGGGCTCGTGTTGTCTGCTGCCTCATCATTCTGGTTTGCTGTACATGATCTGAACGAATGACGGATTGAAGCATCGTACTAGTACAAAGGTGTAGCATATCGCCAAAGCTGAAAAAGTGTCACCAGGCCCGATGAGAGGCGGGCATGGCTCGGGCAACACGGTGGAGAGGAATATGTTGCGCGATACGATTCTCTTTCCGCATCGCGTCAAAGAGATTGACGCGCTCAAGAGAAGTGGATGCCCTCTTCGTGAAAGCAGTGCAATAGCTGCAGGAGGTCTGTAATGTCCATTTGCGCAGCTCTCTGATCCGAGTAGCCTGAAGCTTGCAGAATGTCCTCGACTCGCTGCGTGAAAGGTTTCGAAAGATCCAATGGCTGCTCGGCGGGGTCGTCGAAATTGCATCAGCTCCGTTGGCACTCATGAAAGAACCGCTGCTTGCGCAAGTATCGCGTGATGTTGCAGCAGCATGATGCTCACCCTTTCTCTTTCTGAGTGGAAAGTCTTCCAATTTGACTGTTTGTGAAGAAGCGATCGGCGGAGGATCGCAAGGAGAGGGATATTGTTAGGAAAGAGGACCGACAAGACGCGAGAAGGGCACAAGCTAAAGAATCGCGCGACGGACGCTCCTCTCAGAACCCTCTCTTGCAAGCCGCAACATCTACTCACCTCCAACATCTCGACCACACCAGATGCAGTGAACGAGCTGCGGACTATCTTGTGTCGTCTGCTGAATACTATCCTGTTGAGTCCATCGAATTCCTCGAACCTGATTTCAGGTGGCGGGTTGATGGGTACGATTCTGACCACGGAGCTCTCGACCTGAGGTGGTGGTCTGAAGCTGCCTTTGGATACCTTCATAATGTGATCCACCTTGGCGTAGAGTTGCACGTTGGCGCTCAGTCGGCACCAGAGCGAGCTTCCGGGTCTGGCCAACAAGCGCAGTGCAAATTCGCGCTGGAACATGAGAATGGCGCAGCGAAAAAGGGGTCGATGGGATAGCAATTTGAAGACTAGCGGACTGCTGATTTGATAGGGCGTGTTGCTGATGCAGACGTCGAAGTATGGCAGCGAAGGAATCTTGCAGAAGTCGCCCAGGGTGATTTCCAACTTGCGCTGGACCGGTCTGTCACATCATGAGGGAAAGGCGAGGCACGAGAAGAAGACAATTTAGTTGAAGTTGACGTTGAATGGGACCGTCCCAGCGCCCTTGCATGTTAGCAAATGTGCCATGCACTGTTACACCCCTCTCCAAGACAAGCAGACAAGCTGCCACTCACCTGCCTTGCACTCGCTTTGTGAGCTCGGCAGCCATTCGCGGGTCCATCTCCACCACTGTGCACTTTTTGCAAACGTCCAATATCCTCACTGTCAGGTTGCCCGTTCCCGGTCCCACCTCCAGCACCAGATCTGTAGATTTAAGATTCGCTTTGTCGACGATGCTGTGGTAGAGCAGAGATATGGGTGTGAATGCAGAGTATGGTCAGTCGCTTGAGCGCCCTCGCAATGCAGCGTCCCCTTGCCAGTAGTGCCTGTCTTGCGCTCTGCGAAGCCTTTGCCGTCTCGCGCGCACAATTGACCACTCACGCTTGAGCCACACCGGGGTTCTTGAGGATGTGCTGACCAAATCTATCGGTGTTGAAGATTGGATTCTTTGTAACGGAGCTGGTTCCAGTCTGAGTACCCAGCGAATCCAAAGCTACGCCCGATGCATTCTTGCTCGAGGAGGCGGTGGTGGAAGGCCTGACTGAGGCAGACGAGATGGTGTAAGGTGCGGAAGAGGAGGAATGAGAGCGAGAGTTGGGGTTCACCCCGCGTGAGGATACGGCGCGCGGCATGGTCGAAGCTTGCGGTGCTGCTTATGACAGGTAGCAGGAAAGAGCTTCTTGAGGGCAGCACTCAAACTACCGCCCATCGACAAGTCTCGATGTGGTGCTGATGCGTGTGCAGGTGCAGGTGCGAGTGCGTGCGCGCGTACCAGACCGGGCTTTGGAGTGGTCACGAGTCGATGTGCGAATGTGGGAACGGTGTGAGCGCAGCGAGGGTGAGGGTGAGGGTGGCACCGGCTGTGTGGCTCACCACAAGGTCTTGGGCAGCAACGGCTTCTTTTACGAGGGAGGGATAACCAGTAGTGTGCGAAAGGCGGACGCTGACGCTTGCAAATGTGATGAGGTAGAATCTTGAATGTCTCGATGAAGACGAGGACTGATGAGATTAGATCCAGCTCCGCGTGAATGCAAGCCGGTGGCCGCTCGGACTCAAACTGCAAAACGAACAATCGTGAATCAGACTGTGAATCGTAATCCGCAAAATTCCAACTTGCGGCATCAAAATCTTGATGAATGGTTTCACGAGTGAAGTTCATGATCAGCACATCCCAATAATACATTTTTGAGATTCAGGCGCGCGTTCGAATTTTTTTCGCACGAGAGAGCCTTACGGCGAAAAGGAGAGTGCATTTTGATGATCAATTTTGTTTGATTATTGGGAGGAGTGAGTCTTAATCACGAATTTGAATCGATTTAATGTGCACGGCCACCGAGACCGGTATAGATCACTCGGAATCATAACGTGCAAGGCTGTACTTACGACTCAGCCTGCTGTCGATCAAAAGTCACGAGTGCATGGCAGCACCCTATGCGGAACTCTGCGGTGATCTTCAATCAAGCATGTGAATGACAATCATGTCTCGCGGTAATGCTGTCGGTACAATTGCAAGCCACGGCGCGTAGCGCGTGCGCTGTTCCAAGTGCTCTCGGGCTTGCGACCAACACGCCCTCTGGTGTTGGTGTTTCTATTGGCACAGCTCGCAGTCACGACCAGCAGGGCAACAGTACGAAGCTGTATTACTTTGCACGCCATGCTGAGCTGCAAATCGAAAAAGTCAAGTCTAACATGGCGAGTGCCGAAGGGGGAGGGGGTGTGGAAACGCTCATTCGTACTCCGTCTTGACCTTGACGTTGGACACATCCACACTTCCACCCAAAGGGATGCGGTGAGGTGAGCTGTGATCGAATACGCTACGATGACCAAACATCGAGTGCAAGACAGGGGATCCTGTCAGCTCAAGTGCCGCAGATTGCACAACTTGGGTGAGATCAAGCACAAACTCACCCAGGATACGTAAGTCTATGAACCGGAGGTCTCTCAGCTTCTTGAAAGAGCAATCTATCTTCCGCGTTTCTAGTCTTCTTGTCCAACTCTTCCAAGCTTGTTCTTCGACTGGATTCCAAGCTGGGCTTGTAGTGCGACAAGTATCGAGTGATCAAGGGCGCGTTGGAATCTGACAATGTCTCCTCTTCGCCCGTCGCGCCATGAGGCGAGCGATTCGCTGCGGCGCTGAAACGGTAGACGATCACTCCTCCAATCACCAGCAGCAGTCCGTTGCGCCAGAATGGTGCCGAGAAGCCTGCAAGAGGGGGACAGGCGGCCACGAGGCGTGGAGAGAGTCAGCTGTGAAGCACAAAGGAGCTAAGAAGGCCGTGTGTCATGAAGCCGATAATGCGCCCGCTCGACGTTACTCTGTCCTCATCGCTTGATCTTTCTTTCTGCATTATATCAGCTCTGTCCATCCATATCAGTCCAGCAAGTCTTCCTTTCACAGCACCTGTATGCGTCTTGCCCACACACGCTCCGAACAACTACCAGACCCCGCAGATCGTCACCTCCCCATCGATCAACTCACCCTCCTCAGGATACTGTTCCTCCTCGGCCGCATCAGCCGCCGCATGTCCGTGCGAAGATTCGGCGGATCGAGAAGCAGAAGCGTGCAGAGTTCGTGCAGCAGTGTTGAGCGTCGCCAAGGAGGTTGGGGCTGCTCGCGCTCTCAAGAAGTGCGGGAGGAGCACTCGAGAGGCCATTGTGGACTAGTCCAGTGATTGCTCCAGCGATTGCAGTGATCCAATCGATGGCCGCAGCGTCGAGAGGGACGATGATGTTGAGCGACGCTCAACGTCTTTGAAGATGCGATCGACGATTGCTGGGTCGCCTCGCCCTTCGTGCTGGCGGGGAATGCGCGCTTGGTTGGAGGTGCGTGCGTGCGAGCGTGCGTGCGTGCGTGCGTGAGCAATCCATCTGTCGCCTTGGTCAATCCCACCAACCAACGGTCCGACCAGCGTCATCCACGGCATGAATCAATACGTGCATCGCCTCTGAACCTGTAGGACAGCGCACCACGTGGACTAGGTTTCGGCGCACATGCAATCTTCACGTGATGCATCATCAACTTATGCGTCCCGCTGAAGCATCGAGTGGCTCGCGCGCTCGACGCGTCCAGCTGATGCTTCTTCACATTTCCAGTCGTGAGTTTGTTTGGCCCAGCAGCAAGCAGGCTGGGCATGAGACGAGCCAAATTGACACCGCTCCACCCTAGCATCAAAGGCAACAACTGTCACCATCACGGCTTTCGCAGGCTATCAGATCAACATACGAGCCCAGGCGGTCTTGCACTGCAATAATGTCAGCTCCTACTGCGGCTGCTACGGCTCCCGCCCCAGGCGGAGCCAGGGAAAGACGAGCCTTCAAGACTCAGGACAAACCGGACGAAGTCAGGAGATCCAATTTGAACGCTGCCAAGGCCGTGTCGGATGCCGTCAGGACCAGCTTAGGCCCCAAGGGCATGGACAAGATGGTCAGTGTCGAGCGAGTATACTTGGACAAGGCCTTGGTACAAACCATTGTCAGCCGATAGAGCGCAGTATAGGGGCGAGCGCAAGCCTTGAGCAGTTTGCTGCGTATGGCAGCCCTGCTTGCGTGATGTTGTAGTAGGGAGGAATGCCGCTTTGCTGACTTCAGTCCGACGTTTGCGCCGCTTAGATCCAAACTTCAAGTGGAGAAGTGGTCATTACGAACGACGGTGCCACTATTCTGAAGCACATGGCAGTCATGCACCCTGCAGCGCGCATGCTCGTCGAGCTATCTCAAGCGCAAGACGTTGAAGCTGGTGATGGTACCACTTCCGTCGTCGTCATTGCCGGTAGTCTCCTGGGCGCTGCGGAGAAGATGCTCAATAAGGGCATTCACCCTACGCTCATTGCCGAGAGCTTCCAGAGGGCTGCAGGAAAGGCTGTAGAGTACTTGACGGACATTGCAACACCTATCAAGCTCGAAGACAAGGAAAGCTTGCTCAGAGCCGCAAGCACGAGTCTTAATTCAAAGGTGAGCGGTGCAGCTTTCCCTTCGATCTTTTGGCGGATATCTCATACCTGCGACATCACGCCACACTTCGCTCCCAGATCGTCTCGCAGTACTCGTCTGTCCTTGCTCCCATCGCCGTCGAGGCAGTCACAAGACTCGTTCGCGCACCTCACTCGTCCTCCCGTCCCAAGTCGCCCGCGAACGCATCGTCTCCCGTTCTGCCATCAGGCGACGCATCTGCAACAAGTGCAGCACTGTCATCCACCTCTCCAGCCGCCGGTGGACAGGCAGCCGTGGGCAAAGAGGAAGCAGCCAATGTCGACTTGCGCGACATTAGACTTGTCAAGAAGGTGGGGGGAACCATTGATGATACGGAGCTCGTCGAGGGTCTTGTATTGGAGCAGAATGTCGTGACTGGATCCGGTGGTCCGAGTCGTGTGGAAAAGGCTCGCATCGCCCTGTGCCAGTTCCAACTGAGCAGCCCCAAACCTGACGTGAGTTGCGTTGCGCTTAGCTCTGAAGATGCGTGAGCTGACACTCTGGTCTCGCGCCTTCTAACAGATGGACAACCAGATCGTGGTCAACGACTACCGTCAGATGGACAAGATCCTCAAGGAGGAGCGACAATATCTATTGAACATGTGCAAGAAGATCAAAAAGACTGGCTGCAACGTCCTCTTGATCCAAAAGTCGATCTTGCGAGATGCAGTCAACGAGCTAGCTCTCCATTTCCTTGCCAAGCTCAAGATCCTCGTCATCAAGGATGTGGAGCGGGACGAGATTGAGTTTGTGAGCAAGACGCTCGGCGCAAAGCCCATTGCGGATATTGAACACTTTTCGGAGGACAAGCTGGCCAGCGCGGACTTGGTGGAGGAGATTCAACAGAGCGGAGCCAAGATTGCCAAGATTACGGGAATCAAGAATATGGGCAGAACGGTCAGCGTGCTTTGCACCGGTGCCAATGCTCTTGTGCTTGGCGAGAGTGAAAGATCTCTGCACGACGCGCTCTGCGTTGTTAGGTGCCTGGTCAAGAAGCGGTGAGTTGCAAAACAAAGAGGAAGAAGATAGGGACGGTGAACAGGTGCATTTTTGCTTACATGATGCCCCTTCGTGCGCTGTTTGTCAAAAGCTACCTGATTGCTGGTGGAGGGGCACCCGAGGTGCACGTTTCACGTCTTCTGGCAGAGCACGCGCAGACGTTGACGGGCATGGAAGCCTACTGTTTCCAAGCCTATGCCGAAGCGCTAGAGATTGTGCCGACGACGCTAGCGGAGAATGCGGGTCTGAACCCAATCGCCATTGTGACGGAGCTGAGAAATCGGCACGCATTGGGAGAGAGGACGGCCGGTATCAACGTGAGAAAGGGACAGATTACAAATATTTTGGAGGAGAATGTGTTGCAGCCTTTGCTGGTCAATACCAGCGCCATCGAATTGGCTACAGAGACGGTCGCGCTCTTGCTCAGAATCGACGGTGAGTGCCCTTTACTGTCCCCATCGTATGGTCCCCCTGCATCGCCAACTGACATTCTCTCACTTCTTTGTTCGGGCTAGACTACCACCTGAGCCGTTGAGACGACTGCGCAGTCGTCGCCAACGAGGAGCACTTTAGATGCCCGAGACTCCCAAGGGAAATTGTATGCCGTCTCTTTGAACTCGTGCCTTTGACCGACCGAACCCAAAATCGGTGTTTTCGCGCAATCGTGAGAAAGTGGTGATGGGATGAGGGTGGCGGGCTAGGCAACAGAACGTGGCGCTCACCTTACCTCTGCGCTCGCTTCTGACCAAAAGTCGAGTCTGATGAGGGGGGG